GAGAGTGCCGCGCGAGCCTCGGCGAGCGAGCGGACGGGGGCGCCCTGAGACTGGAGAATCGCCGATATGTCGATCGGCGGGGCCTGCGTCTGTGCGGCGTGCAGGGCCGCGGCGGCACGGGGGTGGAGGGGCGTGCGCGACGGTACGAAGCCTGCGAGCCCGAGGCAGGGACCGTGACAGGAGCGGGCGCGGGGGCAGCGGGTTCCTCGGAGTCGCCCCGCTTACCTACGAAACGGAGATGTCAGCTACGAACAGCACCGAAATCTTCGAAGAACTAAGGCGAACTTACCGGCACGACGAGCCTTGCGAGTACCAGACAAAGTGGCGGCGCCCCAGTAGCAGCCCTGCTGGTCGTGCAGGCACTGGTTACACACCACCGCGTCGGCCTCGAAGACGCATTCCTTCGAGGTAGCGTAGCCGGCGGCGCAGCGATCGCACTGAGTCGCGAACAGTTAGCAGAATCAAACGAAGAAAAACGTTAGGGCACATACCGACATAGTCCGGTCACGGACTGTAGTCGCGCGAGCAATGAGCTTGCGGACGGCGGTGTCCGTAACGTCGGGGGCCGAGCCGTCAGCGGGGGCCTTGCGCTTTTTGGTCTTCTTCGAGCCTTTGGGCTCGGGGACCACCTCGACTTCGGGCGACTCGGCGCGAACGGTCGACGCATCGGAGGCGGTGGGGGACGGAGCACGCAATTTACCTTTTCCCCGGACACCCGACCGGCCACGTCGTGGCAAGGCCTTCTCCTCGCGACGCTGGCGATCAGCCTCGCGCTTGTGCGCCTCGGCGGCCTCCTCGAGCTCGGCGGCCTCGCGGCGTTCGAGTTCCTCGGCCTTGGCGGCCTCGCGTCGTGCGCTTTCCTCGGCCTCGGCGGCCTCCTGTCGCTCGCGGCTCTCGCGCTCTTCGGCCTCCTTGCGCAGCTGGGCTTGGTTCGCTTCCCAGCGACGGCGGTCCTCGGCCTCCTTGCGCGCGTGATTGATAGCGGCGTCGAGCAGTGGCCACTGCATGTTCTCGGCGCATTGGCGCGCGGCCTCCGGATTGGCGTGAGTGGCGAGGACGAGCAGCCGTCCCAACGCGTTCGCGTAACGGGCAGCGAGGGCCGCGCCCTTAGTCACGCGAGTGTACCGATTCTTCGAACACTTAAATTAACAAGACTTAAACGAGACGGACGCGACTTACCATGGCAGCGAAGGCGCCCTCAATCCACTCTTCAATCGCCTCAGGGTTCTCTGGGACGAGGTGCGCCACGACCCAATTGGCGAGCGGAGCCATTGGGCTCTTCGGGTCGTGCGGAACGGGGAAGCCGGTTTTGGGATCCACGGTGTAGTCGGCGTCCGACGCAGGCGCGCCGGCGAGATCAGGGACGGGCGCGGGAGCGGAGGCAGGCGAGGCGGACATGGAGAGACGGACGAAGTCAAGAGCGAGCAGAGCGGGGGATCAAGCGAAATTCGGCTGGAGACCCCGCCGCTATATGTGTGCTCGAGCTTTGTGGGTCCACCTACCGCATTCGAGACGCTGAAACAACGGGGATCATCCCCATCAGAACCAGTCCAAAACGGGAAGGAAGCGCTCACCTCCCGTCCAATGGGATTAATTCTTCGGATCAACGTGATCGAAGCGCGTCCTGCCGTTCGCTAATCGCTTCTCAAGTGCTCGCCATTGGACAAGACCTTCGGACGGCCTGGCGCGGAAGTATCTCGATGATCGCGGACGCAAATCAAGCGCCGGCGTGTTCGAGCCGACCGAGGACGGTCTGGATCTCAGTAAGGGGGAGATGATGAGCCCTTAGCTCACCTACCCACCGAAAACGCGATTTACGGTCGGTACGACAGTATACTAAGTCCGTATGGTCGACGCGCTATCCGCCCGTTCGAGGGAACCGTCCGATGTTCGAAGCTCAAGTGTCAATGTTCGGAACCCTTAGTGGCAGAGGCAAGTGGTTTAGAAGCGTCGCTACATTGGTAGGACTCCGGAGCAAGTACATGGCTACGTCAACCTAGCTAGTGACGACCCCGGCAACTCTCGTATCTATGTCCTCGACCACCACACCCGTGACCACCACCCCTACCCCTACGAACAGACGGACCGGTGTCGGAGCCACGATCAGTGTTGACGCGCTCGAGTAGGCTTTCGAGCAACCCGACGAGGGTGCCGTGCGTGCGGCGCTGGTCGACTGCGATGTTGTGAATCGCTCTACCCATGGACTCGAGGTTGTCGGGCAGCTGGCGAAAGTCGGACAGGATCAACGACTCGCGCTGATACTGCGGGTTCGCGAGGGGACGACGCTCGGCCTGGTTGACTTGTTCGAGCAGTACCAAGGTCTCGGACCACGCGATCGTAGGGTAGGGCGAACCTAGGATGTCTCCCTGGTTGCCATCGCGGTGAAAGACCTCGTCGAGGTAACGCATCAACTCGTCGATCTCGGGGAACGACCTAGGAGCAGGAAGCGTATCGTTCGCCAGCAGGATGGCCCGACTGCGGGACTCGAACAAGAATCGCTGTTCGAAGGTCGGTTCGATGGTTCGAACGATAGTCTAAGTTCGGAGGCACGTACAATCATCCAACGGACTCCGTGAGCCCAAGCCAGCCACTCTCCGGGACTGTTGGCATCGTATCGCGGCTCGACAAGTCCCTCGGTCTTGAGGACCTCTAGGAGGCGGTAGTAGCGGGCAGCATACGCTTCGGAAGTTGGGTCGAGGTGCGGCATGTTCGTGTAAGTCAGGCGAACTCCCGCAGCTGTCTCATATCTTCGAGGACTGTCACCGGCCCCGGTTATGTCCTTCGCCGTTCGGGGACGGTCGCCCGTTATGCGGAACCTGCGGAAGGCCGAGTTGGATTCTCTCATGTGTTAGTAGGTCCGGGTCGAGCGTTGTGACATTCTCCGATTGGCTGCTTTCCTTATCACTTTCATTCATCATGTCTTGTATTTCTCTTGGCTCTCTTGGTCTTCGGACCGTATTTTCCTGTATATACTCTGGGACTTGTTCCCTTCGAATCTCAGAGACCCCCCTACCCTCTCAATCTCACCTCGCGCCGGCGAGGTTCGTCAGCCAGCCAGTACGTTCGAAAGTCAGCAAGTTCGCCAGTCAGTCAGTACGTTCGAAGTCAGTCAGTCAGTTCGCCAGTACGTTCGCCAGCTCGTAGTTGCCCCGAGAGGCTCTACACTTCTTCTCCTGCCGTCGCTCGCCTCTCTTGTCACCGTTCGTTCGACACGTCTGTCGAAACCCTCCCTCCTACCTCCGAGGCTTAGCCCTCGTCTTCGAACAGTCTTCGACATCTTCGAAGCTCTCCCACGTCGTTCGGAGTCTTGTCCGTCCTCCTCCTTCTTACCTAGACCACTGTACAGTCCCCCGTACATCACATAGACGCAGAGGCCTCGCATACCACTGCTCGACCTCACGGTTGGGTTTTTGTGTGGCTTTTGTGTTCTTTTCGGTCGCGTCAGCGGGCAGACGGACGAGCAAGCGGACTCGCGGATGGGAGCACTCGCGGACGGGAGAACTCACAGAGGGGCAGGCAAACGAGTGTGGCAACCGTGAGTGTACTGGGCAAATGCCCAGCGCGCAGACAGGGCTAATACCGAACGCACACACAGGCGGGTGAGCAGGTAAACGAGAGGGAGCACGTGTGTAGGTGAGCCAGCGGGTGCACGTACAGGTAAGCGGGCAGGCAGACGACACGTCTTAGGCTGAGGGTAGGATAGAATACTATGTGCACTGTTGTTTCTCAGTAGATATGCATGTGGAATACAGTCTTTGATTCATATGTTGTTGTTGTTGTTGTTGTGTGAGATGGCCAGGCATGTGCTCACTCTCCCCTACTCAATGTATTGAGGACTCATGGTGGAGGATCATGGCTAATGTATACAGGATTGTCGGAGGATTACACCTCATGTAGCTCACATTAGAGCTCATTAGGACATCATTAGGGACTAATTAGTACTAATTATGTTGGGGGTAAAGGAATTCTGAATAATGCCTAATGCTTCTAATTTGTTCTAATTGTATGAAAATATGTCTCATATACCCAAATTACATCTCATTAGGGAATTCAGGTTTTCCTGATGTTATTGACCCCTTCCGGTTACGGGCACCGTGGCGGTCCTCGACTGCAACTGTGGCGTGGATCTGTGTACCATCCATGGCGCCAACTGCATTGCGGAACCAAGGGAAGAAGCGAGGGTCGTCCTGTATACGTGGAGGAATGGGATCATCGGGTGATGGGAGACGGACCCATTTCTCGTAGAATTGTGGAGACGAAAAGAAATTGAGCATGCGCCGGAAATAGCTGAACAGCACATCAGAAGCTGTATTAGCAGACAGACAAGATCACCTACACTGAGATGGTCTCGTTGGACCGTTGGAAACGCTCTCCGAGGTGACGGATTGATAATCCCGTTACACATGCATACAGGAATATAGCAAGCTGTTCCTCCAGAGAAACATGACGGGAATCACCGTATCCATTGGCCTTGAGCTCATCAATGAGGCCATAGAAGACATGGTGATGGACACCGAGTTCGGAATAGATACGCTCGGGATGACCAAGGAGTAACTCGAGGACCCAGGCTTCACCTGTGAGAGCAGATGTATGCCATGGTTCCCTGGCCACGAACGGTTGAAGTGCAACAAATATAGCAGTATAGACGACATAGATGAAGAGGGCAGCTCTCAGAATGAGTAGGCGGCGCTCTCGCTGCCAGTCGGGCGGCGGCGGAGGCATGGTTTGTATGCGAGGATGCAAACGCGGGCGTGCGTCGTGACTCTGTGTTACTGTGGCTAATATTTGTACATATTTGCTATTGTAAGCAGAGACTCGAGACTCTGCGCGAGACGCGTCCGAGTCTCGCTGGGTTTCGCTCACCGAACGGGGCCTAAAGTGCATGTTCGTTTCGCCCTTGAGAGGGTTACTTACCCCCCGGACCACGAGAAGGTCTGCACAGGGCTCGTCAGCGACGAGCCCTCCCGGGGGAACGAGCTCCGTTATGAGTGTTGACGGAGTTCAGTTGTCAAATCAATCATCATTTTCTTTGCTCGGAAGCGCTGATATCCCTGAGAAATCATAATCATATAATCAACAGAGCTAAACCCGTAGTACTGGGACCACAATGACTGTGAGTGCATTATACCAACGCTGCCCAGTCGAAGCCTCGGTGGAAGTGTTTGAGTGTCACCCATGGCGGTAAACAAGCGTCCGCGGTGGACGGATGGCAATTGCCCACTGGCGCTGACTGACAACCTCAAACACAAAATAGGCAGAACCTGCGCATTCAACGTCAGAAACGACGACAAATACATCCCAAAGCCACCCACTTCATCTTCACGCCCTCCTCGCAAGCAACACCGCCATCGGCCACTCCACCTCCACCTCCTCGCCCTCCCCCGCCTCGCCCCCATCCTTCCCTTCCAATCGCGCCACCTCCTCCCTCAGCTTACGCCAAAACCGCACCTCCACGTCCGCGGCCTCTGGCACCTTCGCTTTCATGGTGTGCAGCGCGGAGAACGTCTGCAAGTATGCGAGCATGCCCGCCCACGTCGTGCGCGTCCGCAGGATCGACGGGCGCGCCTCCGGCAGCGCGTGGTGCGGCCGCGTGAAGTAGACGCGTTCAAAGTCCGCCCAGGACGCGGCGGAGAGGGTGCGCGGGTCTGGAATTGCCTGCAGGTGATCGTCGACGATGGTTCGCCCCGGTCGCTCCCAGTATGGCCCGACGGAGTGCAGCGGGTCCGTGCCTTGGCAGTACTCGTGGATGAGCGGCGTGAGGGAGGGGTATTGCGGGAGTCGGAATTGCGAGTAGCCCTGGTAGCGCTGTGAGCAACTGCGTATGGTGCGGAGGCGAAAAGACGGCTTACCCAGGCGGCGAGGGTGCCTCCGGGCTTGAGGACGCGCGCGGCTTCGGGCCAGAGCTTGGCCCAGTCGAACCAGTGCGCGGCTTGGGCTACATTCCGTCCACGGCGATTTAGAATCGGAGTATTGGATCATGTTGATTATTACGCACCGGAGACGATCAGATCCACGCTCCCTTCCTCCAGCCAGCCCAGCTCCTCCGCCGCGCTCTGTACGAACTTGAACCGCCCCGGCCTGTCGAGCTCCGGGCGCGACTTGACTACCTCGCGTGCTTGCACGAGCATGCCCTCTGAGGGGTCTGACCCGATGACATTCTTGAAGGGGGTCAGCTCAAGCGTCGCTTGGCCTGTTCAAAGGATTGGTGAGTTAGAAAGTACAAGGGGACCTCAACACGCACCGGTGCCGCAGCCCAAGTCGAGCGCGGTGTCCCATCGCGCGCGCGGGTCGCGTCCGTGGTGGGCGAAGAGGAAGTCGTATAACTGCTTGGGGTAGGTAGGACGCGCTAAGGTACAGATGTCAGCGTGCAGTAGAACGCACGAGGTGGTGATCAGGGAAACGCGTACCTGCGGCGTACCGCACCGCGTCAAACGTCTTCTGCGCGAACGTCGCCATGACTAAAGTACTTCCGTCCTGGTTGGACGCGTCTGAAGTGGGTGAAAGTTCGTTCTGGTCAACTGTGTAGCGTGTTAGCACTCGAACCTCCTAAGCTGAGGTATAGTTTTCTGTTCGCTGCACGCGTTTATAACCCCTGCAGTACGCGGCGAGACGCCAGCGTGAGTCAGACCTCGCGGTTGCGTGGTGTGGATAAAATGGAGAAGATGCGACATGTCGTTTGCACCGCAGGTTGGAAGGGACATTGTCGGGACAACATTTCGGCCGATAGGAGCGACGCGCGACGAAGGCGCCAAGGAAACGCGTCTGCGGGGATGGACACTAAACCATTTTCGGAATTTATATTGAACGCTTGACATGGGCGCTTGAATTATTGCCGTTTGCGAAATAGTTGGCGGTGGCGCGTTTCAAACGCGTTTCGCACAAATGCGATCCCCAGTTTTTAGTCCTGCATGATTCACGAAGGCGGACGGCCATCATCGGATATATATTCTTGATGTACTCGATGAGGAGATTTGCACCCCATACTTAGTCTGTGAATTTGTTTAATTCGTGCAAGACCGTCCGCGAGGGGGCCTCTTGGGCAAAGAAGCACACCTAGCACATGGATAACGAGCTGTGATCACAACTGGATAAGATACCCATGGTGTGACATGTTCCATGACGTGTACCCCAGGTCTTTTCTGGTAAGTAGCAGTGTCATCTTGCGATGTCGGGCCCGGTCGGTGTCCGACCGGCGCTCGAGCAATCCTAATGGGTACTTGCATTATGATAGCTTGAGCTCAACATTACATACCGTCGTTGGTGCCTTAGGTATGCTTGAAGGATTTATTGGGCGGTTTGAATCTAGAAACACGCTGCAGAGACGTCAGTGAATGTTCCAACGACACGGTCGTCGCCAAATGCCGCGGCAAGCACTTCATTTGAGCGCCAGGATGGCCCACTCGGCATCGCTCAACGACACGCTGCTGACGCAAAAATCATGGGGCACACATCTAGTACATCATTGCATGTTATACCACAGCTATCCACGCAGTCACTCTTTATATTCTTCTAGTTTCATGGGCTAGACAGGCACTCAGCCCGGCTGCACAACTCCCCTCGGTCGAGCATATTCAACACCTATAAACATGTAAGGGGATCCGTGTCCGCATTCGCGAGTTATGCGGGACAGATGGTCGGGCATCGCGTTTGCGCGAAACGCGCCATCGCCCACTATCTCGCAAACAGCAATAAACACTGTTGAGTCACCACGATGGATGCTATATAGGTGCCCATGAGGTCCTTGCGAGCCGTCTTCACGAAGGAAAATTGTACAAGCTCTGTGAGAGCTGTGAACGGCTTAGACCTAGTTGATTGTCGTAGCAGAGATAGCTCCACGACGTTCAAGCAATGACTTCCTGTGCTACGCCATCCTTCAACAAGAGTCTCCTGACCCCGTCCGCCTTGGTCCAAGGCACCTCGTCTTCCCAATGACTGATCACCACGCACGCCTGCGTCGGTAGCAGTCCTCCCGCACCGTCCGCTAAGTACCGCCAGACCGCCTCCACCATCCCCTCGTCCATCCCCGCCCACACCTCATCCAGCAGCACGATCGGCGGCCGCCCCACGAGCGCGCGCATCAGCAGAACCATGCCCTGCTCACCAGGGGTGAGGTCGATGAAGTGGCGCTTCGCAAACGCGACGTCCTCCGGCGCGCTGTACGACCCGTCGGGCACGCGCCCCTTCCACGCGCGCGGCCCAAGGCCCTCGAGCACCTCCCACACACGCTCGATTCGCCACTTCTCCTCGAGACCACCGGGCTCGAGCTCCTGCGCGGTGTCGTAGCCCACTCCGACGCGCATCCTTCCGCGGGGCACGAACACACCGCCGAACCCCGTCCCAATGACGTCCCACACCGTCATGCCGTGCCTTCGCGGGAACGCGGCGTGCAGCTCGGGGCTGACGCGCCCGATGCGCGTATTGAGCTGGAGCGTCGGCCAGCTCGCGCGCGGGCGGCCCAGCAGCTGGAGCCTCTCGCTCTGCGCGTACGACAGCGGGTGCTCGCCCGTGAGCATCGCGAGCAGCGTCGTCTTCCCCGCGCCGTTCTCGCCCATCAGGTGCCACCGCGAGTTCTCGTGGATCGTCCAACTCACGCTCTTCAGCACCTGCCGGCTGCCGTAGGTCACACTCAGGTTGTCGATCTTCGCGAGCTCGAAGCCGCGCTGCCGTTCGCCGTGTTTGGCACCACCGCCGGACATGGCGACAGCTGTGTGTCGCTGCTCATGTATCGCCTCGTGCATTTCTTCCGTCGTGCCCGTGCGTATGGTCTGTTCGGGCGTCACGAGCGCGACGTGAGTTATCCAGTCAGGAATCGGGTCCTTGGCTCGCATGCCGAGCAGAACATGGGGGGTATCAGGCTCAGTGGATGAGTGTTTCCGGTGGAGGAAGTCAGATATGACGGCTCGCGTTTCCACGTCCAGACCAGCTGCAGTGCGCGTGAGTACACAAACTAAGCTTCGACGGGGAGCACACGCACTCAGAGGCTCATCCAATATGAGCAGAGCAGGTCGCGCGAGGAGGGCCCGCGCAAGACGTGCCCTCCGCGTCTGGCCATTGCTCAACGCAATGAGCGGCAGGTCAAGCAGCGGGTTGAGGTGCAGCTCATCAACCAGCCGTCGGAGCCTCGCAATCTTTCGCGAGGGTGTGCCATGATGGTGGTGATCCGCATCAGAGTGTTCCACTAAGTCCGGAAAGTACGTTTCCCGCAGGGTCTGCCCGTCACCATCCCGCATTGCACCGTACCTCGCAGTGTAGTCAAAAAACTCTCCGCCCTTCTGGCCCCTCGTGCTCCCCGCAAACCGGACATAGTGCTCTGGTGGTCGGTGACCTAGGAAGGGGAAGATCCCGCGAGGCGGGTTCGGGTGCAGACGGCGAGAACCAAGGAGTGACTCGAATAGAGCGCGTTTGGATGTACCGTGGCCTGCGGATATAACGGCCCAGGATTCGAAGGGCTGGACCGTCCAAGAGATGTCACGGAGGATAGGCTCGGCGGTGTTTGGGTCGCCCGGAGCATAGATGGAGGACTTGGGTATCTCTATAATCGGGTCCGACGTGGACTTTGATGATACCGGAGCGGAGAGTTCTCTTTGTACAGAAAAGAACCGTGAATCAGGTCGTGCAGCTATGTCACTGTACAGTCGTGCTCGAGGTTTGGCAAAGAACGCGTGCAGGATTTCGCGCCGAGGACAGAGTGCCGTCGAACGCATGACCCACTTTGGAGGACGCCGTGATCGGCGCAATAGAGTAGCAACGGCGGCCTGAGTCTTGACAGCCAGAAAAAGCAGGACGAAGATGAGGGGTGACGAGGAGGAGGAGGAGGAGGAGGAGGAGGAGGAGGAGCGATGAGGCGTAGGAGGACGAGGAGGAGGACGAGGCGGGAGTCATGATCGGCTTCGGTGGTTGCCGAGATCTCGCCGGACAATCTAGGCGCCCTACTGGGTTCGCTGATTTTGACCGCGAATTTGACTGCGTATTCGTAGGCTACTGGATGACTCGGTGCTTCAAGACATCGTAAAAGCAGAATTCACTCGAAATCAGCCCTTTCAGAGCCGACTAGTGAGACCTCTCCCAATAAGCCATGGATAGACCTGCTAGCAATCTCAAGGAAAAGTCGTCCTTTTACAACATACTTAGAGGTCGCGAGGTTCAAGACAATCGCTACATCCAGTTGCTGTGCAGGGCAGATAAATAGGATGCTACTCTCGAAGCAGAGATGTATACATTCTAATGATAGATTCACGTTAATAATGAGATGATGCATCGAACGTACATAGTAGAGGGAATCCAATAATGCTTGCGAGAGCCCTGTGGCTGTCTCGCGGGTATGACGGATGCCACTCGTAGCGGCGAGCTCAGGCATCGGGCTCAGCTGCCGCGGAGTGGACCGCGTGTTCGTGTTCTGCATGCTATCAGACATTATCATAGCACAAGTAACCGCGAGTGCTTACGGGTATCTGTTGACATCGACCATCGAGCTTCCTTGTCGAATAGGGCGGAATGCTCGTACTGCTCGTACGATAGCTCCACAGTACGCACGTACGGGTCGTCAAGGTCGGCGATATCCACGGAGTGTTTTTCGAGCTCTGGTGTTTCCTGGGTACGGGGTGACGGTGCAGTCGTCGATGTGGCGTCATCGGCCGAGAGCAAAGGCGCGCGCCCCTCGCTTTGTAGACGCATCTGTGCTTGAGATGTCGTTTCCTGGCGTACATATAGATTAGCATAGAGAGAACGAACAAGATTCACCAGACTTACAGAGATGTCGGCGCGTAGTTTGTTGACTTGCTGGCATAATCGATAGATACCGTAAGACACGCCCGTGACCATGCCCTTGATTTGTTGTCCAAGGGTCTTTGCAGAGTATGCGGATAGTTTGAAGTCAATCGCATGCCCCTCAATGCTAGGCAACGATGGCCATCAGGTAAGGCAACAAAGTCGATCAAGATATCGGTAACATACCTGATTAGAGCTAGCTTGCTCTTAGCGATGTAACCCACATCCGAAAGTAGTCCTCTTTCGATCACAGAGTCGAGGAGATCCTTCGTATCATCTATGGCCTCTTCGAGAGCTTTCACCTTCGTCAAGGGGATTTGGGTCATGACAAAAGTGTAGAGTAGAGGTAACACAGTGGCGAGGCTGATGGCACCAGTGATCCACGTCCATGTGTCGATGTTGAAACTGTCAGACATCGTGTTGAGGTCCCTTGAGAGCTGGTCGCGCGGAGTGGCTCGGTACGAGGAGATCGCGAGACCGTCCGAGTCCTGAGCAGCCGGCGACTGCACTTATATCCAGTGCAGCCTCCACCTCGCGCTCAAGGGTAACATGAGGTGCCAGATGAACATCGGGAGACCGCATGGCAAGATCGCTCTTCGCTAACCAAAAACAGTAGCAGATCAGCACTGCCCCGTAGAAAATGACAATGGAGAAGGGCCCAAGAAGGGATGCGGCAGCGTGCCAGGCATCATACGCAAGCTCAACGATGCCGCCATTCGAGTATGGTAGTTGCTCCCCAATACTATTGCAGTCACATGGTTGCACGGCAAGTGCCAGCGATCGAGATCCGGGCGTGTAGCCACCACTGCCGGCCAGCTAGTTGTTCATCGGTACTGATGTCCATCAGCCCTCCAGACAATGCTTACCCCGACGGCTCTGCGAGGAAACCATCGAAACTGCCTTACTATGTCTATCTCACAGAGGAAGCCGCTCAGATATTCGAGAAATCAACGCGTGAAGGCAGCTACGCGCTTTCTCCGGACGAACGCTGGTGGAGTGCACGCGAATCTTGTCTGTTCTCTGCCGGTTATTCACTAAGACCACGCTATCACGCGAACTGGAGCCCGTCATGGCTGGGAACCAGGCTCAACCCATTATTCTGCGAGGACTCGATAATGAGCGAGGTATGTCTAGTCCTTCGTCTGCTCGAGCGGTCTCCAGATGCCCGGATCTATTAGCGTTACCACATCATGGACGCCGTACGAAAGAGAGACGGTGCGGTAGTAACGATCAAGATGGTGAAGAAAGACACGAGAGAAGTTGCCATTGCTCAATACCTTTCCTCTGCGACTCTGGCCAAAGATCCTCACAATCACTGTGTATCGGTCTTTGACGTCTTGCCAGACCCTTTCGAGCCGAAGAAGATGCTGATGATCATGCAATATCTACGCCCGTTTGATGATCCTCCATTCATGGCTCTTGGCGAAGTCATCGACTTCATCAGCCAGACACTCGAGGTAGGTTCCACCACAAGCGTCTTCGCGTTGCGGATTCGTTGACCAAATCTAAAGGGGATATCGTTTCTGCATCGGCATCGAGTAGCGCATCGGTAAGTGTCTCTTGCTGTGCGACTGTCCACTCATCTAAGTCATACAGAGACTGTGCAGGCGCTAACATCATGATGGACGGTCGACCTTTATACCCTGAGGGCCACCACCCAGTCAGCCGGGACCTGTCCACGGATGCGATATATGACATCGTACCACGCTCCCGCCTGGACCACCCTGTTCGATACTATTACATCGACTTCGGAATCTCATCCTTCTTCCCGTCGGTGCACCCCCTCTGGTCTTGGGTCTGGATGGAAGGGACAAGGAGGTACCGGAGCTATCTGACCGCGCTCCATACAATGCATTTAAGGTCGACATATTCATACTCGGAAATCTGTATAGGAAGCACTTCGTCCAGGTAAGCGTACGGAGGTGGCGTGGATGCAGTCCCATGAGCTGAAAATCCGCAGAAATACAACGACTTCAAGATGCTCGAGTCTCTCATCGACGGCATGACTCGGAAGATACCCGAAGAACGGCTGACTGCCGACGAGGCGGTGGTGTTTTTCCAGGGCATCCGGTCTACGGTAGACCCCGTCCAATGGCGCGCAAGGTTGCGGCCGCGTGGCGAGAGCACTCCTGAATGGATGCTGAACAATGCTGTTCACATGGCAAGAGAAGGTGTTTATCGCATGAAGAAACTGGTAGCATAGTCTTCTGTCAGTCGCGTTATACATACATCCGCCGCGGCACTGACCTTAGGTTTCTGCCAGGTTGCTCGCTCACGACACGAGACCCCATTCCACCTCTCGGCTGGTCATCATTGCTTTCGGCGCTTTGTCACAACTATCGGCTCAACAGGTATCATTATTCACATTGTATTCAAATTGTACAGCTCTACCAGGAATCAATGGGTGTCTCGCGGGTTCGCTTCCTGTTCTGAGCATAACGTATCATGCGGTTCTCTCTGTTACTCACCTGCCTATGGGTGTTCTTTGTCCGGTGTCTCCGCCCCCTCCCCGCAACATAGACCGAGGCATCAATTTCACTTCGCCTCTCCGATATACCCAACGATCGTCCGGTCCCCTTTGTCTAATGGAAGGACGTTTCCTCCGCCTGTCGGCAGTAGACGAGGCAAACCTACGCTAGCAGGGCATCTCGAGGCATCTCTTCTTCATATCAGGCTCAGTCGACTTAAATGTCAGGTGCGCCGCTGCGATTCGCTCTCGTTCTTGAGGCTGAAAACTACCGTTTCGCAGATCTGTTTTAGGATGGGCGATGTTCAAGGAGTATTACTGACGAGCCCGACGTGCAGGGAGAGCGCAGGGGCCTTCAAATCAGACTCAGACTTCAGCGCAATTGTCCTGATGCCTGACGTCAGACTCACACGTCTCACCCGGCGCTAAGTACGTGCAGGCTTCTTTCTGTCAAGCTTGCGCACGGGCCATGAGGCTGTGCAGAAACACGCCGATCACGCTCAACAACCACACCTTTACGGAGCGTAAGCCTCATGTTCTTGCGCAGTGGTTGCCGGCCGTCGTCGTATGTGCTCAAGTAGCCCCACGGCTGAGGTTCGGACGGCCAACTCTCAGTCTCATCGCATCGGAAGCCGTGCACGATCTTGACGCTCTCTCGGTTAGCATCCCTCTCCCGCCTTCAAACACGTTGGTCCGAGATGTCCGCTGAACTGCGGTTCAGCAAGGCCTTGGGGATAGGTCTCGAGCTGGTCGTCGTGACCTTCATTCTCTCATCTGTCCTGTCGTCGCAATTCCCATCATCCCAGTGCAGGGATCTCGAGGAGACATTGGCACCGAGGAGTTTTTGGAGTCTACAGTTGAGAAGGGGCTGCTACACGACCCTCATTATATTGCCCAAGCTCGACAAGCACTAGCGAGGTAGGTGATTTCCTCGTGACGCGGACAATTAATATTATTTGAAGCCCAATTAGTGTGCAGGTCCAAGCCACCGGCCTCAGGCTGTGTTCTCATTGCGCACCGACGATGGCCCAGCAGGTCAAGGCGATGATCTGTGGCTTATTGTACAACATCTACCGTCTACATCAGCGAGTGGTCGTTCTACGTGCTGACATGGCCGTAAGCCCTATATTTTTGTGTTGTCGTCATTAATTCATGTATAGTGTCGATGTGTCGGAGGACGGTATCGGAGGAGCGAAAGTCCTTGAGGGGCGGTGATCACAACTTGCCGCGGGAAAAGATCCGTTATATCTGAAGGCCTTAGGTATCAAGTTTGACATCCTGGTGCTCCACCTCGAATGTCTATGTTCGCTTCAAACAGATTACATTCCCTCGCATTCATATGCATGTTGCGGTCCAAGCAATCACCGAAGTATCGCGGCTCGTATTTGCCAGTGCGCTCCGCAGAGCGGGCGTATGTGAACTTAAATCCATGGGTACGAGCTGGGTCTTAAGGTCCAGGATGCCACGAGCACCTAAATGAAGCTCGGGCATGCTCCAATAGGCTCCCCAATGCTTGTCTTGGTTGAATGGATAGATGTCATGTAATTCATCAAGGAAGAGCATAGGCATAGTAGCAAGTACAGGAGAACATACAATGAGTACAATGACAGGAGAGGCATACAACTAGGTCCGTGCCTCCGTAGGGCACAAGCATATAACAATTCATAAGTCAACACCACAGCGACAGAGCAAGACGGAGACCCAAAGGACGACCACACACGCCTACCATATACCCTTCGCGTCTACAATCAGGCTATATTTTCCCGTACCAAGCACGATTGCAGTGCCGCCGCCGCCGCCTTCACATGCACACGCACACCCAACGCGCCCCATCTCATACCCGCCATCGCCGTCCAGAGCAGCGCAGTCGCCAGCCACCACACGCCCATCAGCACGCTCTTCACGAGCCAGAATGGGCCCCACACCGGGAGCGTCGCCGCCCAGAATGCGCGCATCGGCAGCGCGCCCACCGCCGCCGACGCCCACCCCGCCACGAGCCCGACGAGCGGGTGTTCCCCCGCCCACGCGACAACTCCGTCCACGACCCTCCCCGACACGTACCCCACACGCTCCGCGATCGCCGCCGTCCACGCCCACCACACCGCGCAGACCGCGAGCGCGAGCACGGCGACGCATACCACGGTCGCGCACGTGACCGCGAGCCGCTCGCGCACGGGCGTGCTGAGCAGGAACGGGTAGTGGAGGCGGAGGAAGCGGTAGTGGAGGCGGAACCAGAACTTGGCGGCGAGGAGGTAGATGTGGCGCAGGCGGAGGTAGATGCGCAGGGGCCGGGGGCGGTTGTGCGATTTGAGGAGGTTGGCGCGGTGCAGGCGGACGGTGCGTCGTTCGGCGGAGGGGCGTTCTGCGGTGTGGGAGGAAGGTGAGTTGGGGTTGGGGTTGGAGTATGGGGAGAGAGGGGAGGACGTACCGATGACGCGGAGGTAGGGATACTGCTCGCGCGTGGACAGAAGGTGTTGCACGGCGATGGCGCTCAGGGTTTCGTCGTCCGCGGAGGGCCACAGGGAGATCCTCTGTGAGTTCCACTCGACGAACTGCACGGAAGACGTGTCAGATATCCACCCATACATACGCGCTTCGTGTGGCAGAGAACGGTGCCACTCACACACATGTTCTCCATGCCCCACTTGCGGCGCACGTCCCCGATCTTGAGGCTCCCGTCGGGCTCGAGCTGTAGGTGGACGTACATCTCGGGGTGCACCCTCGCGTCGGGAAACATCTCCTTGATGTCGTAGTACCACGACACGCGCACCCACCTATCCGCACAACACAGCCACACCATCGTCAGCACGCACCCCGCAGCACAGAAGGACAAAGCGCACGCACCCCGGCTGCCTCGGGACCACCCGAAAGGGCATTTGGTGCGCCAGCCTCGCCAGCTCCGGCGTCCCGGGCCACCACCGCAGCTCCGCGCCCCAATGCCAATTATCCTCCGCGATCTCCGCTGGGGAGCGGTAGTGCTGCTCGAGGTAGCCCGCCCACCCGCGCAGCCATGCGCGGAGGGCCCTGTACACCGGGCGCAGCTCCGGCGGGATCTTGGACCGCATCGGGCCCGGGGTCTTGTCGGGCGGGAAGCGCGAGCGGAACACCGCGGAGGCGAGGTGGGAGAGGAAGAACGTGAGGAGCTGGCGGACCTCGGCGCGGGTCGTGCCTTCGGGGAGCCAGGTCGGTGTGGCGGGGAGGGTGGGGTCGAGTAAGATTGAATCAGCGTAGGGCCACGCGGACATGGTTTATGTGGAAGACGGAGCGATCTTGGAGCGGGAGTTGTTGAGCGTTGAGCGCGGGAAACGACTTGGGAAGGGGGATGCTTGCGAATGAGGCAGGATGCAACTTGAGGAGGGGTGTCGGTGGAGGCTTGCAGAGGGGCAGAGAATGGGACTGACAATGCGATCGAGAGAAAAGTGTAGGGCCACAATACGTCTTTTATTCCGGCGTCAAGAAGCATGGCCGCTGTGGCGCATAACAAACTCGTTGTTATGTCGCGTTCACCACCTAAGGGATTACAAGGCGACCGGTCACTACGGATACTGGATACCTCAGATATCATCTATACAAGGTGAGCGCTAGAATCGAGCCATTCGACAGACAAGGCATGGTTGTTGTAGAACCCACCTCACGTTGAAGGATAAGGGCCACCGGATAGGGATGAAGGACGCGCCTAGGCGCCCACACGGGATTCGGTCTCGTGATCGTGTCCTCGAGCGCCTCGTGGAAGCCCTCCTCCTCGAGTGGTCTCCACCGGCGTTGGTGTTTCTGATAACTTTCAGACTGACTCTGCATGAAGCTTAATATGGCCGCACCTGTATGCCCCTCGTTACTCGGTAAAAATCCAACAAAGGTGTCAATCCGAGCTAGTAATTGTTGTGTTGAAGTCAACTTGAAGAAAGGCTGTTGAACAGCAAGGCATTTCGAGGATGCCGTAAGCATCCCAGGGGTCGAAGAAGGCTGGGGCATATTTCCTGCAAAGTTTCTGATGTGGATTGGGCTGCGCCACTGTCCTAGAACCGCTGGTCATAGCTACAGGGAAGATCGACTGTTGCGCGGGTCAGACGGGCGATGTGAAGTACGCGGGTGGTTTGGAGTATTACAAGATACGTCGAGGATGCCGCGAGCGCCCCAGGGGCTGAAGAACGCTCGTGTATGTTCCAACAAGGTCTTCAGCGCGCGCGCGACCGCGACCGCATCCCAGCGCCGTCGATCGTAGCTGAAGTAAAGCACGATGTTGGCGGATGTCAGCCGAGTAAATGGCGGTCCAGCGAGCACGTCGGAAATTCCATCTCGTGCACCAGCGAGAGAGCGAGTGATTCGGTCCATGTCATGGTCGGAGCCGGCGACCACGGTGGTGATGTCCAGATAGATGGATAATCGCTCGAGCTGAGTACTCGAAATAGAGGATAGGATGCCTTGAAGCTCGCCAGCTATCACGACGTCAGACGGTGTCAGCGACGAAGTCTTGATCGTGATGTCCAGAAGGCGAAGGTCCGAGAATTCAGAAAACCGGTATGGACATCCCGCACCTGAAGCGTTGATGCTTCAATACGACAGCGCCAGTCCAAATACGTATGAAGTATTCGACATACCTTGCCCAGAATCTGTTAAGCATAAGCGCTGCACGGTTGGAGCAACACATGCAAGAAGCTCGTCAACGGGGCGCTGGTCCGCAACGAAGTCCTGGCACACGTCTAGGGACCGGATGGCACTGCAAGTAGACACGACCCACTCCACGAAAACGGCGAGGAAGTTTGACTCCAATTTGGTAACTGCTAGTTTGTTCAGGGCGGGGATGCGAGGTTGTGCTGCAGGTTTGAGAAACGGAGGGTCTCCCAGGGGCGGTCCTGGCGGGACAAACCTTCCCTCCGCTACGTGAAGATGTGTGAGCCGGGGAACGCGCAGACGATGCGTTGGAAGTCTCGAAAGCTGCCCAGCGAGAATGTGTATAACATGAGCCTCGTTACGTAGGTGAATTGCGGGAGCGATAGGAAGAAGCTCGGGTGGAGTGGTCCCGAAAGACAACTCAGGAAAGAAAGGCTCTCCAAGTTTGGCAGGTAATTCCCGAGGACAAGCGGAAAGACGTGCGAGAACTTCGTGTCGCGCTGAAATTGGGCGAGAATGATGGCGCGAGTGAAGACGAGGAGATCACGGACGGAAGGATGTTCTCGCGCTAGACGAGCCAAGCTGTCGAGCTTTCGATGATTGGAGAAATATATCGCCTGGTAGACGAGGCGAACACTATACGAATGCCAGGCGTGACATACAAGCATGCACGCAAGCAGGGTTTGCCCATCTTGAATCTTGTTGATGATCTGGTGGATCAGTTCGAGCGGCAGACGTTCTGTGATATATCCAGGCAGGGGCGCGATACGTGGAGGAGGACGGATACGTTGAGTGAAACTGAGTCGTGGAGTTTGTAGCAATTGTTCAGTGACTCCCTGACAGTGTGCGTTGACAGGTGACATGTGATGAATCGCCGGATTTCTGAGTAGAAAGACACTGGAGAGGAGAGCAATATCGCGTAACCTTAGTGATCGAGACCCTGCCAGTGAACTTGAAGACGGCTATCTGAGCGGATATGGTGGATCTTCCGAATAATATTGACATTGTAGACTCACCAGTGTCACCACGAACACGACGGCCCGCGATGATAAGAGCGTAGCGTTCGTCGCGTGCCACAAGACTTCTCCGGTCACGACGATATACTGAACTTTCTCTGAGAGAAGCCGGGGAGGAGCACTGGTCAGAATCAAGTCAGAATGACTCGCCGTGGCGTGCCGGTTACTTGAGCCTCAATTTCCTCTTTTGGGTATTATACTGAACGCTGGGCGCTTCTCTCACCCCGGCACGTGCTCAGCCATCACAAACTTCCAGTGGACTCGGACGCCAGTACGGGCTAGCACACAGCCGATCTGGTAAGCCGAAGCATATAAAAAACTCTGTATTTCGACAGTGTAGCTACAAGCTGATATACCATATGTTTCCACAGCTCCGGTCTCAGTTCAAGCAACTAAAAGGCAATCCCAACAGCTTCTGCATGACTACGCCCTGTGTTGCTGCATCCACATCCGTCTTCGTCTGAGCACTGATGGCCGACACGCTAGCGTAGCACCCCTCGCTCAGGATCACCTCCACCTCGCTCGGTAAGTGATCGCTTCCGCAGGTCTGCACATCGACCACGGTGTCGTTCTTCCGGTTGCGCGCAAAAACCCACTTGTAGTCGCTCGGATCATCGCAATCCGTAACCGAGGGGTAATTGACGTTCACTATTACGGCAGGGGGTAGGACAGACGGGCCACAGGAGCCGAGGAGCGTGTCGACGAAGTACACCGTCAGCTGGGAGTAGATGCGGGCGGCGAGCGTAGAGTTCGCGTCTGGCTCCGAGGTGAGAGTGGTGTAGGACACTTGTGCCCCGCTGACACCTGAGAAGGCCGTCGCTGGGACGCCTTGCAACGAGGCAGCGGATGCAGCTCCCCTGTCATGCAGGTCAGCATGGAAGATAATTTCGGGCGGTACTGCACTTACACAGTGCCCGAGTATTGCGTCAGGATATCGACGTTAGCTATGCATCGGACATGTCAGATGTGAAATGCCACTGTCCAGGATGATGTGAAAGCCACGTACGTCCGATGTTAGGACCGCTCACAAGGAAATCCGGCCTAGCACCGAAGTGCTGCGGACTCAGAGAGAGCACGTTGATTCCGTAGTTTGCTGCGTCGACCCTAAGTACCATTCCTCAGCGACGGTGTTCAGATCGTTTCCGGAGGTTACTAACGGGTACGCGTTCACGTAATTCAAACGAGCTAACTCTCCATCTCAGAGAATGCACAGATTACTCAAACATCCGGGTAGACTCACGGTCACTGGCATTGAAACCAAACGGCGGCGACCCGACAGGGCAAGTATCGAACTGGCATGGCTCGGTAAGTACTTGAGGTGTCGTCGTCTGCGAGCCCTTCCCTGACTGATTGATTGCAGGTGCAGACAATACGACCTGAATAATTGGACATCAGTCGACCGAACGACCACAAAGACCCTTAGACTCACGTCATACCCTGCGCCAGTCAGCGCATCGAACTGGGCACGAATCTGTGCAGTCGCCCACCCGTCGTCATTGGAAATGACCAGGTTCTGCGCGCTTGCAGCGGCAAAGGAAGTGGCGAGTGAAACCAGCGCTACAAGTACCTGTGAGTGGAGCATAGTGCAGAATATGAGGGCGACTTCGTAGACTCGGTAAACCTGACTCACCCTTGGCCAAGTGTTCCTTAGATACCCTCGCAGGGCCCATGCATCATGACGACAGTGCATGATAATATGATCAGGTGATGAAGCTGAACCGAATATCGCGACGCTTTCCGGAACATTTGCATGACACAGAAATGCACAGAAGGCGAACATGCCACATAAGTCGGAGGCGACAGCTAAGGATGACGTTCGAGAATATCAGTCATACCAACACCTTGGGATTGCTCTTGAGTGTCCGTAGCACACAAGGTGCCTTGCGAGCCTAGTGTAATTCATAGACTATTAGCGGCAACAATCGTTCACCGTTATGGATGCTGCGGCGTAGTTTGACGGTTGGAGGGACCCTTCTTTTTTTTTAATATTTGAAATGAACGCACTTCGAAGTGCGCGCAACGACCCGGTGGAAGCGATCAGTCAAGAGACACCCCAAAGTGTGCAAAGCGAACAATACCCATGCTCCACCGAGGCCGACCTTCTTCGCATCATACATTCCCCGGCGAGTCGTACAGCCTGCGAAACCAATCAAACTTCGTTGCCGATAGTAGAAGTACAGGGAAGTGCTGTCCTTACTAATCACGAGAGTGTCCAGTCATCGTCAAGACATACATATGCATATGCGTGCTCACTCAAATTGAGAACCTCATCCAGGCCTCCACCAAACCGTCCGTCGTCTTAGTCGGCTGCGCCCACAGCGGCAGGAACGCCTTCACTTCTTCCAGTGCAGGAATGAGTCCACCCTGACCATGACCGTCTGATGCGCTCGCGTACTCCGCCCACTCGCACGCCGCACGCCCTCCCATCGTGTCATCCATGAAGCCATCCTCCGAGTCGGCATTCCAGCCCACCTCAACCAGGAAGCCCCTCTCCCACTCTCGGCTCCATAGCTTGAGGTCCTTGATCCCTTCTTTCGGCATCTCGTATCCGGGGAGGAACTCCCCGGTCGCGTTGGTCCCAGGCGCACCCGCGTCGACGACATCGTGTATCTTGTAGTACGTGATAGGCTTGTCGAAATACAGCCTGCACCCGCGCGTATTCGTACCCTTGACGAACACCATCCCATTGGTCTCGTTGAGCCGTGTCGTCTTGACGTCGATCCACTGGTCGTAGTCTCCGCTGGTATTTGTGCCGCCAGGTGAGGGAACAAGGTCGCTCTCCCATTTGCAGCTGAGAAGACCAGGCTTAAGAACCGTGTCCGTCTCGCACTGAACGTCCTTCCCCCACGAAGACGGCAATTCCGGGACGAGGCGACGGTCCACGTAGCCAGGCAACCCGGTCAAGACAGTCCAAACGCGGACGTCCGGGTTGAGAACATCAGAGGATACACTCGCCGCGCCTACGGGCCCGGTTGCCTGACTCTTGAGAGCGAACGGAGTGCTATGGAATTGGACGGCCGAAGAGGTACGAATCTCCACCTGTTGCTGGAAGAACACCTTGAAAGGTCGCTCTTGAGAGAACGGGAACATCGTCCACGAAGTGATCAGCGTCAGTGCGAACACGACCAAGACGATCACGGTCAACCAGTGGTGCAGTCGATGCGCGAAAGGTGCGATTGGGAGGAAAATGATCAGCGACAAGGCTGAAAGGCATCCATATACTAGCATGTGAAACAACAAGAGATACATCAGTCATGCTGCTGAAGCACTCAAGGATCAATAGCGAAGACTCACGATTCAGTGCACTGCTCCCATCCACTAGTGTGTTCATCAGCGCTTGCAAGAGTAGGTACTCAAGCTGGAACAGCAACGTCGCCACTACGGGGACTGCAAACACCATCTGCAAGATCCACCATCCGTACTCGCCATACTTCGGGTCGGCCGATCCCGTCTCCAGCGATTCCCGTTGTTGGTACATGAGCGGCGTGATCTCCGTCGGATCCGTCTCCACCTCGCCGCCTTCCGGCTCATCGCCTCGACCATTCTCTCCGTGCTCCTCGTCCTCACGCACTGGTGCGTCGTACCGGACACCTGTGACAAACCGCCGACCCGAGCCGTCCGTCGCGTCATAGTCGTTCTCGATCGATAGGTCCAGCCCCGCCTTGCGTCCCTGCTCGCCGCCTTTCCAGCCGTTAACCACCCCTTCGCCGAGGGCAGTCCCGACTGCCAGCCATGCTGTGAGGTTCCACGCGGTGATCCAGTACACGCCGCCAACGCCGTACTTGTGCACCTGGACAGTAGCTACCACAAGGAGCACCCAGGTAAGGAAGTAGTGCTCAAGCAGGAGGACGAGCTTCTGCGAGGACGGCGACGTCGGGATGGCGCTCTGTAGGATCTGGAGTGGGCCTACGACAGCGATGTACGAGAGCGACAAAAACGTCACGAGTACGACGTAAGGGTGCGCATAGACAACCTGCCCTTGGAGAATCAGCACCTGTAAATTTGTTGATGAAGAGACGTCTTACGTATGGATTGAGGTTGAGGTAGCCTGCGACGAGACCAACATGGACTAAGATGCCGACGACCAGCGCGATCCAGAAACGACCCCAGCCGAGTACGACTCTGCCGGCCTTCTTCACCTTGGTCCACTTGTTAGTAGGTATCTCTTGCGGAGCCTCCGCGACATGTCCGGCTAAGATAACGTGAGTATCTATCAGACAACATAGAGAGTCGAGACTCACAGCCAGACTTCTTCGGCACGATAACCAAGAAAGCGAGCAAGACGATCGCAACGATCGGACCGAGTATCAAGAAAACGACGTTGGTCACAAAGAGGGCCTGAGTGGAGAAGAGCACCAGCTTCGTGCGAAACACTACCCACAAGTCATTATCAGCGCATTAGCAACGCCAGCGCAACACATCAACTTACGATCAAAGTAGACCCCTTGAGAGCCGTCATCGTCGGTAGTGTCATCGTCATTGAGTAGCGCAAGCCCTGCGCCGCGCGCCGTCTCCAGCATCGCCCAGAGCGCCTTCTTGCCCTCGCCGTATCCCATGCCAGGGATCGAATCGCGAGGGGTGTGGTAGAACGCGCGGTTCTTGTAGAATGCCACGTCGAGACCGTACATCGGGTCCCGGACCCCTGCAGACCATTTTATCAGTCAGAACGTTGTGTATCCAGCCAGGGCGGTCATACCCTTCAAACCCGCCGCATAGATCTGATAGTCGGTGGCACTGCGGACGACGCCCCGCTTGAACGCGTCTCCGGTGATGACATCGGCTTGCAAGTGCGAGATAGCTTTCGACGCGTACGCACGGGTCACGGTTTGCGAGGTGGAGCGGAAGAGAATGGGCCGCCTGTAGGGGACGAGAATTAGCACCACTTTAACCTCGCGAAACCATATAATGCTTACCCTCCCGCTGCCGCACCTTCGAGGTTAAGGAACGTCGCCGTGAGGTTGGACCACGGGTGCTTCCAGTATGTATATGCGCCATTCAGGCCGTCCTCCTCGCCGTTATTCCAGAAGAACACCGCTGTGCGGCGCGGCCTGTGCTCCGGCACAGCAAGGTAGCGGACGAGCTCGACCAGAGTGACGACGCCCATACCGTCGTCTGTTGCACCAGGCGCTGTCGACACGGAGTCGTAGTGCGCGGAGAAAAGTACGCCGTCGTGCTGGCCCTCCGGATCGGAGAGCGGCGTGTCAGTGCCGTCGATCTTGACGAGGATGTTCGTGCCTTCGAAGTAGACACCGGTGCGGGTCTGACCCTTGAGTATGCCGCCGGAGACGAAAGACGCGTTGGAGGTGAGGTCATCGGAGAGGTGGACGTGGTCGTACTGCGCCGCGACGAGTTCAAGCTGGGAGAGGAGGTAGGCGCGGACGTCGTCGTTTGCATGGGAGAGGTATGGATGTGGGCGGACGGTTATCTGTGACGGAATGATGATTGCTGGTCAGATGAACTCTGGCACATCACTACGTACTACTACGTAGTACCCACGACGGAAGGTGTACTATCATCATACCTATCCCAGGAAGGGAACCACCTTCCCCAGATTACGATAAAAGATAGTGTATGCCTCAAAGTAAACCAGTGGGGAGACCTATGGTAGCCCTGTGACAGGACTTTCTGACGCAGCGCAGCGCCGTGCATCTGACGCGTCGCTTTGTGGGGAAATCAAAATATGGCATGCATCCTCGATAGCTTGAAGCAAATAAGCGAACACACCAAGGAACATGCAGTCTGAGCAGCGCACGCCCTCAAACAGACCCACGAGATTCTACTGCTGTGTATTTCACGCAGAACTCGCCGGTAAGTCACATACTTCAATTAAGCCTTCGTTGGCTTCACTAGATTAGCAGGAGCAGATGTGCAGACTCTGCGACCATCAACGCCCCGTGTGTAAGCTGTAGCAATGCCGTGCACTGGGCCCGGGGTCAGCATCGGTGCAACCGACGAAACCCGTGGATACCGCGAAGCTGCAGCCCGAATCGGTTCCTCTCAAAGTTGAGACCCGAAGGACTCGCTGCTAGCTTCCACCTGCGGATCGGTATCGCAAGGTCATACGAGCTGCAAGTCTCCGAACTCGAGATGAACTGAACCAGCATGACCTCGCCGTACAGTAGTAGAATTGAGAGCGCAAATCCAGAGCCAGCGTAGACAGCGTAGACGGCTCACCTGGTGTAAGTCTGCATACGCCCGGTCCACGTTCAGACCCTTGGTGTTCCTGGGTACATCGGTGAGCTCGTCAGTGTAAAGAACACTTGCCAAGATGACAACGTAGATGAGCACGGCGAGCACAGTGACTGGGGCGGAAGTGAAATGGAACGGCGCCCTCAGCCAAGAAAATGGTCGGCTCATTGGAGATGGTGGTGTGAAGGCAAGAAATGTACCATGCCCTTGGGCGTAGGCAGCCTGCAGTCCGCTGCAAGTTTGGAGGGCGTCGACGTCAGCCTGAGGTTCGCAGACGCGACGTCATTGACACGGTCATGTGCCTTTGATTCCTAAACACCGCACCCAAGCAAGTCGACACGTCTTGCGGCGAGTAAGTAGTACTTGCACTGGGTAGCACGCGTACTATGTAGTGCCGATGCATACTCAGCATTCCTGATGCAGTCGCAGCAATACATAGGTACGACATGAGCAAGACAACTTAAGTCCGAAGATTGATCCCACAGTAACTTGTATCAATGAATTAATGGATTCCGTGGACTTGGGCTCCTGGTAAGCAGTCTCCGGCACGGTATAAGACTGTACTGTATGGGTGAGATAATGCAGAACGCAGACTCAGACTGGCGCGATATAAACGTAAAGCAGTAAGTAAGGACATCATCGCATTCATAAGTCATCAGGATGCATAACTTGGTATACAGGCATTGGATCACAGGGTTAGGGTTAGGACAGCGCAGCAACATAAAAAAAGGCCTGCCCAGCCCGAGGGCCGAAGCAGACAGGGAAATATTGAGACGATGCATGAGCCGAAGCCCATACAAACCGCAGGCATCCCCTGAGGACATGGTCGCCGTGCTATGAGAGACCCCTACGGCCAACACTCCCGATACGTGAAGGGGACTGTTCCATCAAGGTAAGTATGAGGTGTTTCATGCTACAGCGCGCCTTTATACCACGACGGTTCTGCGCACGGACCATTCACAATTTTAGCGGGGGCATTGATTGGTTCATAACTTTTGCGAAGCGCATTGATGGACGCGTCTCACGTGACTGACGCGCTGCCGCTGCTAGTGCACCGCGTCGCGCGACGCGCGCCGTTGCTTCGTACTTCATTGTCACGGTGTTCCTCCCTTCAGTCACTTATGCGCATCCAGTTGTTCTTTCAGTCACCTGTAGCAGAGATGCAGGTAACCTTTCTTGACAAATTCATACCTTCTACCCGCATAGTGAAGCAACACACTTTTGTGAGAACGACCCCGGTGGTGAACATCTGTATCATATAGCTGCAATGGCTCAGTGAGGCGTCGACACTCCGAGTAATTTTTTATCAGGCTTTCGGAAGTTCTATCCCGCGGTGCGCAGTACAACAAGCATTGATACAGCATGACACCCGCGACCATCAGAGTACACTGAAGAGGCAGCAACAGTCCAAACAACTGTCTCGAGTCAGTCCAACAAGGCTCCTCGCTGTCCATGATGGTTCAAAAAAATGGACACAAACACCAAATGGCCGAGCCCCGAATCCCAAGACAGCTCGCTCACGCGATTTCCCACTCCACGTCATTGACGATGCCCACATCCGTGGAGGCGAACTCTTCGAATGCGGCGGGCGAGAAGCCGACGTACGTGTCCGAACAGCCCGGGCAGTAGTCGACGATCGGCACCGTCACACTGGTGCCGTTGTCTGCGAAGGATGGGTGAGCTTGGATCAGAGTCAAGGATGAAGAAGATTACGCACAGGTTACGGTCAGTTCTGGTCGCAGATGGGTTACTGGCAAAGGGTCAGGATAGGGTGGATGAAGTCTGAATTGACGTACTCGTTTGGGTTCGACGTCGCGCCTCTAAGCATTGGCAGTGAGCACTGATATATGATATTCAAGTCGTGATCTGAATGACGTACGGGTAGCCATCGAAGACGCCGACTGCGACAGAGGCGACGAACTGGTCACTTGTGTTCGTGTAACCGCATGCACCGAGGCCCGGGGTGAACCAGAACACTACCGGTGTAGGATGTAGTGAGTGACTGTGCGTGGACAGAATGCAGTATGCAACTCACGCGTGCCATTGGTGCTGTTCAGCACCTGCGCGCCGGCGAACCCGAGCCGGAGGCGAAGGCGACGACAGAAGCCTTCGTGAGCAGCTGCATGACGGAGATGGATGCGCTGTATACTCGGACCACGAACCGGCTTGAGGGAACGGCTAAGTACCTGGTCTGCCGGTCTCCGTCGCTCTGCTTTTATACAAATCCTTTTGCGTCCGTCTGTATGCATTCAAATCTGCTGGCTCATGCAAATCACGACCGTTGTCAGATGGCTGGTCGGGGAGCGCGAGTGGGACCGTCCTAGGTAAACTGCAGTCAGTACATGTCACCGTCTGCGGCTTCTTCGCTCGCATGGACTGATTCGATGTCTTGTCTGGGCTCGATGCACGGTGTAACGTCGCCGCAATCGAGAACGGGCTGACGTTGCGTCGTCCAATCAACGCGCCAGAGAAGCATCGAGGACTACAGCATGCAGAAGAACATGCCGCCGCTACACGAGAAGCGTACGGACGTATGTGCGTGGAGAACCATCCCACATGTAACCGTACCATATGACCTGCAGCATGTCGACTTACAGACAGCGTGATCAGAATAGAAGCCCGCGGAGTGACACAGCGAGATTCGGCCAGGCTCGACGGGGGACGGGAACGGAGATGGAGGAGCGGGAGGCAGGCTCAGCTTGGACCAGGAGGCATTGCACGAGGGCGCGAAAGCGCGAGCGGAGGCACCTGTAGAAAGTACTTGGGTCATATTCCATTCGAGGAGATTCGAGGGACGAAGATACCATCCAACCCACGGCGGAGTGACGTACGCCGCAAAAGCAGGCGAACGTGTAGCAGGAAGATCCAGAACACTGCGAAAACGAGAGACATCGCGACAGGTGCGGGAATGGCGTCGTCCAGGTGCATGCATGGAAAACAGCATCTTCACCAGTCGGCGTCATCAACAGACGGCATCGCTGGGCTAGCTGGGACATCGTCGACGAGCACGGAGACGGGCGGTATCATTGAACACCTTTCCAGACGGAGTGCCGGGGCACGTATTTGGGTAGGCTATGAGATAGAATGGGTGGGTCAAAAACAGCAAGACCGAGCGAAGGACACCAAGCAGGAGTAAGTATAGTAGGTATGCGATGAGATGGGATGCAGGTATCCAGAGCGAAGTGATGTGCAGAGAGGTTGGGGAATATTATTAGTTGGATTCAGGTTTGGGTGAGCGGTGGGGCCGTAGGCGAGGTCGTGTCGTATCGGGGTAGAGGCGCAGTCGTTGTCGGGATCATGGATGGGGCGAGGGCGCAATGGCGGGTTGTACTAGGTGGTCGAGCAGTCGGCGGGGTAAGGCCTGGCATAGTGTAAGGGGTCGATTGAGGGAAGGGCAAAAGGGATGGAGACAGTATAGGGGACAGGCACATGCACCTAGCACACCACACACCCACAGCACCCGCCTTCCGCCTCGTCGCTCATCCCCAACCCTACGCCGCGGCGCTTCTTGCGCGCGTCCTCCGTGGGCGGCGGCGCGGCGCGCACGGAGAGGTGCACCACCGTCGCCTGGCCCTCGGACGGGGGGACAGCGGGATCGGGCTCCGTGACGGGGAAGGACCACTTCGCGAGCGTGTCCTCGTCCTGAAGGATCTTGCCGAGGTACAGGATCCGGAGGTACGACGGCGCAGGCGGCCGCTCGTCCTGCCATTCGTTCGGCCAGGCATTCCAGACGAGCTCCTTGACGCGACCGACAGTCGTGTCGGGGTCGAACGACATCGTGCGTCGCTTGCCGGTGATGGTGAGGAACGCTAGTGCCACCTGGGGCATCTGTGGGACGGCCTGCTCCCTGTGCGCGTAGTCCCCGATCGCCTTCTCCGGGTCTTCCATCTCCGCGTGCCCATCTCCCTCTCCCTCCCCGTCTCCACCCACTTCATGTACATCAGAGTCGACCTCGGGGCTGAGCTCGGCGAGCTCGGGCGCGGGAGTGCTAGGCATGGTCTGGTCGACGCGGGTGTAGGACGTGCGTGCGGAAGCGGACATGGGTGCAAAGGCGCCGGGACCGGTGCCCAGGGCGTGCGCGGTGGAATACCGGCCTGAGAGGCGGACAGTGGCAGCTCCGTGTAGCGAGGGTGCGGCGGAGTACGGCGCTGTGCGGGTGCTGAAGTGGTACGGGAACTGAGGCTGGGAAAAGGAGCGGGGGAGTGGATGCGCGGTGTCGCCTTCCGGTGGTGGTGCGGGCGAAGGTTCGGAGAGGCCTGGGGAAGACATGACGGGCGGAGACAAGGGGTCGGTGCGGCTGGTGATCTTCACACTGTCGGGCGTGAGAGGGCGAGAAGAGTGGAGGCCTTTCGGGAGGCGTCACGGGGCACACCTCGGAGCATAGCAAGTTTTCACTCACCTTGATCACATATAAGCTAGGAAATCTTCCTGCAGCCTGCAGTAATAGGGTATCAGCACTACAAATCACTGTGGTCTGTCCACCATACGATGGTCAATTATCAAAGGAGATGGCAGACATGACCATCGAATTTGATATTCAGCAGCAGCCGCCGAGCAGTTCATTTAAGTAGTAACTTGAAAGAAGAGCACCTTGAAGCAATGTTGAGGAACTTGAGATGGTGGGTATGATACGTTGGAAGCGACGCCGACGAGTCAGTATAGACTGAGAGGAGCGTGAACGAGGGAAAGACTTTGCGGGAAAGTAGCAAAACGCGTGTGGGCGTCTATTTTACGCGTCTCGGAGGACGAGTCTGCACACTGGACCCACTCCTTCAGCTTCCTTCTCCTCCTTCTCCTCGCTCGTATCTCAGACATTCACATATCTACATTGCCTTTGAAGGTTAGACGAGAAGCTCAAGATGTCGTTAAAGGTGCCAAAAGCAAATAATATGCAGCTCTTCAAAGACGGCTACAAGGTCAGCTCAGGTGAGGGCCCCCGCTGCACTGATCGATCCTACGCATTTGCTAACTTATACAAGGCATCGAGGATGCCGTTCTTCGGAACATCCAAGCCGTCGCAGAGCTGTCTGACCTTGTCCGAACGAGCTTCGGGCCAAATGGTGCGTTCATTGAGCGTGCTTGCAAATGACTTCGCACAAACTGTACAACGCACTTTAGGGCGCAACAAGCTTGTGGTGAACCATCTCGGTCGACTTTTCGTGACATCCGATGCCGCAACCATCATCCGCGAGATCGAGGTTGTACATCCGGCGGCGAAGCTACTGGTCATGGCCTCGCAGGCGCAAGAGTCTGAGATGGGCGACTCAACGAACATGGTGTTGATCCTTGCGGGCGAGCTGTTGAAGAAAGCCGAACACCTGCTCATCATGGGTCTGCACCCGAGCGAGATCGTGAAGGGTTACGAGCTTGCGTGCATAAAGGCATTGGCAGAACTCGAGAGTACGTGCGGACACTGTTTCCTTGCTCCTTTAACCTGATCTCCGGTTGCACAGACCTCCCAACGCGCTCACTGGAAACGCCACCGTCACAGTCGGGCCTAGCCGCAGCACTCAAGCCGGCGATCGCGTCAAAACAATACGGGTACGAGGACACGCTCGCAGCGCTAGTCGCTGAGGCGGCCCTGGCAGTCATGCCCCCGAACCCAAAGAACTTCAACGTCGACAATGTTCGGGTCGTCAAGATCATGGGCGGCAGCCTTGCCGGCAGCCAGGTTGTGCGTGGTATGGTGTTTGGACGGCAACCGGAGGGTGCGTTTTACTCGTCACTTCACTCGGAGCGGTCACTCATAGTCATCCAGGCATGGTTACAAAAGTGAAGAAGTCAAAGGTTGCGGTCTTCACGTGTGGGTTGGATATTGCACAGACAGAGACGAAAGGCACTGTGCTGCTTAAAAATGCGGAGGAGATGCTCAACTTCACTTCGGGAGAGGAGAAGCACCTCGAAAGGGTCCGTTTCACGCACCGCGAGTGTGTAGGCAAACCACTCACACAACGATTTACAGATCTTCCAAGAAATCGCCGACTCTGGCGTGAAGGTCATCGTTGCCGGCTCGACCATCGGCGAGCTCGCCCTCCACTACCTCAACCGCCTGGACATTGCCGTCCTCAGGGTCCTCTCCAAGTTTGACCTCCGCCGGCTCTGCCGCGTCGTCAACGCGACGCCGCTCGCGCGGATGGGCGCGCCCACCGCCGAGGAGGCCGGCTACGTCGACGTGTTTGAGTGCATCGAAATTGGCGGCGACCGCGTCACCGTGCTCCGCCAGCTCACACCGGACGACCCGGACTTCGACCCCACCACCCCCGGCGAGAAGACTCGCACGGCGACGATCGTGCTCCGGGGCGCGACCGCGAACCGGCTGGACGACCTCGAGCGCGCGGTGGACGACGGCGTGAACGTCATCAAGGCGCTCCTCAAGGATGCGAGGCTCGTCCCTGGGGCGGGTGCGACGGAGCTCGAGCTCGCGCGGCGCGTGGAGACGTATGGTGCGGGCTTGAAGGGCCTCTCGCAGCACGGGGTTCGCAGATGGGCAAGTGCACTCGAAGTCGTGCCGCGGACCCTTGCGGAGAATGCCTTCGGCGGCGCGGAGGGCAACGAAATCGTCAGCCGCCTCTGGGCCAAGCACGAGGGTGCTAATGGGGAGTCCTGGGGAGTCGATGTCGAGGTCCGCGTCCCCTTATTTCATACCTTACCCTTCTTGCTGAACTCGCTCGGTACAGATGGAGACCGACGGCACGCTGAACTCAAGCGAGCACGGGATCTACGACTCGTTGGCTGCGAAGACCTGGGCGATTAAGCTCGCGACGGAAGCAGCGGTCTCGGTGCTCAGCGTCGACAGCATCATCATGAGCAAGCCTGCCGGAGGGCCGAAGATACCGCAGCAGGCGGGCAATTGGGACGAAGATGACTGAGAACGCAACAAAGAGTAGAAATACCTAATATACTGTACAATTGCATCTGCTTTGACCTGAACTTAGTGAGCGATGAGTGCATCTCTGACGGCGGTGCTTCGGTGACCGAGGCCTGCATCATATCATGAAGATTTGAAATACTACAGCTATGTATTTGTGCGTGATACCAAAAAGTGTTCCTGTTGCACTGGCGACTTGGTACGAAAGGATCAATCCGCTGCTGGCAGCTGCACGTCCATCGCACCAGCGGCGAGGAGTCACTGGAACTCGAAAAATGTTGGCAGTGCGTCAGTCACGTGCGACGCGTTTAAGAGTGCTCTCGCAAGAGAAACTCGAGATGGTCCGTGCGCAGATCCGTCGTGGTATAAATGGCGCGCTGTAACATTCTGACACCTCATACTTACCTTGATGGAACGGTCCCCTTCATGTATCGGGAGCGTTGGCCGTAGGGGTCTCTCATAGCACGGCGACCATGTCCTCAGGGGATGTCTGCGGTTTGTATAGGCTTCGGCTCATGCATCGTCTCAATATTTCCCTGTTCTGCTTCGGCCCTCGGGCTGGGCAGGCCTTTTTTTATGTCACTGCGCCGTCCTAACCCTAACCCTACTCCCATGATACTATCACTTCATACAAACGCGTTGTACTTATGTATCGATGGCTTCGTTATACTCGTAGCTTGCTTCCAACATGAGTGTATTTAATATGAATGTATTTGGATTGCATGTTCATCGTCATCACGTACTCATCATGTTTCGCTATGTCTACATTGATACATATTTTGCGCTCGTGAAGCACCGTCGCAACAAAAACCTCTAAGGAGTTGTCTGGCGTAGAGGGCGCCGGCATGAAGAACTGTTATGGACACAATCCCGACTGGCTCTCGGGGTGAGGACTTCCTCCCCTTCACCAAGTGGGCCTGTCATCGCAACGTCCCTAGCAGCAAGCAGGTTATCTTCTGAATGTTGATGTCTTCGCCCCCCCGGTCACACGTGGAGAGATCAGGCTTACCCCAGGTAACTGAGCTCCTGTCGCAATCCCGTTATCACCACGTCAAGTAGTGCGAAGTTGAAATAGGGTCAATGCAAGGTTGTGACAAGCAGCCCACGCCCATCTACAGACCACCGCCACGGACGGCATGATCCTCGGAATTTCGTATAAGGGTGTGTCGACCGTGAATCAAGCCGCTGAGGTTTCTCAGGTAAGGGATTCTGCTCAGATCGGAGGAGAATATAGCGTCAGTTCGTATGCCAGTGACACCTTACGCCGGATAAATCGGACAAAACGCTGAAAAAGCGGCCTCATTCCACCTGGAACACTGATACAATCGGCGTCAGCTCATTGACTTGTCCTGAGGCGCGTCTATCACTCACTCTTCTTGACTGGAATACTTCGCCCTTGGCTACGTCCTCCTCAGTATCATCAACTCTGTGTCAGACGACGCCGTGTTACACTCGCCAAAGAGCCACATCCGGCTGCCTGGTGCACAGTCATATTGTACTCAGCTAAGCTTGGTTGACCCCAAGGACGCCGGCCCTGGTGCCCCACGGCACCCTACGTTGCAGTGGGTAATAGGCAGATTGGGTATGCCGATGCGGGGTTATCCTGTCAAGCTAAAATCCCTGTTCCAGGTCTTCTGTTGTCAGCCTCGGTGTTCTGCGTGTGCGAAGTGAGCGTTACTATGCCGTACTATGGCACCGACGAAGCATCGGAGAGTACTTACATACAGTACGTCGTGCGGATTATACAGCATCAGACCCGCGTAGCATCACTATACTCACCAACCACTGAGATCCTTCGACCGCTGGACCAAGCCTTCCCAGACAAGCAATCGCACTACCATAAAGATTCGTCCTGCAACGTCCCCATCCATCAGGTGAATACGCACCCTCGTCTCGAGCGCAGATTTGAGACGGCAGCCTCAGGGCCTCTTCATCAACGGATCCGGTACTCCTCCCTGCCGATGCGGATGCAGTGTGTGGCACTGTGTGCACGCTCCTTTCGCTGTAAACCCCAGAAGACGTGAACGTGGTCTGTGCATTCGCGCTTAGGCGGGGGTCCCTGCGTGTCCCGTTTGTGTTTGCGTAAAGCTGGCTTCGGCTCAGGTGCCCCGTCTGCCTAAGCTCGATTATTCGCTCGCAAATCTTTGGGGTTCGCGTTGCGTGGCCGAGAAGCCATGTCGCCAGATTAGAGATGCCGTACCTGGAGATTCAATTGCTTGGGGTCTCATACCTGTACCTCGTAAAAGGTGGTGTGCTCTACGATGTGAGACTCATCCTCGCTCGTATCTCTGTCACCACAATTGAGAAAGAAACCCAGCTATCGTATGTGGAAGGTTTTGGAGCAGAACAAGGTGGTGTACAGAAAAAGGGGCTATCGCTACGGAAGACGTGCTCGAGGCGGCCGATAGTGCCGTAGACTGCTATCGATGGGCTCGGAACGCGAGAATAATGACCCCGGTCCCTGTCCGCCATCAAAACGCGCTCGCATCGACAGACAGGCTTGTTTCTCACCAACCACTTCCATCGCACCCCAGCGCTGTCCCAACTCTCGTCGCCAGCGTATATAACCCCTCGCCTTCCGGCCTAACCTCTCATCGCCCCTCGTCCTCATCGAGCTTGTACTGCACCTGGTGTATGTTCTCGAACCAGTTAGGAAGTGCCCACAACAGTCACCGAGGCTCCAAGCATACCTGCGGCGACGGTTTATATCACCTCTAAGTCCCGTCACCTTCCCAATTGTTGAACTCTTCGTACTCGACCATGGCACCTTACCCGACCACGAACTCGTCTGGGCTCAACACTCCCGAGTCTGAGCTCGAGTCGGTGCTCCCCGTGCACCCGACAGCTGCTCGTCGCCCGTATCCGATCGTAGTGCAGTCTGAACAGACTTCCTACAGCGACGAGCACATCACGTCCACGTTCACCAACCGCAGCGCAGCCGTCGCTGTCACCGATGGGCAGTACGTCGTCACTCCCACCACGAAGCAGTACCAGCTGCAGACTGCTCGGAAGGTTTCAAAGACTGGGTGAGTCTCGCCGTATTATTTTCACTCACTGCTCTGGCGCCCGTGCCGTGACTTGCTGCACGTGGTCGCGAGTGCGCTGCCTGCGACTGCTGAGAGCCTTTCTCCTTGCGCTATACGTTGAAACCACTTACTGATGAATCTTGTATACGCAGATTGTTGATGGTAGGATGGGGCGGTAACAACGGGTCCACGTTGTCCGCCACGATCCTCGCCAACCGTCACAACATCGTCTGGCGCACCAAGGCCGGCATCCAGCAGCCCAACTACATCGGCTCGATGCTCCGCGCGTCCACCGTTCGTCTCGGCTCCGACCCGTCCACGGGCAAGGACGTTCACGTCCCCGTCTCGGACGTCCTTCCCATGGTGCACCCCAACGACCTCGTCCTCGGTGGCTGGGACATCTCCGGCTTGCGCATGGATGAGGCCATGAAGCGCGCGGAAGTGCTCGACTGGGACCTCCAGCGCCAGGTCATGCCGCACATGGCCGCGCTCGGCAAGCCGCTCCCCTCGATCTACTACCCCGACTTCATCGCTGCTAACCAGGAGGCCCGTGCGGACAACATCGTCCCCGGCACGGACAAGCAGGCCCACCTCGAGCAGCTCCGCGCGGACATCCGCCGCTTCAAGGCTGAGCACGGGCTCGACCGCGCCGTCGTCTTCTGGACCGCCAACACGGAGCGTTACAGCGAAATCATCCCCGGCGTGAACGACACCGCCGACGCGCTCCTCGCGGCCATCAAGACGTCACACTCCGAGGTCTCGCCGTCGACGCTCTTCGCCGTCGCGTCCATCCTCGAGGGCGAGCCCTTCGTGAACGGCGCGCCCCAGAACACGTTCGTCCCGGGTGTCATTGAGCTCGCAGAGCGCCACAAGGCGTTCATCGGCGGCGACGACCTCAAGTCGGGCCAGACGAAGCTCAAGTCCGTCTTCGCCGAGTTCCTCGTCAACGCGGGCATCAAGCCGCTCTCGATCGCGTCCTACAACCACCTCGGCAACAACGACGGGCACAACCTGTCCGCGGAGCCGCAGTTCAAGAGCAAGGAGATCAGCAAGAGCAGCGTCGTCGACGACATGGTCGACGCGAACCACCTCCTTTTCAAGCGCCCCGAGCCGGGCGCGGTCAAGGGCACGAAGGCCGCGAAGGGCGAGCACCCCGACCACATCGTCGTCATCAAGTATGTCCCCGCCGTCGGCGACTCGAAGCGCGCGATCGACGAGTACTACTCGGAGATCTTCTGTGGCGGCCGCTCTACCATCAACATCTTCAACGAGTGTGAGGTATGTACCATGGTCTCATAAGCCAGATACGTTGCTGACTCGTCACAGGACTCTCTGCTCGCTACGCCGCTCATCCTGGACCTCGCCATCCTCACCGAGCTGCTGACGCGTGTCCAGTACCGCGACGTCTCCGCCGGCCAGGCCGAGTTCTCACCGCTGTACTCCGTGCTCTCTCTGCTCTCGTACATGCTTAAGGCTCCGCTCGTCAAGCCTGGTATGTCCTTGATGCTTTCTGTGTGATGTGTTATCACTCACTTGTCGGGATAGGCACGGACGTCGTGAACAGCCTGAACAGGCAGCGCAACGCGCTCGAGACGTTCCTGAAGGCCTGCATCGGCCTCGAGGGCAGCAGCGACCTCCTCATGGAGACGCGTATCTGGTAAGCGCGGCGTTGAGGGCTGATACGTACGCTCTTGGTCTGCGGTTTTCAACAAACCCGCGCGCGTTGCTAGTACTTGATACCCGTGCTGGCCATTCATCTGGCTCGATCGAATGTAATTTGACCTGACGAAATGACTGAAACCTTGTTTGCGCCCTGTGGATCTATGATAAATGCCGCATGTCAGCACCGCGAGACCAACAGCTTCTATGACTTACTCTGGCTAACCCGGTGATGTGAACATGTTTGTACTGTTGTCTATACACCTGCAAACGAGTGGACTGATTCCGCCCGCCGAAATGGGGGCGATGAAAAGCACCTTATGATGTTTCGTATGATGCAGAGCGGGTGGCTCTCAGTGCGTCTGGGATTACGGTAAGGCGTCGTGTAGCAACATCATGCAAGCCTTGTTGTGCAAAGTGGTGGAAGATCACAATCAAGAGGGGATCAATTCTCAAGACTCGTGTGTACTTCATATACATGCAGGCCGGTGACTGACACACGACGTACTACCTACGAACCAAGATACTTAACGTCGTCCACGTCAAGAACGAGGAGAATCACCATTATATTTCAGCCACTGCCACAATATGGCCAAAAAAGGCAAGTCTCGACGCACCTGCCGAACGAACACTCAATATCCGGGGAGGGCTACGTCTCCTAGACGAGTCCTGTGCAGACCTTTTCGTGGTCCGGGGGATAAGTAACCTCTTCGAGGTGAAACCAACATGCACAAAAGGACGAGAGGCATAACCTGCCCCCAATCCTTAGGCCCATCACGGCCGCAACAGTCCAGACTTTGACTGGACGTCCCAGCAGGGCGTCGGAGCAGGGAACACCCCCTCCTCTAGTTCACAAGCATATCCTATTGACCTGGCTTCCACCCACACACTCTCTGTCGCTTCCTCCTCACTGCGCCCGATCCCCCGAGCGCCTACAGCGCAAAGGGCCCCCCACCGGGGTATAAAAACTTTAGAGTTCCAGCCACCCGTTTAAAACTATACAGATAAATGACCCGCACCACGCGACAAAGCCCTGAGCTCCCCGAGCCTAACACGTGATAGCCGGCCCACGAGAGAATTGAACCGACCCAACTCCCTCCCATAACCATGTGACATAAAGAAGCGACGAGAACATGAGGGATACAGACGCCACGTCCCAATCCAGGACATAACTCGCCACCAAATCCCAAAACATAGGCACCTCAACCAACTACATGGACAATATGCTTCCTCTTCTTGCATGACATTACGCCCAAGGCGCTAAAAGAGACGTAACCTTAAGAATAAAGCGTAAGTCTCGGGTCCCTGGCAAATGGAAACCAAACAAACGTTGACGCTGAACGTTAACGCTGAATGAAAACTCAGCTTAAAAGCTTCAGACATGAACCATGCAAGCGAACACACCCCCGACCCATACAACCCGCCAATATGCCCTGCGACCGACCTCAGCCTCCATCCCAAAAACAAAAATCCACCAATACGAACCGCTCACGGCCATACACTGGCGCAGGGCTCAAACCCACCCGTAATCCTATCCCCCTCCCCTCCCTACACATAACCAATGATAACGACGCCGCCGAGGTCGTCCGCGTCCGTGTCCAACAGCGGCCAGTCTGGGGAGGGAGGGGATACACCTGGATAGTCGACCAGCACCCGACGCAACAACTCGGACGAGGCACCCTCATCTCCATACAGAATGAATCGGGTCAATCCGGCACGGGACGCCTATCTTCGGCGTCCGACCTCCGCCGACATTGGATCACGTTCACTGTAGCTGGCGCCTCCCCGCCGTGCAACCTCCGTGTCCCTATTCCTTGGGCCACATTGGGGACACTCGAGAGCTATACACACACTACACACTACGCCACCCTCGCAGACCTTCCACCGCCCCACTCCTCCTTTCTAAACAACCCCGCCTTCTCCGAAGCGACGGACAACCCGTACGAATTCGAACTGTGGGATGTAGACACGGAGACTCTCGAGAAGAGGATCTCGCTGATCCGAAACAGCGGAAGACGCCGGCTGGGATCACGACCCAAATCGCCACAGCCGGACGAAGGGACGGAATGGAAGGACCAGCGAGGGCGCTAAAGAGACGACGAACGAGTATACCGAGAGACTATTATGCCCCACCAGACCCAGAATGTACCTAGAGACACCACACCGAGAAAAGAGATGCACGCCACGACGCCTGACTGCATTTCCAGAATATAATTCGAACACACACCGGGCAGTGAGGCCTCGAGACATACCTAAGGCCAAATGAAAGCCCGGCCTATCGCCGCCCGTGACATACGCCACATACGCCACAGCCCTGCCAAACAAGGCACAAGCGCACACAACGTCCGCGATCCCGAGACGGGCGCTCGGCATCGATCCCTACCCGTGTCAGAGCAAGCACCAATCCCAGCCCGCCCCAACCTCCAGGATCTCCCTGCAGAACAGCCGGTCCACCGACAACGGACACCACGAACCGAGAAACCCCGCGCAGGCAGCCAGATGGTCGTTTTGGCGAAGCGCTGGAACGATGCGAGCTCGACGACTGTCACAATTCCCGTCAAGTCGAGAAATAGAAACCGTAGTCGAGGTCAAGACGCACCGACGACGTCTCCCTTTGGTAGTAGACACACCGGTCGTACGAACGCCGCCCCCTTGACACGACCGTCCAACCGCTGGTTTTACAACATCGAACGACAACTCACGGTGCTCTGCACCATAAACTCCACGCGACTCTACCTGGGCAGAGTCAGCCTCCTCCCCCGGGAACACGGCTACCCTCGCTTTCCGCAACCGCAGCTTTCCTCTCTACACTGCCTGCCTGCACCAATGGCTCAGAGAAACAAAACCGCACAACAAAACAGGCGCTCCCCTGGGACGCCTGCCCCCCCGGCCCCTCCACGAGGCACGCCATCCCCGCCCCCAGGGACAAGCCGGACGAACGCGACGCGCGGCACCTCCCCCGGTCCCTCGGGCGAAAACAGCACCCGCCCTGGAAGGCCGGGTAGTCCGTGTAAGCACAACACAACATCCTCACGAGCCCTCACAGCTGATTCGATCCCCACCACCAGCCTACGCCGCGATGGTAGTGCGCGGACCCACCTTAGGCCCGTCTATAGCTGAGACCCCAGCACCGACGGTCCCAGCACAACCGGTCCCGGCCAACGACGTCCTATCGACAGCCCAACCTGCCGAAACAACTGCCGCCATCACCGCCCCATCGACGTCGACGCCGACCCAGCCTCAACAGCCTGCCTCTCCGCAGCCGGCCCGAGTCGAATCACCGGAAGCTCAAGGCGAGCCCCCCGTGCAAGACAAGAAAAGGAAGAAAAAGGTGAACAAAGGCAAAGCACGGGCGAAGCCTATGATCCCAATCGGAAGTGGACACCCACCAGGAGTAGCCAAAGGCCCCGTCTGGGAGACAGACGAGTATCAGAGACACGTCAGTGAGTCGCGAAAGCGCCGTCGCGTCACCGATGATAACCTCCCCGAGCGTACGCCGTCCCCGCCCGCCCGAGTCCAGAACTCGCCCGGCCCCTCGTTCGCGCAGACGGCCGCGATGGACTTCGACATGTACCTGGAGCCCGACCCTGAACGCGAGCCCACCACGAGCGAAGCATATGCTAGATTCGGCATCGACCCACGCTTCCTGACCGAGGATCTTTTCCCTCCTCCGTACATGACCAAAGACGCGCCATGGAACGACCCAAAGGCGTCCGGATGGGCGAGCGCGTCGCTCCGTCGCGACGTCTTCTGGAGCCCAACGGACGGCGACGCGGAGGCAGGACCCTCCAACTCACACCGAGAATCCCAAGAGACGCCGTACCAACATCCTAGCGTGAGAGGCGAGCAAGGTACGGTCTCGTTGCACAGACACCACGCACTGCACGCTGACAACATAAGAAGTTGTCTACAGCGCACCTGCTACGCCACAGATGTACGGGGCCACTAACGAGACTCGAGACACGTCGCACGCCCCTCGCTACGAGCCTCACACCGGCCGTTCTCCGACCGAACATCACACCCACCGCGTACCTCTGCCCCTCGTATACCGTCCCCTACGTTCATACCTCGAGTACCGTACATAGCGGGTCAGTCACGCCGCGGGCCGGGTGCCCCGACCCCGGGACCATCGAACTACCGCCGCTCCCCGTCCCCGCACGTCACGCGAGAGGAGCGCATACTCAGCCCGGTAGCGGTCCGTCGCCCTGTCCCCGCGTCTGGCGGTTTGTCTTCACTGCCCCGGACCTGCCTCGTACCCCACCTCGTCAAGCTGACGGCGATGTCGACATGCGAGACGTCAACGACGAGAACCGCCCCCCCACTGGCCAGCCATCTCGGAACGCCTACGGCGGCACGGATGCAAACGTTGATCGCCGAACATACGCCGCTGCCAACGCCCCCGCTCCTCCGCCTCTGCCTCCTCCCATGCCCCGGGCGCACGAACCCGTACACCAACACAATGCCTACCAGCAGCACGGGCATGCGCAGCCGAACGCGCCCATCGCTCCGGTGGCTCCACTCCTACAGCCAGGCGCCCCACCCGCTGCGCTCGGAGCCACGCCAGCACCTCCAAGTGGCTGGACTGAGGTCGAAGGCGACTCCTTCTACCACCTCGTCGACGGTATGGGCCTGGAGCAAATCAACGCGTGGATAGTAAGCGCGGCGGAACGTCCCACCCTCGTAGTCTCTGTCTTCGGATCATCCCCGAACGACCCCGGTCGATGGCAACGCATCATCGACATGCGAGACGCTATCCGCGCTCGCTACGGAGTCCCGGAAGCAGAAATCACCCCGTCCACCTCTACACAGATCGACCCTCTCGAGAACTCCGGCCCCTACTACTACCTCGTCCAGAACATCACGGCCGAGCAACGTGACGCAATGGTAGCCGATCGTGTTCTATCCACGACGGCCATATCCATGTACTTCACTCCCCTCCGGTTCGGCCCGCCCAACCTCACCGCCATATGGAGCGACCCAGAGTGTTTCGGCGCGACGACGCCCACCGGCATCGCCGGCGCCATCGTTAACGCCCTCAGCCGGGAAGACCTCGCACGAGACATCCAGGGGATCATCCGCGCCGACATCGAAGCGGCGGACGCTGGCGGCATGTCTCCGTGGCGGTCGCTTTCCGCGCGCTGCTGGACTCCATCCGCGTATCCATCCTCGACTACCGCACGCAGGGCGGAATCCTAACGCCGCTTGTCCTCATGTACTGCGAGTCCCCGACGGCGAACCCCGTCGAGTGGAGCGGCTTCCGGACCCTGCTGAGTCTCCACCGCCTCGGAACCCCGATGACCGGCCACCCCACCTGGTGGACCGACCACTTCCGCTGCCTCATCTGTCACTCGGTCGCGCACCCGACCGGCCTATGCCCGATGCCGGCGGTCCGCGACTGGCACGGCCCTACGCCTAACTCGGAGAACATCCGACGCCAGATGAACGCCATCGCGAACGTCCAAGCCCAAGTAAACGGAGGCGCACAAGGCCAGCGAGGCGGGCCACGCGGCGGAGGCAGAGGCGGGCGAGGCGCAGGCGGCGGCGGCGGTGGACGCGGGCAAGGACGCGGTCGAGGTGGCCGAGGCCGCGGAGGTGCGCGAGGTTTCTAAGTACTTCGTATATCACTGTCCCGCCCCTCCGTCTGTACACGCATATCACTCACATCAGGCAAAGGCCTGCACTTCTTGACCCCTGTGCATCGTAACCTACGACATGTAATGCCATCACTGACCTCTGACGATACCACCACGTCTGCTCGATTCTAACCAGCTATGAGAACTAACCGAGGTGGGCGAGGAACACGCGTGCCCACATTTACTGACCGTACGCGGGACAGGAAAGCCGCGGACCTCGCTCGCTGATCATTCTCTCCCCACACACAGTATGGGCACTGTTAGACTTGCCCAGCCGAGAGGCTTAAGCAACCGCACTTCCCGGAAGTGTGCGCGCATGTTTCCTGAGAGCCCCAGGAGCGGGCCCCGCCCCCTGTGGATCGTTGTAGCAGGGTGTGCGTACAGCAACGGCTACAAATATATTCACACACAACCCTACGGACGCATTTTTGGCACACGGCTCACCTCTCCCTCGACGAAGAGGCGAAAACGCGCCCCCTGTCCGCGAGATCTCCCATGACTCGACGAGGGAACCCGGAGGCAGGGCGACCGCCCAGGGACCGCCTGGAACCCCAAGCGGCGGCCGAGTCTCACGCACACTCTCAGGAGGAACTGCCCCAACAGGCGATAGAACCACACCTGCACCCAGGAACGCTCGCCCAAACGGTAGGCGGACGAAGGCATCCCTCCACCTAGGCTCCCTGAACATCAGCGGCCGAGGATCTTTTGCAGCTGAGAACAGCAACAATAAATGGAATGCACTGAACCAAATCCTCCGCGAAAGAAAGATCGGAATACTTGCACTACAAGAATCGCACCTCGACGACGACACCGTAAACCAAATACACAGACTGTACGGACGTAGAGTACAAGTACTCCACTCGGCCGCGGATGACGCGAACGCGGGAGGCGTCGCTTTCGCGTTAAACAGAGAAATAGTCGATACGAACGGTGCACGGATAACAGACGTTATACCCGGACGCGCGGCCGTGCTTAAACTACACTGGCATGCGGATACCTACGTATCCATACTCAATGTCTACGCTCCCAACAACACGAGCGACAACGCTGCCTTCTGGGGCCACTTAGAGGCGAAGCTCGGAACGACCGATCTCCCTGCACCAGATGTGATCCTCGGAGACTTCAACATCGTTGAAGAACCGATTGACCGGCTCCCGTCGAGACCAGACGCGTCGACAGCAGTTGAGGCTCTGCAGAGTTTCGTACGCAAAGCGAGAGTTCTCGACGGGTGGCGGGCCACTGAACCCACCACCAAAGACTATTCCTTCCCCCAGCGAGGTAGTCTATCACGCTCAAGGTTGGATAGAATCTATGTTACCAGCTCAGTATTACAACGGGCACACAGCTGGTCTATAGACAATACGACGATACCGACCGACCACAGACTGGTAAGCGCTCAGCTGAGTACAGCACAGGCCCCACATATCGGACATGGAAGATGGTCCCTACCGCTTCATATCCTCGCCGATCACACCAAGCAGCGCTTTCTCACCGATCCTCATCCTACAGCCGACGCGCAGTCTCGCGGAACACCATCGCATGAGCCGACGGCGGCCGACGCGTCGGCTTGTACGATGAGGATCGTGCAACCGACATCAGTAGGTGTATAATGCATTTGGCTGGGCGGGATGTATACAGTACCGTAGTGATCCGAATCAATAGTACTTGAATGGTCGGCTGGGCTTTTCTTGCGTGCTCAAAGCGTCGGGTGGCGCGGTCAAGGCGTCGTCTTGCTGGTGAATGCCTGATTGTGACGCGTCGCACTGGGCAATGGCCGGCTGGGCTCTGCAGCATTGTATGCCCAAAGCATCAATTGGCGCAGTGCAGCGCGGCGCGTCACGATCGGGCACGCGTTCAGGCGCGTTCACTCGGAAAGTTCAATGTTTCAACGCGTCAGCTCTCACTATCGCCTGCATACTCCCGCTCGACTGCCGTCCTGATCGCGGTCCGTCCTGTTTGTCTACCATAACACACACCTGCCGTCCTGCTCGCACGCCGTCTCGCCCGTCTACCGTCTCACCCGTCTACCGTCTCACCCGCTATGTATCTCACACACCCGGCGCCGTCTTATTCACCCGCCATCCTGCTTGTCCGCCGTCTTGCACCCCCATCGCCTCGCACACCTGCCGTCTTGCTCACCTGCCATATCGCCGGCCTACCGTCTGGGGTGCCACCTGCAGCGCCACAAGGGCGTGCGGAAACACCACGACGGCGTCAAGACTGCGGGGATGCGGGTGAGGCGAACATGTGAGTACCCCCATGCACGGTCTCAGGCGCGACAGCACGCGAGGACAGCGCACATAGGGCAACTGCCCCGGATGCAAGCACACCGCGCGCGGACACAGCGACGAGCCGGGAGGAATGCGAGAGGTAAGCAGGGTGGGGGTGGACGAGTGGTGAGACGGGCGAGCAAAAGACGGGTACGCGACGCTCGGCGATGTGTCGCACGACGGGCACGACGGGCGAGGGGCATTGCCTGCTACGCGTGAGTGCAAACACACGCAAGTGAGCTCACTGACCACAGGCACAGGAAGCGGCGGCGACGTGCAGCACGACGCACACGGCGACCACGTGTACCCAGGGCGAATGCCTCTTGCGCAGACATGGCCGATGAACGGCGGTGGGGCGGGCAGACGAGCAGGCGGGCGGGAGCGCACGCCGACCGTGCGCGCGCTGGGCAACTACCCAGCACGCGAACACGGCCAACGAACATGCGCAAAGCGAGCGCGTCAGCGGCTGGGTCAGTGGGTGGGTCAGCGGGCGGGCAGGGGGACGCGCGAGTAGACGGGCAAGACGGCGAGTAGCCAAGCGAGTGAGCAGAGACACCGGAAGGCAGGCTGGTTCACGGGTGCCGGGGTAAGCAGGCGGACGGGGCATGCAGGTGAGTGGATAGGTGGGACAGTGGGCAGACAGGTGGGAAAGGGAAAGTGGGCGGGCGGGAAAGCGGGCAGGTGGGAAAGCGGGCGGGCGGGAAAGCGGGCGGGCGGGATAGCGGACAGACCAGCGGGCGGGCGGGAAAGCGGACAGACCAGCGGGCGGGCGGGAAAGCGGACAGACCAGCGGGCGGGCCAGCAGGCAGCCCACGGCAGACATGCCGAAGGCGAGTGCATTGGGCGAATGCCCAGCACACAAGCACGGCCGCCGACAAACGGAGCACGCGCACACGAGCTCAGGACAGAAGAACGTCAATGGACAGGGCCGGGCGTGCGGAACACGTCGACCACGAGCACACAGGGCCAGCGCCCCGCGTGCAAACGCAACCGATGAGCGCGCCGTGGGTGTGGGCACAGCGGCGAGCAGGCGGGAGGACGTGTGGATGGCGCGTGAGAAGCGGGACGAGCAAGCCTAGGCGAGCGAGGAGGACGGCGAAGACGGCGGGTGCGGGCAACGAGCTCAAACCCGCGCAGGGACCACCGAGGTATGCCAACCCACAGTGAACCGGGGTAGGATACAGGTAGCACCACCCATGGATACGGGTACGCTCGTCGCGGGTGCGGCATGTCTCACCTGCTATCTTATACATTCACCGTCTTGCACACCCGCCGTCTTGCACACCCACCGTCTTGCACACCCGCCGTCTTGCACACCTGCCGTCTTGCACACCCACCGTCTTGCACGCCTACCTGCCATCTTGCATTATCAATCACCCACTGTTACATTCTCCTTCTGGTTGTGCTCGCTTTCTTGTCTGTTTGAAGTCTCGGTGTACTAAAACTGTAAGAACCTACAAACTAGATCAGGCTTCCGATATAAACTAGATTTGCTTGTTAACAGCATTGTGGGCAGTTTCAGACGAGAGAGAGCATGGACAAGAAGTGCAATCTGTTGCTATAAGGCTTCCTCAATATAGTTCCAGTCAAGCTTGCCTATGGCCAACACCGTGACTGCCATATTCATACTCTGTCACTGTATGGATGTGATGGTTCGCTTTGAGCAATGAAACTCATTGTCAGTTGGCCCAACATGCACATACACTCTTCGTAACTGTACTGCAGTTACACTTGATATAGACTTCGGGATATCATGATCATATGTTCAGTACAACCACTATTAGCATTCAATAGTATAGAAGTACAAAGGAGTGGACAACTAGAAGATATGTACACAAACTCAATGATAGTGGTCAGAGCACCCACTAAATGCGTGAACACTCTCCAGTGTTCTGCCCTCGGACATTGCCTCGGCCATGTCCCCGAGTCACCCGAGATGGTCTCATTCTCTTTATAACTTCACCTCTGTGCCACCATATGCTATGAGACTTTGTACCAAGCATGACTATGTGTAGTACATGGCTTGTATAGAATTCTGTGAGAATTGAACCGTGGGGTGCATTTGTCTAAGACATGCTCTCCATGTATGACCTTCTTAGCTATCTCAAGCTATAACATTGCCAGATTGCTTCAGAGAATTGCCAGCAGCAACATGTACCATAGACACAGCATGAATACAACTTCTGTATGTACTTGATTGAAACAATTGTCTTGCAGAAGCTGAGATTTAACCCACATGCCTCTCAATATCTCCAAACAACATATCATCTTTGAAACATATCCTGAGATCCTCTTCCCGTATGAGCTGAGATTACACAAAGCCAAAGTGCTCTTTACATATACAACAATGAGGCTAATAGCCTACGTGAGTGGCTTGCCTAATCTACTACATGTAGTTCCACAGCAAACTCAGTACTAGATCAGCGAAGTATCATCATTGTCAATTGCTGCGAGCCATTCAGGAATCACTCTAACAGAACAAGGAATACCTCAGTGTCTTACCATTGTATCTCTATTTGCTGATATACAGTTACTACATGGTGTATTGCACCTCAACACCGTAATGACTGTCTATAGTAGACACAGTCACGGTACAAACTTATATAGGACATGTCTAATAATACATCCACACCATTGGCCCCAAACCAATGAGCAAACAGCGTACAGTGTTGCACGTACATACCATTCAAGTCGAGTCAAGAAACAAGATGCATACTTGCTGCCTTGTCAATGTCAAGGAGTTTATCACGATTCAAGACGGTGAATGTCAAGGAGGCTTCTTGACCAGTCCGCCTTGATACCTCCAAGGAGCTCTCCGTCTTGAGATGTCCGTCTTGAGATGTCCGTCTTGAGATGTCCGTCTTGAGATGTCCGTCTTGACAATGTCCGTCTTAACTTGTCCGTCTTAACTTGTCCGTCTTAACTTGTCCGTCTTAACTTGTCCGCCCTAATTTGTCCGTCTTAACTTGTCCGTTTTAATTTGTCTGTCTTCACTTGTCCGTCTTGACACCTCCAAGAAGGCTTCTTCAATATGCTCGCCATCTTGTTATCCTCCTTGACACATTCCACGTTGAAACCTCATTGGTGTTTGCCCACCTAGATACCTCATTAACATGTTGGTATTGACCAAGATGAGCCAACCATTAGTTACCTTGGGTCAAGAAGGTCTTAGTGAGTAAGAAGGTCAAGAAGGTCAAGAAGGTCAAGAAGGTCCAAGAAGGTCGGCTGAGTCAAGACGGATATCGGCCAGGAAAGATACCTCAGCTGATGCTCGGCTCATGCATTGTCTTGGGTGAGACAAGACAGTCGGCTGAATCCAGACAGTGGTCGGCTGCAAACCTTCTCCAACCGACGGTCAGATAGTGCATTGTCTTGGGTGAGACAAGACAGTCAGCTGAATCAAGACGGTGGTCGGCTACAGATTTTCTCCAGCTGAGAGTCGGATAGTGCATCGTCTTGGGTGAGACAAGAAGGTCGGCTGGATCAAGACGGTGGTCGGCTGCAAAAGCTTTGCAGCCGACGGTCGGATAGTGCATTGTCTTGGGTGAGACAAGAAGGTCGGCTGGATCAAGACAGTGGTCGGCTGCAAAGCTTTTCCAGCCGACAGTCGGATAGCGCATCATCTTGGGTGAGACAGAATGGTCGGCTGGGCGAGAATGTCTGGGTCAGCCAATCATCCCATGCACCGCCTTGCCCGCCTTGTGCCGCCTTGCCCGCCTTGTGCTCGGCCGACTCAATCACCTTCCATGAGACGGTTGTGGTCGGCCGAGGTCGGCCCATCCCATCCCATTCCACGAGACTGCACGTCGGCTGTACCATGGTCATCCATGAGACAGCTGAATGGGCTCCGCCGATAATGCTCTCTTGACCGATATAATAGAAGCAGGGGAGAACGCATGGGAGAAAGCTAAGGCCTGTCTCGAGAATGAAGAGCGAACGGAGTCCTACAACCCACAAACAATCTTCAGGGACTTTAAGAAAGACGTACAAACCCTAACGAGGAACAAACTGCGAACAAAGCTCCCTAAGCTGGATGCGGCGATTCGCAAGTTGAGAGACGAAATCAAGAAGACGACGGCGCGCCCAAATTTCGAGAAAGACCTGCAGGGTCAGACTGACGTTGGCACCATGCAAGACCGCCTCCTTGACCTCGAACGCCGTCGACACGGATCCACACGGACGGCGACAACAGTACGATACGCCCTGAACAGAGAAAGGCTGAGCAAGTACTGGTCAACAATAAACAAAACTAAACGGCCGCGTGACATTATATATGCGCTGAAACGCCCCGAATCCAACCCCCCCGCGTACGAAACCCGCTCGGATAAGATGGCAGAGCTTGCTCGTGATTACCACGAAAAGCTGCAAATGGACGGTTTAGACAGCGACCAAAATGCGCAGACGAGACGGGCTCAGATAATGGAATCCCTACAGCCCGCAACCGCAAGGATACCCCAAGACCTTCTGAAGACCTTGGACGAAGGAGTGAGCAGAGAAGAGGTAGAGGACGCCCTCCGGAAGGCAGGCCACGGAAAAGCGGCTGGCATCGACGGCCTGCCATACGAGTTGTGGACAAAATTGCACGACAAATGGTCAAACCCAGCGAAGGAACGTACCCACGAGTTCGACTGTATAGGAATGCTGCACCTCGTCTACGAAGATGTCGAACGATACGGTGTATGCCCCACCTCCGGCTTCGCGGACGGATGGATGTGCCCACTATATAAAAAGAAAGATAAGCGAGATATATCGAACTACAGGCCTATCACACTACTCAACACCGACTACAAATTATACACCAAGATCCTAGCAATCCGGCTTGGAGAGGTCGCCACAACAGTCATCCACCCTGACCAAGCCGGTTTCGTACCAGGACGCCACATTACGAACCAGACCCAACTGTGTAGGGTAATGGTGGACTACGCAGAAGCGGTGGAAGAGGATGGGGTGATCATAGCGCTCGACCAGGAGAAAGCATACGACAAGGTAGCGCATGACTACCTATGGGAAGTCCTTGCGCACCTCGGCTTCCCCGCACGCTTCATACGACGTGTCCAGGAGCTGTACAAGCATGCGACCACAATTGTGATACTCAACGGTGAAAGCAGCACGCCATTTATAGTTATACGGGGCGTACGTCAAGGCGACCCACTGTCGTGCCTTCTCTTCGACCTCGCCATTGAACCCCTCGCCTGCTCTCTACGTGCCTCGACTCTCCGTGGATTCACCATCCCGGGTGCCGCAACGAGAGTTATAACGTCCCTCTTTGCGGACGATACCTCCGCCTTCCTATCGGCACAGGACTCATGGTCCGGCCTGTGGGTGATCCTTGAGAAATGGTGCAAGGCGTCGAGAGCCCGCTTCAATGGCGGGAAAACAGAAGTCATCCCCATAGGGACTGAGGACTACCGTAATCGGCTAGCCACGGACCGCATCATCAACCCAGCACACCCAGAAGACCGCATTCCCGACTCGGTACACATTGCAAGAGACGGCGAGGCCGTGCGTATCTTGGGCGCATGGATTGGCAATAAAGTCGACCACGTCGCGGTCTGGGCCCCCGCCATGCAGAAGGTGGAAGCCTTCCTTGACCGATGGGGGAAGTGCAACCCGTCCCTCCAAGGGAAACGACACATCGTCCAAATGGGCCCCGGTGGCATTACGCAATACCTGACGTCGGTCCAAGGAATGCCGAAAGAAATCGAAAAGAGACTCACATCGATGATACGTTCCTTCATATGGGGAAACACGAGAACCCCACCAATCGCCCTGAACCTGCTCTGCCTCCCCGTAAGCAAGGCGGCCTGGGCCTCCTGGACATAAAAAGCAGGAATGAAGCGATAGAATTGGTGTGGGTGAAAGGTACCTCACGCTCTCCGACGCGAGGCCGACGTGGGCCTTCGCAATGGATGTGCTAATCAGCAAGTGGGTAACAAGGGACGCCGGCGCGATCCGGCCAGAGTCACAAATAAATACCTTCCTCCAGAGCTGGAACCCCGCAACGCACAGCCGCTCCCCGCTGCCGCGATACATACAACGTATGCTCCTGGTGGCAAAGAAACACAATGTGAGTTTTGCAGCCATAAAACTGGACAACGCACGAAGGAGCTCCTACCCATGTGGTATCACCTAGGCGCGACGAAGCACCTGAGATCGCTTAACAACACGCCGCGCAGCGACTGCCTCCGACGGACTCACAAAGCCATGCAAGTACATGACCTTGTTAAAGTGACGAACAGGGCCTGCTTCGCACGGCTCCGGGAGTCCCAGAATGACTACATCCCTGACTCGTGCGAATGCACCCAGTATACTCGAGACAAACAGGCCGGCTGCAGAAACCCTCTGAAGTGCTGCCGAACAGCACACAACCTCTTACAGCAGATCCGACCGAAGTGGAACCCAACTCAACACTCGCCAGCCGACGGCCTCTCCCTAACAAGGCGGAGGAAAGAAAAAATGAACTGGCCCTCGAAGATCACGAGGAAATCATCTTTGACCCATCGCTGACGTGTAGGGGCCCACTAGGCGAAGCGTTCAGAGCGTTTGTGGACCCGACAGTCCACGACCAACCACCTGCGATAAGGCGCAGGCGGGGGCGCATCATAGAAGATGAAGCTACGACGGTGTATATCCTAGGCTACCTCAAGAAAGGCTACTGGCCTGACGGCGACTTTGTAGCCCACCCGCAGTCGGGCTTCGTCTACTACCCCACATCGCCCGACCGAAGCGTGCAAGTGCGACCAGAAGAAGCCCTCCCGGCCGCCCAGCACCCCCAAGGCGAGACACTGGCGGCCCTGAAGGCCGCGCTAGACACCCCCTGGGACGCACCCCTACATATAGTGTCCTCGTCCACCAGACTAGCAGTCGAGATGACACAGAAACTCCCTCAGTGGGAAGACAGGGGATGGATACAAATAGACGGGGCAACGTACCTTAGAGCCCTGGCAAATCAGCTCCGACAGAGGTGCGCAGTGACCACATTCCGAACTCCCAAGAACGGACAAGAACGAGACATAATGCTCAAAGCACACGACCACGCGGTAGCGTCATACCCCCATGTCCCCCCACAGCACGTCCAACCCCGCATCACTAAATCCTTCGACCTCTCCGGCGCCAGGATGTCATCCCTGACGCAAGCCCTGGCGTACCAGGGCATTCGGGCATCTGCCGAGTCACCAGAATGTCGTTCAACGCAACGCCACCTCTCGGAAATACGCAGTCTCCTGACCGCGTGTAGCGGACCAGTGCATGATGGGGAAATATGGAAAGAGGTTCGGCACGGCGACATCCGCCGACCAGTGACCGATTTTCTGTGGAAAGGCATACATGGAGCTCACCGTGTGGGAGCCTACTGGACCAACATACCAGGCTACGAAGACAGAGCCGTCTGTAGACTCTGCGGAGTCACGGAGTCCATGGCGCACATCCTAACGGAGTGCGCCGCGCTTGAGCGGAGTTCAGTCTGGAGCTATGTTGAACGAGCCTGGACCCGCACGGGCGGTGAATGGCGCGAACCGTCACTCCCGTCTATCTTAGCAGCAGGGCTTGCCACGCCTAGACGCGCAAACGGTAAACCTTCGAAGGATCACTCAGTGAAACTGTGGCGAATACTTCTAACAGAGGCCGCGTACCTGATATGGTGCCTGCGCTGCGAGAGGGTGATACAACACGAAGACGAGGCGAACTGGAAGCACAGCAAACGCAGCATCGCTGCACGTTGGTACGCGTCGGTGAACAAGCGGCTACACCTGGACATAGAAAGTACACACCCCCGTTTTGGCAGACTAGCAATAAAGCGCCAGCTAGTCCTTGACACATGGCATCATCTCGTTTGGGACGTTCAAGCGCTCCCGGACGACTGGACCACGGTCCAACGGGTTTTAGTGGGTATTGATCCGACCATCTGCACATCTGCTGATCCCGGGTCCTGAGCCCCACACTGGCCTAACAAGCCGTGCGTAAACGCATTTTTCCCTGGATTGCGCCTGCGGATCGCTCCGCTAGCTGGCCGGGCCCCGAGGGCTGACCAATTGTCAGCTGCTCCGGGCCCGTGTGGCCCTCCAAAAAAAAAAAAAAAAAAAAAAAAAAAAACACTCAATATCCGATTGACAGGTCGTCTTATCAACTGACGTACGCGGACCTATTGAACGTATGGCCGCCCACTCGACATATAAATGCCAAGTATACAGCACGAGCTGTCTTTAGATCTCTAGAATTAGAGTCTACATACCAACATGACCAACTTTCACGGTCTGCGACGTAAAGTGGACCCATGCGCGTACAACACAGAAGTCGCTCGACCAAATATAACACCATGATATTTCAGAAACAACAACACGAGCGTCAGATACGTAGAACAGGGCGAAGCGAACAACCGCGCACCAACATGGACATGGCGTGCTACAACACAGTAGGCTACGTAGGTCAGACAGCGCGCGGGCGCGGGGGAGGGGCAGCATCGAGCATGGGGGAACAAACAACATGGAGGGACGCAGCGACCGGGCGCCGCGCGGCAGCGGCTGGCGCGCACGAGGGGAAGGGGACGCGCTGCCGCGACTGTCCGAGCAGCCAGGGGGAGCGCGGGGGTACGGAATAAGTCAAGGGCAAAGAGCAAAACGTGTACGGTGGGAAGAATTAGAACGAGAATGACAGACACCGAGGGGGTAACACGTCTATCGATGTGGGATCGGAAGCATAAGAAAGAGCGAAACCGCGAGGGAGGCGGTGAGGGAGGCGGCTACAGCGAGCGACGGTGGAACGGTGGGGGCGTGGAGGAAGCGTTGATCATCGCGCTTAGTGGTTGCGGCGACGGTGGTGCGCACCAAAGATGGAGCGCTTGTCCGCGCGACGCGCGTTCGCGCTGAACGACACCGTCTCGCCGGCGGATGCATCGAGGTACCCGTTCACGATGCTGCGCGGGATCGCCGTCTGCGTGTAGTCCCACTCAGTGAGTTCCTGGACGGAAATCGCATCGCTGTCCACGTCAAACACAATCCCGAATGTCGCGGGTGTGTCGACGGGGCGCGCGAATGCAGAAGCACCCGAGCCCGTCGCGCCCTTGAACGAGTAGATCTCCGAGATAGCCGCAGACGGGTCGTCGCCGTTGCCGTAGAGCACCTCGGCGATGTCTAGCTCACCGCAGCCGCCGACACCTTCGCCACGGCAGTTACAGCCGTACTGTGCAGCCCAGACAACTTGCGCGTTCAGCGCCCAGACCGCGGGCACCTGCGATGCGTCAGACGAGTCGGGCATCGTCACGGTCATGACGAACATCTTCGACTCGCCCCAGCCATGGTTGGAAGTGCCACGAGTGAAAGCGGAGCAGGCGTTGGTGTCACTGCAGGCGGTAGCAGTCACAATGTTCTGACAAAAGATCAGTGGCCGACCGGGACGGAGGCTGTAGTCCGACTTACCACTTCCTGACCGGCGGGGAGGGTGCCGTCCATGACCGAGTCCATGGGCGAGGCAGCCGCATCGGTCCAGTTACCATTGGCGTACGATTGACTGGCGCCACCGCAGACTGCAGCAACCATGAGCAAACTGTGAAAGCCCTAACAAATCATTGCAACACGTACCAGACCATTCACCAGAAAGGCCTCCGCCCTTGTTGTTCATGAACACCAAGTTGTTAGCAGAGCCACCGGCGGTCCAGGAGCTAACCTGCGACCAGGTCGCCGCGGAGGTGTTGGCCGGCTGATAGACAGCGATGTTAGAGATTGTCATCGGCCCACGGAAGGCGATGGTCATTTCATCGTCGAAGGGTGCAAGGTTGCCTGTGAACCGGGATAATCAGTCAGACGTCGGCTTCGAGGCCCATCAGGCAATTCGGAAAGCAGGGTGTAAAGCGGCAATCCTGCGGCGCCATACCGCTACCTGGCCGGAAGAGAAAATTGTGAAACGCGTTCTCAAACGAAGAAACTTACCCGAAACGGACACGCTCTCCGTCTGGCAGTAATTGCTCACGCTACAACTAGGCCAGTCACCGGGGACAAGGTCGGTGACCTTGTTGTAGCTGCCAGATCCACCGATGCCGGTGTACTTGATGGATGTGAGGGAGTTGTCACGCCGCATGAGGTTGTTGGGCGTGAGCGCGTTCGCGCCGACGAGGAGCGTCGAGACAGTGACAAGGGCCGAGAACATGCTGGTTGTAGGATGTGTTCGTCAACAAGCGAATGTGTGCGTGGGGAACGAGTGTGGTGTCGGCCTTGCAGAGGTCGACGGGGCGAGGAACGCGCGGGCAAGGGAGGCCGTTGGTGTGAGAGAACGTGGGAGACGAACAGGATGAGCGCAGAGGCACGCACTCTGTATTTAATGCCCTCGGCACTCGCCGCAGCCACGGCCTTTTCGCGCCCCCCAGAGATCGTGATCTGTGAGCGTCACCCAATCGGGAATAAGCAGGCCTGGTCCCGTCGGTCTCGCACTGCGTCGCGCAACAATTGGTGGCACCTCCCAAGCACCTCTCCATCACGCACGCACTGGAACGCAACTGCACCGAGACTTACCGGACTACACGGCCTCGCGATCGACACGCGTAAAATGTCGATCGATCTCTCCGGGCCTCCGCGCGTGAGGCTTTAACCAGGCTTTAACTTCTGTGGCTACGGTCCAGTAAGTTAACCACGATGCGCCTGCAATACTGTATTGGTGCTCACCGGAACGGCGTCGTCTAGCACCGTATGACAATCCGCTCACTCTCTTGGCACTTGCTCGACACTAAAGTACTCCGTTGTTCGTGCCTGGTGTCGATGAGCGCTGAGCTGGCACATTCAGCATGGCATCCGACAGCGTGGTATGCACGAGGAGTCGGAGGGCACTGACCGTTGCTGTCTGCGTGGCTTTTGGACTACCGCTGGCTCTAATTTCCGCTGGATGTTCCCTCAATTGTCCTTCATGCGAATGTGTTGGACGGACGTAAGGGAACAGCACGTACACGGCAGGTTGTGCGTGTGATACCGAGCTAGTGATGATGGAAGACCGAAGTCCAAGGAGGACCTTGCCATTGACGAGACGAGGACGCGCTTTAAGTACTTGCACCCAGAAAGCAGTCTTCTGCGATAGTTCATCGTCTGCCAGAGAGAGTTCAGAGAGATGTCGATCGTAAGTATGACGAGTTGCCTAACATAGCTACAACCTGCCCGGAAAGGAAGCTGGCCGCAATACGCCACCACGAATCGCGGCCCAGATGACGACGACATCGTCGGGGTCCGCGCTGACTTGTCTCTGAGAGAATACCGGCGTAAAATCCAAGCGTTGTGAAGCCTGGAAAGGCCATGCACATTGCAGGCTGTGTATCACTACCGCTGTTGGGGGAGAGATCACATAAGTTCAGTAGTTCAGTGATAGTGCGATAAGTCTAGGAGTAAGTAGTGTTCGGTATATAAGTTAACTTGTACTATCTAAACCATAGTAAGTATAGTATACTCTGGTCGGGACTCGGCCTTGTCATCCCTTCCTCTTCTCCCTCTACCATCTCCTTCCTCTGCAGGCATTCTACGCAAGGCGGATGGTGGTTCAAGTGATATTTGGACTTGTTGCAGCTGTGCCATCCAAGTACTATGTTCACATAGGCCTCACAACTGTTGCTCTCGTTGTTCTCTACGCCTTCTCCCAGGGCCGCACAACCAACCGTGAACGGGATCTCCATGCGCGGGTCATCATCCTTACAGTTGCGTAAACTGCTCCTCAATGCAGCTCTCGATTTACAGAATTGTTTTTGTCTAGTAGGGAGGCTTCACGCCGGTGGGCCTCGTGCTGCTCAATGCCCTAGCTTCGCGCGGCGCGCACATCATCGCGCTCTCGCCGTACGCTCTCGACCACCCCTATCCCTCCGTCCTGATCCCCCTCCTCCGCGCAACTACCAACAACGAGCACATCTACGCCGAGCATGCAGACCTCGCCGATCCCAAGTCCATCCGCGACTTCTCCACCAAGTTCCTGACGGGCCAGGACACACGTCTCGACGGCTTCGTCTTCGCGCATGAGTACCATACCATCGGGTCGTTCTTCCGGCGTGGGCAAAATGGGGAGTACGCACAGAGGCGAGAGACGGCGTCGCTTGCGACGTTTCTCATTATCACCCTCCTGCTGCCCGCGCTCCTGGTCGAGCCCGCCGAGCGCGACATTCGTATCGTCAGCGTGGTCAATCCGTTCTATGCGGCAGCAGCTCCCGCCTTCGCGGCGCAACTGTCTGGTGTGTCCAAGTCTTCAGGGTCATCACCACTCCTTCTATCCGAAGGGCAGCGCGCCCTGCGGACGGCGATCCTCACCCGCCACTTGCAACGCGTCCTCGACTCACTGCCTAACCAGTCGCCGGACGCACAGAAAGCTAACGCAGGCCCAGGCGCTCAAATGCCCCCCGAGAAACTAACCCCACAGCCTTCCAACATCCTCACTGTGTCTGCCTGCCCAGGCATCAGCCGTAAGGACACCATCGCGCCACTACTTGGCGCCGACAGAGACTCCCCTGAGGGATTCACCATGCTCGGCTTCCTCATGTGAGTACTCTAACATTAGTCTGCGACCGCAGCCCATTCAGCGTGCTTGACGACGCCTTGCTTGCCTCAGCTATCTACTCCTTTTCCCGTTTCTCCTCGTCTTCGCCAAGTCCCCAACCTCGTCGCTTCAGACGATCCTGCACGTCCTCTTCCTGCCCTCGCCCCTCAAGCGTGCCCATGCCGTCCTCAACGCCTCGTTGAACCCCGACGCGCAAGACAAGCAGAAGGAGCAGGAACCAGCACAGGACAGCGAGGAGGTCCCGCGCCCTGTCATGATTATCAACGAAGAGGTACTCAAGCCGGGCGCACTGTACCGCGAGTGTGCGGTCGTCCAGCAGAATGTGCCCGGCCTACCTGAGGAGAGCAAGAGCGAGAAAACGGAGGCGACAGAGAAGGGCAAGGAGAAGGCCCAGCCTATGGAAACGGTGCTTCCCGATGACGGCGAGCTGGGCGGGGAAGCAGTGGGGCGAGTGGTGTGGGAGTGGTACGAGGTGCAGCTGAAGGCGTGGGAGGACAAGGCCGGAGTCAAGGAGGCCGTTGTCGCCGAGGCAGAGGGTGGTCAGTCCGCAGCTAGTGTCGCATCCACATCATGAGTTGGCGGTGGCTGTAGAGCTCCGTGGGTGGGTCATGTATCTGCTGTAACAGCTATTTTTGCAGTCCGTCGCATCCTGCGAACTGCGCAATACAACATGAACTTCAGCGATCCATTTACAAGATGTCTCCTGCCGTTTCTTGGTCCTTGACTTATGAGTACATGTCTCATATCTCAGTCGACAGTCTCCCGCCGGCTTTGTTGGATCCTATGGCCAACGATCTTTCTGCACAAATAATTCGGTTCGGCAAGCCTTTGTCTGTGTATATGGTGCGATGATATAGCCAATATATGGCGACTTCTGTCTGTTCCACATGCTGACCAGCACACGATGTAATGTGTAAACAACGCTCTATGGAAGAGCTTCAAACTGGGGCCACTGCCAGGGCCGACGCGTCCTAAACGCGGTCACGTGTGCGTGACGTTCATGATCTCACCAATTCAGCTCGAGTGGAGCTACCGCCTACCCTGCTACCACGCCGCCGCGGCCCATCATACATCCGAGTTTTCCAGTTGAAACACCCCGACACCTCGACAGGCTTTGCACCACCTTACTTATCCAGAGTATGGCAAAGGTACATCATCACGTTCTCCGGTAATCGTTCCCTAGGTTGCTCACATCGGGATATCAGGCGGCGGACCCACCATGTCAAGCTGAAGGTAAGGTGCAAATCACCGCAATTGAGCAAATTTTAACACTCTTCGTGTATCTCCCAGCTTGCGAGCTTCAAACGTGCCTCAACAAGAACACGTACAAGCCGGAGAAGTGCGAGGAGCACATGCGCAACTTGTACAAGTGTTGTCAGGCGATGTATGAACAGACGGATGGAAAGGGAGAGTCCACTGCTTGCCCAATGCCAAGTGCGGTACAGCGATGGCTGAAGAACCACGGAGGGACCGCCTCGTAGTTCGCTACACCCGTAATACGTCTCCGCGATACCTATGAACCAAATCTATATGGCCTAACATAGCCCGGCCCCACTCACTGTACTCTCCTGTCAGTGTGATCCGCCTCTATGATATGCAGCACATATTGTAATGAAACTGACTTCATTTTACACTTCAGAATCTGCATATGTACATCGATAGCTTTGCAATGTTACAGCGCGAAAGCAAGAAAACAGCGAGATTGTCTCGAGCACAAGACACTAGCAACGAGAGCGATTTGGCGTCAATATCAAATGGACATGTCTAGGAGTTCTTGTCACCGTATCCACCATGTCCACGGATCCATCCGTCCACACTATTCTTCCAGTCCTGAGCAAACGTCGTCCTCAGTCTGCCTACCAAGGCCCGTTCGACACGCGGCCCCATTGATCAGTGCTTGATGCGACCGAGCGATTGTCGTCCTCGTTCTGCATCTCGTCGGCCCAGTTCAGCTTTGCCGTAGGCACGAACTGAGGTAGGACTGTCGCGGTGGGGTTCGCACTGATAGGGATCTTTCCACCATTCTGAGTGTTCTGAATGTCCTTCTTCTGGTTCTTCTTATCCTTCTTCTTTCCCTTCGCTTTGCCCTTTCCTGCATCGGGTGCCACAGCACCGTGGGCCTTCGACTTGCTAGGCGCGACTGTGCTTGCGGAAGAGACCGCGTCGTCGTCCTTCCCTACGACGTCGGTCTCGGCCCACATGCCTATGCCCTTTGACGCGACACTCCATCCAGCTGCGGACTTCGCATCGTCACCTTTGTCATGGACGTTGTCGTCCTCGGCCCACATGCCCACACCCTTTGAAGCGACACTCCATTCGCCCTCGGACTTCGCATTGTCGTCCCTCTTCTGGACAACGTGGGTCTTCTGGACGACGTAGGTCTTCTGGACAGTGTGGGTCTTCTGGACAGTGTGGGTCTTCTGGACAGCGTGGGTCTTCTGGACAACTTGGGCATCGCCCCATTGGCCCTCACCCATGGACATGACACTCCATCCCCCCACGGATTTAACATCGTCGGCTTTGGTCTGAACAACGTCGGGCTCGCCCCACTGGCCGGCGCCATTTGACACAGTGCTCCATCCGCCGACGGACTTCGCGTCATCATCGACAGTTGCGTTGCGGCCGACTTGCTCTACCCACTGTTGTATTCCGCCCGCACGCGAGCCACCTGAGGGCGGGGGTGACAAATGAACAAACAGTTTGTTTCCTGCATTGCCCTTGCCTTTCTGCAGCCGCGCGGGGGCAGCGGGGTAGGTTTCGTAGATGCGGCTCGGCCGGCGCTGGCGCCATTGCCATTGCCATTGCCATTGCCGTTGCCGTTCTTGCGCAGCCCAGCTGGCGGCGGGGGTGGGGTAGCAGGCGTGGTCGGCGTAGCAGGCATGCTCGCCTGAGTACTGCCACCAGCACCGCTTGAGCTGCGTTTCGTCAAGTGCGTAGGGCGCTGTAGGTTGCCGGGTCGGGTGGGCGGAGTGTTCGGTTGAGGGACGGTGCGCATCGGCCTCTTACCACGACTCGCAGGCGGAGGGGAGCTTCTCTCCGAAGATGCCGACTCAGAGCGCTCGTCGGATGAAGGCGAGGAACCGGCATCCGGAGGCGAGAGGTGCGGCGGCCCGTCGCGCTCGCCCGCCGAAGCACTGTCTTGCCCCGCCGTAACATCGCCGCGGCGACCTCTGTTCGTGTCGGTGATAGTACGCCAGGTCCCCTTTGTTTCTGAACCGACGCCATTGAAATCAACCCTGATCTATTCAGTGTAGTGGCGCCGACGTACCTGCTCGCGAAGTTTTCCCCTTCTTGTCGTTTGCCCTTGCTGCCCTCTCCGCCTCGCGCTTCTGCTGCCTGAGGAAGTCGGCATAGTCTCTGCATGTCGTAGGCTTGCACTTGTTATTCTGGTGGAAGCTGCACTTGAAGACGAGCTCTGTTATCTTGCTCGCAGGTTTCGCCGGCCCTGGTCCGGACGTGCTCCAGTCGCCTTGCTGCGCTTCCTCATCCGCTTGACCACCGGCCTGCCCCCATCCTGGTCCAGATGTGCCACAATCGCCGTGCGATGCCTCGTACTCCTCTTTATCAGCGTGCGGATTCTCTTCTGCAGGAAATAGCATGATGTTGCTCGCAGTCGGCACGCCCACAATCTCGACGTCGTCTTCGCTGTCCTCACCTTCGTCGTCGGCCATGCTCGCGCCCACTGAGAAGCTCCTCGTTTCGTTAGGCACGTCGTCCTGGGGCGTGTGTGGGGAAGATTTGCCGCTCTCGCTCTCGCTCGACCCGGACGACGCCCTGCCCACACTGCGCACGAGCCCTGGTGGGCCCATGCTCCATCTGGACGCCGGCGTCGTGATCGCGCTCGGGGGCGAAACCAGCCCTGGAGGCAGGGTCGCTTGGAACGAAGATGACCTATCTTGCGCCCCTGTGAAACGGTGAGCAAAGGACATTACCGGTCAGGAGCCGTAATACTTACAGCCTGCGAGGTTACGAGTCTTGTTGTCCCGGGGACTAATCGGGTATTCTTGCTGTTGGGCGTGTGGGGTGCCTGCCCGATTGGACGGAGCACGAGCCTCGGCTTCCCTTGCCTTTTGCCACGCAGGAGAACCAACTGGTGTAGCAGATATTCAGAAGAGAGAAGTGGGGATGCGATGATGACCATACCTGGAGGAGCGCGGGTCGGTGGCGGTGGCGGATGGTGCTTGGATGGAAGCGGGCGGCAGAGATTTTCTCTTGTCAGGTCTTCCTTTGGGGGATCGCATCTTTCTGTGGGCGGGTACGGATACTTGATGACACTGAAGTGGCGTGGTGAGGAATAGTCATAGTGAAAGACTGAGAACCTACTTGTTAATGCGGTGCCACTTGACACTGCTCTCCTTCGATATGAACCACTCGTCCATCAGATCAATACGCTTCCAGCCTTGTGAGAGAAAGATCAGGAGATGATACACCCAAAGTGCGAACACTCTCACCATACTTCTCGACGCCCCAACTAGTCGAGTATGTGCAAAAGAACACCTTGGAGCTCATCGTCTTCTCAACGTCCGATGGATTGCGGAGGAACGTGGACCAGCGATGTTCGCCGAGGATCTCTGTGCAATTCCTAAGAGCCCGATTGACTTCGATGATGAGCATGCTCGGAGACTTATAACGAATGATAGTTGAGTGAGCAAGTCCACATTCGTTAGACGTAGACACCGCAGATCACAATAGAGCAGGTGTGAGGCTCGGCACGCGGTTTGCGACCGGAACAGCCTGATACTGTCGCAATGATCTGCCACAATCATGGCCATAGTGGTTGTATGCCCGTGGCCGTGTTCACTGCGGTGCGATGACGACGATAACGTACCTTGGGCTTGTGGAAGAAGGCGAGGAGGTTCTCTCTACCGATGCAGCTCGCGATCCAGTAGGCAAAGGCCATGCGATCAGCCTCGACGTCCATGTCAGCGTTCATCGGGTATGGACGGTACACCGTCAGATACTTGTGGCCTTCATTGTCTCCATCCGTGAGCTTGTTGCCTTTGCTTTTGCTTTTACCCATGGCTAGATCGGACAAGCTTGAAAAACTCGGAGCGCGATTATGGATGGAGGATGTCTACCCTGTCGCAGAGCAGAGGACAGCCTATTTATCTGCATCCATCCGCTCCAAAGCAGGTGTGGGCGTGGATGGGTTCAGACAAAGTTCGGAAGCGCACAATCCAACTTTGCTTTGATGGTTCGCAGCAAACCGTGCGGCATACGCGAGGCAGCGTGACATAGCATGTGGTCGCCGCTTGTATTAAAGCTGTACGGCATGCTATGTACTAGAATGGCAAATCCGCATTTGAAGCCAGCTGTGGACGTGGTATTTCTCGGTGGTATGTAGAAAGTAGAAGCAGGCATCCGAGGAGAATGGCAGAAGGCATTATACAAGACTAGGAGCTGTAGTAGTGTCACAAAGTTGTGTGGCTCTTTTGTTCTTCGTTAAGTACAAGCAAAGTGCTGTCGGATCTGGTCTGTGCTCGAAGGTCCTCTCTGGAGCTACACTGGCGATAGCGTCTCAACTCAATAGCTAGAAAACAAAATGCAAGAATGTATAAGACGTTCAAGAATCCATGGATTGTCACTAGGTTGCCATGACAGAAAAGGCATGGGTGCTCTTGTCTCGTACCTATCCGTTTTGAGTTCAGTCGCACTCCATAATATCGGTGCGGTTGTGGGGCGCGATCGAGCTCAGCATGGATGGGTATGTATACGAGATAAAGTCAACGTTCAACGTTCAATATTCAATGCGTGTCGCGTGTGTAAGAACGTATTCTACTTTACTGTCCGGTTGACGCCACAACTATGACAGTCGTTATCGCGGAAAAATACTTACACTTACGCCTTAGATATCGTGTAAAACTTACTACTTAGTTGACACGTGATCCGCACACCTTAGACATAGTTTCGCTCCGTTTCGTACACTTGGTCTCTACAATCTCTGATATTTCTGGCCATGTAATCACTGCATATGGATTGCGGCGAGGCAAAGATCGGTGGTATGCACCATCCTAGAACACATGATTTCGCTTCGGTGGCTGGTCAATTGCCCAATGCGGAATCATTAGCCATTTATGGCAACTCTGTCTTCGCGCGGTGCTATTCATTGCACGGCATGGATAGCACGAATCCGGAAGCCTGTTTACGATTCTACAGAAGCGGATCGTGAAATTCCTCTCAAGAAATCATTATCGACGAGATGTATGGCCTGAGATGCTTCAGTAGAAAATTCAGACTCCGGGGAGAGCCATTACTACTAGTCCCCATGGTTCTCATGAATTCGAAAGACAAAGATGTTGTAACACACATGACAGAAATTTATGAAATAAATGAAGGAACACTCTGCGTCACAGAGAATAACGGGGAAACCGTCTGGAGCAGTGGCCTCGGCAAGTGCGAAGTTCATCCCGATTTGGCAAGGCCGCCTCGGTCTCGCCTCGGGCACGTCGGCCGGGCGCCAATTCCACTAAGTCTAAGTCACGCGAAAGTAAGACTTGCCCGTAAGTATTTTTCCACGAAACCGTCACTCATACACAACCGCGTCTGTCACGTAGGTCACGCACTTGTCACGCTGTACGCCCGCCACTCGCTAATAGCAACCACGACCTGCCGCTGCCACTCAGTACTCAGTACTTACTCAACTGCCACTACTATTTTCTACTGAAGCTGCGGAAAATTTGCGATTTGGCCGTATTGTCTCGGCAAACATTCTGAAACTTTCGAACACCAACTCCGAATCTGAAGTTTCGATGATATGAGCGCCACTACTGGTCCTAATCTGTGGGCTTGCCGTTGGAACTGGTGTGCGCAAGTCTTCGAGCATGCGCCTGACCTGTTGGATCATCTGAAGACGGAGCACTTCACGCGTATCCTCCGAGTAGAGAAGAAAGATTGGGACATCTACTTACGGTCCAATGAAGGGCAGAGCGGGATGACAGGTACGAGCCCATTCGATATGCTGCATGAAATGGCGCGAGAGCCTCAGTGCTCCGCAGATAGTCTGCTGCAGGGAATTCCTACTCAGTCGAGCGAATTCACCCAGCCCAATGCCCCTACGGAAAATGAGAGTCTGCAAAGTGAGCGAGCGCAGTCTACGCAAGATCGTAGGACACCAAACCAGCCACCTGGAGTTTCTCAGCCTGAGAATGATTCAGCTATCCAGTCACAGCCAGAACTCGCAGTAGACAGCGGCCAAGAATCACCTTCACGTGGATCTCCTATCCCAGCTGAAGAACTGTACACTCCGCCCCTGAAAAGAGGACGCAGCTTCGCAGACTGTGATGCCGCCTCATCCCCTATAACAACCCCGATGGCGTCGCCCTTACCTCCCACTCCGCCCCTGCACTCTCGCGTCGTTGACGCAATCAATTTCGCCGCCTCCCAAAAATTCCCTTCTCTTCCCCTGCCACGCCGCAACCCGCCGCATCTGCATAAATCACCTACGCCCCTCCCCCTCCCACGCCGCACCGTGAGGGTCCCTGCACCCCAATCCTCGCAAGGCTCGTCAGCGTTTAGCGCATCGCATAGCGCCAACGTTAGCGTGGACTCGTCGACATCCGCACGAGACGTCGAGACGCAGCTCACAGGGGATGTTGCGAGTCCTACGCCCTCTCCAGTTCGCGCTGGCTCTCCTCAAAAACAACCGGCGGTACAGCCACAATCGTACCCTATAGAGCCGTACCCGCCCCTCCAGACTCAGGCTCCGTATGTTGACCAAGGTAGGAGCGATATCCGCTTCTCAAGCATCGAAATTGACGTTCGTACGCTGCGTAGACTCTCGTGCAGACGAAGATGGCGCCAAGCGCCGCTTCAGCTCAGGCAATATGATCATTCCAATGGAGTCCTCAAGTCCCCTACGACCGATGTCCCAAACCCACACGCAGCCCGAACCCGAACCTCCGGCGACACAAGCACACTTCGCTTCGCAGTTCAACTCGGGCTGCCTCTCCCTCCGGCTGGATTCGGAACCGCCGGACGCGATGGACGTGGATGAAGGCTTGTGGCCTCCGCTGCAGCTCCAGACCCAGGCTGCGTATCTGAGCCAATGATGGCTTGGATGAGATTCTCCAAAAGCTTCCGCGTCGACGCATCCCCGAGGCGTGGCTTGTTTGGCAGGGCCATGTCGGCCGTACCTACTCCCGAATCCGTCTACTCGTCGAATTGAGCACGCCGCGGTGTGCGAGAGGTTCGTTGTACAGATGGTCGGAGGGTCTTGCATTGCGGGAGCCCGTCATGTACCTCCAGTTGTATTGAGGAGTCGTTAGGATCGTATGGTATTGTTGGCTACAATGTATGACTATTAGGTCTAGGAACTACAGGTTTACTTGTTATATCCCATAACTACGAGTCCAATCGTTGTATTCTAGCTGCATCCTACATAGGAAGTCGTACATTACAGACATCACCATTGCCGATGTGGCTACTCGCCGCATATCAGATCATTACTATCAGATCATTACGCGCACGCTACAAAGATCGCACATAGTTCTCAAACAACGATCACTGCACGTCATGTACAGCACGGCGGAACGCAGATATCCGCGACGTGAGCTGCGAAGCAACCTCTCCTGGCATCATGAGATCCTCAGAAGCTCCTCGAGCGCCCGATGACAGTACGCTATAAGAAACAACAACCTCGAGGTTGGGGAAGAGCGACAGGAGCACCGGTGTGCTCGCCTCGCACGCGTCCTCCGTCGCCGTCGTGTCCGCGATGCAGAGTTTCGTGACGTGCGTGTTGCACCCCAAGCTGTCCGTGCGGGGGAGGTCTATATCTATGAGGTTCAGCGCCATCCCACAGAACCGCAACTGAGGACAGCGTGTCGAAACCTCGCGCAAGCCAGCGAGCGATACGCCGGACGGGCGGCCCCACCCATACAGCGTGCCTATGTTCAGGTGCTCGAGGGCCGGCCAGGACGCCGCCATCCGAGCAATGAACTCGTCGTCCAGCTGATACCGTAACGAGAAGTTGATCTCCACAACGCGAATATTCGCAAGGGATAATAATGGCTCAAGGACGCGCGCGTCGACGGCCGGTCTGTCACTCCACCACGCGGGGAGATCTCCCGTGTAGAGCTCGGCGGTCGCCTCCGTGCCGTCGAAGAGCCTGAGCGAGCGGAAGTTGATAGGCGAGGCGATGGCGAGGAGCTCAGTGAGGAAGGCGGAGAGGGTCGAGGTGTCGGGGCGCTCTTCCGCGTGGACGCCGAGGGCTTCAAGGTAGGGCGTGCGGAGGAGCTTGAGAAGCGCGGTGGACACGTCAAGCGAGTGGACGTGCAGCCTGAGGACTCGCAGGGAGCGGAACGCGTCGAGATGTAACGCGCGGGCGGGCGAGAGCGAGTCTAATACGTCGCAGATGCGGAACTCTGCGTGGCGGAGCCTCGGGACCGCTGCGAGACGGAGGATGTCATCTCCGCACAGACTGGGCGTGTAGAGACGCTGTGGGAGCATGTACGCGAGGGCCCGCAACGACGTGGCGACCCGCTCAAACGGTATCCGATCTACAATGACCTCCTCCAGGTCTGGACATCGCATCTCAGCGCCCGCCAGCACCGCCGCAACGAACACCTGCTCCTCCTGCAGCCGCCAGTGCAGACCAAAATCAAACGCCACCGACGTCAAGCTCGGCGTGAGGAGCAGCTCGATAAACTGCATGGACTTTGTCAGGGAGGTGGTTAGCCGGAGGCGGCGCAGGCGAGGGAGGAGCGGTGCACCGGGATGATGTGCGCTAAACGCGTCGAGCACGGCGTAGTTGACGGGTTGCCATGCGTTGGAGTTGGACGTGCCGTCGAGCTCAAAGCCGAAGTTGCGGATTCGCAGGGCGTAGGAGTCGAACCGCCGCCAGTCATCGTGGCCGAGCGGCCGCGTGAGGGTCTGTCAAGACCATGTACATTGCCAGTGAGCGCACTTCAACGGATGGGTGTGTGGAAACTTCGTATATGGTTGCGCAGGGAGGGATGACTGACCACGATGCTCTTCCCGAAGTGCGCCCACGAATCGGTGGGCAGTGTTCGTGCTAGCTGCGACAGGCCGGCTTGAGTCTCCCATAGTCGGTCGAGTGCTGGGTCAATCATTGTGCGGCATGTTAGCCCGAGCGCGAGGAGTGTGCGCGACGCTGTCTGTCGGCTTGCGCCATTTTGCAGTGAGTCGGAAACCTGTTCGAATATCGCATCCAAGATCTCTGCGATGCGTAGGCAAGTATGCATATGTAGTACGAGTCCGACTCGGAGGATGCCTACGTCCAAGTCGTCTCAGATGGTCTGGTCAAGGTGTTCAGAAAGTACTTATGAATGACTCGCCGTGAATTTTCTGACCAAGGTCAATGGAACCTGATTGCCTGCGCCTCGTCCGGGAGCATGGATGGTCAAAACAAGGATCGTGGTCGCTCACTGCGATGTCAGACGGGACTATCACGGAACGCGGGGACCTGTCCGGTACCCGTCCACGGTCCAATGACGTTGGGGCGATTTCGGATCAATGAGGCAAAGTGCACGGCCTGAGGCCTGAGGCCTGAGGGACGAATCCGACTGCAGGCGATTCGTCGATGAGTACATGGTCATCGCGTATGTTGCTGGTAGATGGAGGTTACGATGCGCGAACTGTGCGCGACGCCAGCGTTGCGAGACCAGGCTATTGTTGCACGTTGCAACAGATGGCCGCAGTGGACGGCATATATAATACTCACTCACTTTATGTAACTTTAGGCAGTCCCCGCCCATCCCGTGATGAAAACAAACAGCAGTTCGGTGCAAATACATACAATACTACGGTCTGTTTCTACTTCCTCTATCCGCTTCTGGGTCCTCGAACAATTGCGTAGTATTAGGGTGTTGCACGGCCCGGCCAGCTACGTCCAAAGCAGGTCAATGGGATCGTCTCACAAAAAAGGCGCAACAATACACACCGGGGATAGAGGGAACACTCTCGGACGGTGAACCTGTTAGCAAGCCACGCGAGGAAGCGCTGAACCGACGTGAGTACAGCGGGACACACGGATGTCACAATGACAACGTACCTCTACACCAAGGCCATATCCTCCGTGCTCGCAAGTACCGTACTTGCGCTGGTCCGTAAACCAGTAATACGGCGCCGGGTCGATGCCTTCGCGCTTGTACGCCCCCAAAAGCTCCTCCATATCCGCAATCCTCATCGACCCACCCACGATCTCACCCACACCCGGCATCAATAGGTCGCAGCTCTCCGTGCACACCGGTCCCCCGTCTCCGCCAGTACCCGGGATCTTCTTCATGTAGAACGCCTTCAGCTCCGCGGGGAAGCCGTACAGGAACACGGGCGTGCCGAGGATGTCCGTCATCCTCCGCTCCGCCGCCTCCGCGATATCGTCGCCAACCTGGTGGTCGACCATCTTCGGGTTGCCGGTGTCATCGCGGATGGCGTTCCCCTCGGCGTCCTCCGCCTCGTGCTGGATGCCGTGCTCGTTCAGCCATGCGATCGCATCGACGTACGAGAGGCGTCGGAATGGTCGCGCGGGTGCGGTGAAGTTCGGGTTAAGCTGCTTGATGAGCGCTGCCGTGGATGGCTCTGCGAGTAGACGATCTACGGTGTCGCAGATCTCGAAGGGCGTTAAGTTCTATACTGGCAGAGGGCATAGAGGACTCACAATGCCTTCGATGTGGTCCATGAGGTCATCGAACGTGATGAACGCCAGCTCTGCTTCAAGATGTGTGTATTCGCTCAAATGGCGACGAGTATGGCTACACACAGGTCAATCCAGACCACAGTATAGCGGGTCCTCTACTCACCTGTTCTCAGCCCTGAAGCTCTCCTGCACGCAGAAAACATCCCCAAGCGACGGGAGACACGTCTCCAAGTAGAGCTGCGAGCTCTGCGTCAAGAACGCAGGCTGGCCATAGTAGTCAAACTTGAAAAGTGTCGCGCCGCCCTCGACCTGCGTCTGCACCATGCATGGCGGGGTCACCTCCACAAGGTCACGCGACACAAGCGACTGACGGAACGAGTTCAGCAGCGCTGCTCGCAGCTTGAGCACGGCGGAAGCAGTCTCGCCGCGAATGACGAGATGCCTGAGGTCGGAAAGAATCGAGGGGTCCGATTTCTATCAAGCCGTTCTGTGAGCACAGACACAGGGAGAGAGTTCTAACTCACACACCTCGTTCAGTCGGTTGGTAAACGCGTCCTCGCCACCGGGGGACGCCCCAAGGACCCTCCAGTAGTCCACGATCAACTCGTGTCCGCCCGGCGCGGTCTTCCCCTCCGGCACTGGCTGCAGCGTGCCAACGAGCTCGACAGTCGATTCGAGCGTGAGCGTGAGGGCGTCGTATGTCTGCGCCACCTTCCCGGAGAGCACGCATTGCAGGTAGCCCGTCCCGTCCCGCAGGACGACGAAGATGATCTTGTTCTGATCGCGCGAGCGGTGCACCCAACCCGAGACGCGGACACGCTTTGAGCGGAGGGGCGTGAGGCTCCCGATTTTAGACTGCAGAATGGAGGATCAGTATTCAAACGCGAGGGGTCGCAGACGGTAACTAGGCCAGGCAGGCAGAACAGTGTCGGGTGCCATATCTTTACTACTGCTCTCAGTACAGACCCCGCACGTAGGTTACTTGAAGAACTTGAATGAATTTGGAAGCTGCTGTAGTTGTATTGAAACGGACGTTTCTTATGCACAGCAAACGAGTTCGAATGTAGGATCGCCGCCGTAGGTCGCGTTGCGAAGGCGTATCCTTGCACGATAAGACCAATGTTCTCGACCCCGGGGGCACAATCGGCGATTCGCCCAACGCTGCACTTCGTATTCAGCTCATGTGAAACTCACCTTCACAGCAGCGGGTAGGGCAGTGTCTTCTGTCAGGACTATCTTCTTGCTCTCCTCGAGCACCTTCTGTCTATCTGACTTCTCCTTCGCCTCCCGCTCCGCCAGCTCCTCTGCCCTCTTCCGTTTCTTCTCTAGCCCGTCGGCGCCCTTCTTTGCCTTCTTCAGTGCAGACTGCGTAGGTTCCTCATACGACGCGCTTGGATCCTTGCGAGCAAGTAGCTTCGCCTCCGGTCCGTGTGTGAAGATTGCGAATGCGAGTGATTGGTATGGGGCCTCCGCGGTACCCTTCCCCGTGTCGTCGTTTCCAGCAGAGTCGTCGACGTATATCGCGGACATGGTGGGAGAGAATAAGTTGAGCAATGAGTCGACACGGTGCTAAGCTTGGATTTTGGGATGTACGCCGAGTCAGGCGATCTAGATCTGATGAGTTGCCGATATGGGTGCGCACGTGATCGCGTCCCGTAGTCATCGGGATCCCTACCCCCGATCTGAAATCGGCACTCGCCGCTCGGTGTCCGATACTCACATCCGCTCTCGTACTGAACTTGCGCACTGGACAAGGAACACATATTCCGAATAGGTGCTCTGATTTAAAAAATATCATGAATCGACTTGTATAGTATTAGAGCAAACACCAGAAGTTGCGCCGCTGATCGCGTGCTTAGCATGTCGGACGAGTACCCGACTCGATCCTACATACGAAGCAAGCCTATCAACAGTGCCCAGTACCGGTAAACCGAAGGAAACATGCAGGACAGTTCTAAATCAAGTGTTCACGGAATGAGCCGACAGGTTGGGAGGTCGGATGAACGAGCCACCTACTCGAAATCTATCAGTTCTGACGCGTCCGGGGCTGAACGCACACCCAACGCGGTAGACAGGAGTGGTACACCTCTGTCTTTGTCCGAGAATCTGACCTGGCGATTGCGCCGTATTGCTTGTATGGAGCGAGGTTGGATACCTGTAGCTCAGTCGAGGTCGCCGAAAAGCTCAGTCGTCTCCGGCCGCACGAAGCGCCTCGCGATGCCGTGGTCATTGAACAGCAACTTCTCAGGCACTGAGACAACTGGTCAGCACAGAAGTGGAAGATATATAACCGACTGGCACATACCTTTGTGGAAGGAAGACAAGACCTTCAACGCCCAGGGGCCAGACAGCCCGCCCGTCTCCGATGACTTCTTGTGTGCGCCGCCGTCCGTTTCGTGCATCACCCACACCTCCATAACATCCACATCCACCACGCCCATCTGCACCTGGGCCGCCACACGCTCCATGGGGACCACCAGCTCCCACCACGCCCACCAGTATAGAATGAGGAACTCCTGCGCCATGAACATCGTGTCGATCCGTCCATATTCCATCAGCCGCTTGATACGCTTGAACGGATCCGCGAATAACGGACCCAGCAGGATCTCCTCGAGGAAGTAGACCCCTGCGAATCGGTACGCGAGGAAGAGCGGGGAGAACCACCCGTACGCGAATTCTTGGCGAAGGTCGTCTACGAGGAGGCGGATAATGGGAAGACGGCCGAGGAGCGATACGATGGGAGGAAGGGAGTACGACAGGATCCCGGGCACGGCCCAAATCCAGACAGCGATGAGGAGGATGAACAACATCATCTCGTATTCTGTCACCTCGTGAGGGCAGTCTGTCCCGCCATCGCAGCCGTCGTCGATGTCGTCGGTAGCGGCGACATCGACGATGGCCTTATCGGTCGAGTTGGAGGTGACAATGTCGCGCACCTCGTCGTCGACGTCGAGGGGAGGGATGGCCGTGACGGGCTCATCCTCACCCACATTGTGAGAACCGCTGTGGGGATCAGCCTTGTCCCCGAAGGCAGTCACGACGGGAGAGTCCATGACCAACAGGTCGCCAGTGCCGTTGGCCATGTCCATCCCGCCGAGGGTGTCGACGAGGACAAGGTTGAGGTCGATGTAAGCCGGGCTATGTCGGCCAAGTGTCATGAGAATGGTCCACTGGAGAGCGAGGGCACGCACCCGTAACCGATGTCGCTGAGCGACATGTCCGATAACCAGATGAATTCCGGGGAAACCTGAGCCGCCGAGTTGCGAACGGTGTTGACAATGTCGCCTACGACGGCTGCGGTGTTGTCGACGATATCGCCGACGACAGCCGCGGTGCCCTCCACTGCGGGGCTGACACATAGGTAAGTCAAACGCGATGAGATGGGAGGTGCCAACGACACTCACCTGGCGGGCAGGTACAACAGGAAGTCGTCCATGACGGCCGGCGTCAGGAGGAGTGTACCGGGGATGAGCTCGACGTTGAACGTCGGAGGGAGGCTGGGCAGCACGCTGACGAGGGCCAGCGCGCCGCCCAAGAGTAAGATCAGAGGGAACATGTGTGATACGCAGTGGGCTGGTGGTGGTTCAAGTTGAAGTTGGATGAGGGGGGAAAGTCGAACACGGGCGGGTTATATATGGCGGGAGGCTGACATGTTGAACTTGGTTCGACGATCGCCGTCACCCTCGATCGGTTTTCCGTTTTGGGACGACATCCTCCGGGCTCCAGTGGCATTGAGACCTAGGCTGAGGTGCAGAGTGTGTTTTGTGGGTCATCCAGCAAAACTGAAGTACCCCGCATACCCCGCAAAACGACTGCGAATGCGAAAAGTCAATCTCACCATTTTGAGCCGATCGGATGGCGTATACGTACAGTGCAGCCTTTGTAAATTGTGTCATCGGGATTTGAAGTGTCCGATGTGAGCTGCGAGTCGTCGTGATATTGTGCAAGTGGAAGGGCCTTGCGGTCGATGATTTACGAAGTCAAATTTCCGAGTGATTACCCCACATGCGGCTTGGATCCACCAAACGAATGTCATGCTCGGGGGCACAGACTATGAAATAAGAGAGGCTCTGCTAGAAGTAAAATAGCTGGTAGCCTCCGTGGTTTGATAGGAACTACGAACCTCAGCGGGCCAAACATGACGGGCTGAGTATCGATTGTAACGGTCTCAGGTCCCAGTGAGGATTCAATGGAGTGGCTCTTACGCGTAGTAGTCAACTGCACTGTTCTGTTATCCACGCCATCCTTGCAGACAGTTTGATGCTGCATCAATATAAATCGCACGTCTGTGCCCTCAGCCCTGCCAGGCAAGAGCCTCAAAGAACTTGTCCACCGGCCTGTAAAGCATGCATCCCAGACGTTCGACAGGGATAGTCACGTACCGTGAGTGACCTATCACAATCCTACTAGTTCAGGCTGGCCAGTCCAAATCCAGTACTAGACACGCTGACGTAGCAGACAGCAACAATGTAGTGCCCGTTCATGTTCTGAGGTCCACGGTCCACGGACTAGTACTCACTCGAGGTGATCCAAGTTGGTCGATGCAGAGAAGCCTAAGAGTAGCAGCAAATCGAGTTAATCGAGCCAGAAACACAAGCTCAGGAAGCTTCCAGCCTACGGTCGGATTGATACACAAGTCACATTTCGGGGACGACATTCAAGTTCATCTTGGGAGGGCTCGTGCGCGTTTGTACCGTGACGTGATCGTGTCCTACTTATAAGATCGCTGCAACCGAGATTCGATCTGAGAGGGTAATACTTATGTCCCTCGGCCTAATAGTCCGAGCTATTGACACGCCCTCCCCCACTCAACAAGGCCGTGTTTAGGGTCTGCCTACGGGAGACTTAGTTCGAGATTCACAGCCGTTTAGCAAGCGCAGTTTCCTGGGGCTTCATATAACCTTCCAGTCACTCCGAAAACGGTCCGAGTCGTGTGGTCGACAAATCTTACCACACTCGTCCATATGCCACCGGTCCTCGTCAAGTGACTCACCGACAGCTCCCTCACAGAGCGCTCCTGTGCCAGTGTCCTGACGCAGTATTGTGGTGCGTGCGAATGATTGGCAAATCCAATACACGACCTTGAACATGACTTGCGGACATAGAGTGGAGCATCGAGGCAAGCACACTTAAATTGCGCCCAAGTCCTTTGCTGTCAAGGTTCCATCGATGCAGGCAATGACCGCACCAACTCTCCCGCCAGAGATATGCGACATCGTTGTGGACTTCCTGTGGTCCGACATAGCAAGCCTCGCCGCTTGCAGCTTCGTGTCGCGTGCCTGGCTGCCCGCTGCCCGCACGCACAAGTTCCACGCGATCAAGCTACACTCCCCGTACCACTGCACGCGCCTCGAGCGCGTCCTCGACTCTCCGCTTCTCGATTCGGGTAGCATCGCGCTATGCGTTCGCGACTTATGGGTTGGCGTCAATTCGAACGACACATCGGTCCGAGAAGTTAATGTCCAGGCGTTCTGGAGGAATGATCGACTCGCGTCGATATTACGGCGTTTCACCAGGGTATACTCGCTGCGGCTCGAGAACCTGTTCTGGATGGATGGCCGCCTATCTCAAGCTACTGCAGATGCCATCCTCTCAGTGGCATCTCAATTGGTGCATCTGCATCTGGTGCGCGCCATATTCGACGAATCGGACGGCATTGTGCGCCTTCTATCGGCGTCTCCCACCATGCCCCGGTTACAGATGTCGTCCGTTTCGTGGACGCGCCGATCGCGAACCATCGTACATGCGGAAACCGCGCAGCAAGAGACGATCCAGCTGATCTGGTCCTGCGAACAGCTCACATCGGACCCGTCCTCGTACCTCGCGTTCCTCGCTGCAGCGACATTGTATCCGCGGCTGCTACGTCTCTCGATCGCGCATATGGAATGGGCAATCGCCGAGCACCCGCACAACGCCTGGATCAGGCAACAAGGAGAGACTGAAGCCGATGGTGTGGTGCGCAGAATCATGGGGCCAGTGGCAGGTACTACCGTGGCAGATGGTATGCCGACTTGCCCTTTCTGACTAAACGACGTTTTGACGCCCTTGCACCCATAGGGCCCATAGACCTTGTCCGCGATGATCCTATCATGTCAGTCGTCGAGTTCCTGTGTATCAATATCTCCAGGCCAGTGCCAGACAGGTCTGCACATGCATGGGCAGCAAGCATGCCGGGCTTTTTGCAGAATGTCGACGTCCGTGCCATTGAGTTCGACCTTGGCACCTTCGTCTCAAACTCCCTTCAGCTCGACTCGCTTAATTTTTCCCTCCTCGACAGCGCGCTGACGCTCCTCGTCTCGAAACGCCGCGAGATGGTCGTGACCTTCCGTATGCGAATCCAGCTGGCCGAAGACAACCTCTGGTGGGCGGATGCTGAGGAGATCAGGGACGCAGCTGCGATGCAATTTCCACTGCATCTACCCAAACTTCTCGCCCTGAAAACTCGCGTGGCCCTCTTCATGTCTTTCTTCCACCCGGATCGCCCACTCGCTGCCTACCCGGTCACCAAGGAGGTCTGGTGGACTTGATAAGTGGGGCAACACTTCTTGGTTTATAGATATTCGGCGACGCGTACCATCATATTTCAGACACCTATGATACTGTTGTACCTATTCTGGTGACGATGATTTTGTATATTCCTGGGGTCAGGCGGGAATAGTACAGCTTGAATACAACGCATAAGAACCTACATTCTAGGTACCTGCCTATTGCCTATTGCGGCACAAAGTGCGTGTGAAGAGATCGAGATCCAATGTCACCCAACCAGTCGTTCGCCGTACTGCCACCACGTTCAACATTGCAGACTTTCGACTCGGAGTTGATCTCGAGTGCACTGAGTCGATGTGCAGCAAGGATCGACATTCTGGCAAGTCATTCACGGCTTATCATTCCTCGTGCAAATGTCGACGAATCGCAAAGCCCTCGCAGTACTCGTCCGCCTCTAGTGTGAATGCTATCCACAAGTCTCATAACTGCGATACCGAATTCAAGTTCAAGACATCTCCTGGTCACTGGCCACGACAATGCAATCAGAACTCCCTCTGGAACTCTGTGAGATAATCGTCGACCATCTCTGGGATGACTTGTCTACGCTTGCAGCCTGCAGCCTAGTATGTCACGCGTGGCTGCCTACGACGCGGTTGCACAAGCTGCTCACTGTCACGTTACGAACTCTCGAGCGTTGCAAGTGGTTGCAGGCGTTCTTGGACTCGCCGTCCATCAACGCAGAAGATATACCCAACTATGTGCGCGAGCTCCACCTTGGCGCGGACCCAAATGACACAAAGTACGACTGCACCGACATCGGGGGCTTTTGGGAGGATCCGGAGCTCATACCACTCCTGATCAAGTTCTCCCGAGTGGATGTTCTACATCTAGACAACTTGCAATGGTCAGCGGCCGCCTTCCCTTCTGGTAGAGCGACCCAGTTCATGGCCTCGTTCCCGCGGCTCAAACGACTCGTCGTCAAAGTGGCCGTCTTCTACTCGCCGGAGGACCTGCTACTTCTACTCACGGCGTTTCCCCTCCTGACGTCCGTCTCGATGTCGTTCGTCAGCTGGTTCAACCAGGACGTCGTGACGCAGTGGACCACCTCGCCGAGCCGTCCGTGCAAACAGCGCGACGACCCGACCCTCTTGTCCTTCAGGAACTTCAGGACTGATCCGACGTCTTATATCGCCGTCATTACCGCTGCGTCGGTCTCCCAGAACACCTGGTGTCTCGACTTGGACGAGCTCGAATGGATCGGGCACGAGAGGTTTAGCAGCGATTGGATGGTCGCCAGAGCGTACGAGAAGAGCGCGGCGTTCATCAACCCTTTGTCAGGCATCACTGCCCATCTGTTCGCATTGGAAGGGCGTGGTGAGTCGTACGACAACCCACGCTTCAGACTTGCTCATCGATCATGCATGCTGCTGTAGGCTTACTGGAATCGCAACTGGTCTCTCGCCTCGACTCTTTGCACATCAACATTACGACGATGCCCGGTCCCCAAGCATGGACCAGCGCACGCGTGATCCCCGTCTCCACACTCGACATCCGCGAAATCCGCTACACCCTTGGCACCATCCACGCCTCTAGCATATTTACCGAGCTCGGCGGGTGCCTCGCGTGGATGTTCCTCGACAGGTACCTCACCGGCCTGCTGACGGATCACCCCCACCTGGTCCCGAAGTTCCAGATGGACATGGACTTTGACGGCGAGCACGCGGATTGTATGGCGTGCATGGCGGACGTCGAGGATTCGTTCCAAATGAATCTGCCGATGCTCGTGGAGAGCAGAGCGCGGATGTGTGCGATCATCACATACTCCGTAGACGAGGCGGGCCGCCCGGGGATATTCCGCCAGGAAGTATGGTGGCCCAAGGTCCCGGCAGCGGAAACATCTACCAGTCTGCAAATATCCGCGTGAGATTGCTCACATACTAGTCCACGAGCACGTCTGACGATCTTGTAACAGCTTGTCGATGGTCGGTCGTTGACGATTGGCAGCGACTTATGCCAATGGCTCCGCTGGTCCTTGGACCTCATATAGATTTGTCGAGTCATGACGACCCCCGCCGGATAGTCCCTTATCAGGACTGCCATGTGATGTTCAATGAGTTGTGTATTGACACCGTGTAGAATGGGGATGATGTCCGACATGAATGCCTTACGCAGTACTCGGCTGAGCAGGTGGAGTCGCGCCAGCGGCCACGGGGGCACTCGCAGAGCCCGGTGCAGGCGGGTCCTTCGGTGGCGGCGCGCCAGTGACCATAGCCTGCATCGCACTCCAGACCGTACCCCCACGCATCTCTCGCTCCATCGCCTCCTGCTCCTCCTTGAGCATCCGCTCGAAGTTGTCCTTGTTCGCGCGGATGTACGCCATCTCCTCCTGGTACTGCAACTGCGCTTCGCGTCGCTTCTGCTCGAGGTACGTCGGTGGGATTGGCGAGGACTGCATTAGGGGAGTCAGATTAGTTCAGAGAGCGTACGCGATAAGTCGGAGAGAAAAACAGACCTGTCCGCCGCCGCCGAACAAGCTGCTCAGCGTAAAGGAATTCGTGGAAAGACCCTTACGGCCGCTCTGCCATTCCTCGACGTGCTTCTGCTTCATCTCGGCCTCCTTCTTGGCGTACTCGATAGGGATGTCCTTCCCGTGGTACGCCTCCAAGATCGGCCGGACATCGGGCGGATGGAAGATTCCTATTGCTGCAGTGCAGCGTAAGCACACCGTGACAAGAGTGGCGGGCGCGAGGTGACGCACATTCGAGGAAGGGAATCATCGCGATGAGGCCCCTGTCCTTCGGGTCGCCCGTCCACTTGGGCATGATGATCGCGTTCTCCGGCTGCGCGGATACGTGCTCGGCATGCGCATCAAGGACTACGACCTTGGACAAGTCTCGGTTGAGATATGACAGGTCCTACGTGGCGTGAGCCAAAATGGATACCGCAGGAAGCAAGGCCCATACCTTGACAGGCTCTCCTTGCACGGACCGACATGCGTCGCGATATAGCCTGTAGGAGATGAAGAACTGGTAGGGGTCTAGTTTGTCTACAATAGGTGCTGCTGTCTTTTCGAGCCTGTCAGTGTCATGGCAGCAAAACGTGCATCAAGGAGTCTCACATAATTATACTGAGTGGTAAAGATCACGACTTCGTAAAATTGCGACAGATAGGCGATGAAATAATCCACTCCCGGTCGCTTTGCTGTCCGCCAGCCGTGTTGGCGCTGCACGTATTGTGAAGAAGGACCACACCGCTAAGGCAGAGACGCAACTTACATCCCATGTCGACGTCACAAGTAGGTCATCGATCGACACTAGCAGGGTGTACGGTTTTTGGGGGATAGAAGGATGCGGACCAGGCAAAAGCTCGGGCCAAAGGGGTTCTGTAAAGAACTGACCGGGTGTAAGGAACGTCCTCGGGGCGGTCAACGCAGACGTACGTCGAACATGCTAGTGATCCGGGCCCTCGTCCGTCCCCAACGAGTGGAAGGCGCATCCTCGATTTTCTGTGGCAAAAACGGTCAGTAACAGAGATATGACAAGACGGCGTTGTGTCGCACCATCCTCTTCTCCTTCAACTCCCATTCTTCCCACTCCCTGCCCATGAGCCAGGTCTGCACTCCGGCTCCGACGAGGAAGACTGCAAACGCTCCTCGGGCGAGCATACGCCTTCTCCGCTCAATACTCGATAGCGAGTTCTTGGAAGATCGAGCTCCCGTCCGCTCACGAGGGCCTTCATCCTCCTCCACCAAAGGGGAGAAATCCAGGCTAGGCACCGAAGAAGAGGACGGCGTAGAGGGTCCCGTAGGTGCTGGGGGCGGTGGGAGTGTGTCTTTCGCTGGCGACTTCGGCGGCGATGTCTTGGAAGCCAAGCATCGTGCAGAATGCGTGGCTATGCGCCGAGAGACAACGGAGCGGGAGAGGGTAGCCGCCAGCATCGTGATCGTTGAGCGTGCTCGTCGTCGTCGACAGCGTCGAGGTCAGAGAGAATACAAGCAGAATATTCACCGATACGTTGCTCACAAAAGATATTTTAAATACCGAAGTAAGCATATCTGAAAAATAACTAATAGATTAAGCATATAACTGAATATAACTGTTGTTCCCGCCCCTAACATTAAAAGACAGCCAATCAGAGGCGGCGTCTTTCAATGTTAGGCTGCCTTCCATTAAATTCTATATTCATTTCTGGTACTTTATCCTAGTCTATGTACACGCTTTTACGACGATAAGTAAGTCACAATGTTACTATTAGGATCCCGGTTTGTCCGCCCTTCGTTCGGACTCCGTGGCGCTTCCTCAGACACACACAAACTCGTTAACAAGTACACTGGCACTCTCACCGTCCAACGGGCATTTATACGCATGCAGCGTTTCAGAGAAGACCATTGATGTATTACTTCTCATTGTCTCATAGAGCTGTGCCATGACGTACGTTTATACTTATGATAGTATGCGTACGTCGTGAGACGACTTGCTAACCAAATCGCTACTACTCACTTACGCCGCTCACATTTTGCCCAACTCATCTTCTTAAGCCGTCTCAACGGGCCACCCACGATCCTCGCAGGACTCATGCCGTACGGCTTGAATCGGTCTGATGGTTCGTAGTACTCCGAGGCGCTTGGTGTCAGCGCTCACAGCTTCATGCAGTGTCTCCGGAGTCGGCTGTGCCCCGCGAGACACGCTTTCTTCAATCTTATACCGCTGTGTGCTCTCAAGGCCTCACACTCATATCTCTACTCTACGGGTTCCGCTGTCGCTGACCACCAAGTCATCGCGATTCTAATTGCCACTTTGGCTGCCACTATTCAATAAACTGGAATCTTAGTTGTAATCGAGGGTGATGTCCACTGCTCCCGTAAGTATTTCTCACCAAAAACTTTCATCGCCCAGTGCTTACTATATGAGAATTTACCCTTGTAGAAGTCTAATGGGTGGGTGACAGTGGCGATCGCCCTCCCTATCATCCTCTTTGTTTTCGTATTGATCCTAATTCTGGTGCTCCTCCGTCGACGTGTGCAAAAGCGGGCGCAGCAGCTAGAAGATGGTGCCGTATGGGAACGTGGACCATTGATCATGGTGAACCAGACGACGGTCGTCCATAGAGGCCCTCGATGGACTCTGCCACGAAACCCTACTTTACGAGTACCCTTCCTCTCGTGGGGCGGTCGTCCACCTCCAGAAAACCCTGTCATGGATGCGGCTACCTCATCCATAGGAAGTCCTAAGGAGCGCTTCATACTTATACACCACGATCGCTCAACGGCTAGCACGACTGACTCGCACAATGACAACCCGGATGCCAGCGGTTCAAGTTACCGTATACCCCAGTCGCCGCCCCGTCCAGACTCAAAAGAGGCTTCTGACGAATATGAGTCGAGCTTAGGTCACGATGTGGCTACAGCAGTTCCGAGCCTGGCGGTTCGCATCCCCCAGTGGCCGACATGGCTCCCGCGCTGGCCTTCTCCTTCCGTCAGCCGGAATGCAAGCTCCTCACAAGGCCACAGTACCTCCGCGAAATCCGATGACCCATATCCACAGTTGAAGCTTCAGCCGCCTCGCGTTGTCCGCCTCGAGCCGAGCTTCCTACGGGAATACCGTCCCCTCAACAAGCACGCACACACCGAAAGCACAACGTCTCTCATCCCATCCGACGCGCCTCCGGGTGTGAGCGAACCCCCAACTCCCAGTTCTACTCCACCGCCCACCGCTGCCCCGTTGCCCCCTCCCTTGGCCCACGCCCGCCACGACTCGAACCCCGGCCCCAGCACGCCGCCGAGTCGCACCCCAAGCGTGCCCAGTAGCCTCCTCGCAGGGCGCCGCCCAAGCGCAGCACCCTCTCATTCCTCCTCCGTCGCACGCTTCCCTCGCTTCGACGGTGGCACGGACAGCCAGTCGTCGTCAGAGCCGCTTTCGCGAACTTCCACGGCACCATCAGAGTTCGCGGATGCCGGCCGCCTCCCGAACCCGTTCGCAAGTAGCGCGTCACCGTGGCGCACCGTCCTTGCTGTCGTGGGTGAGGCGGGGAGCGAGTCGGCGGAGGGCCAGAGTGCCGTAACAGGAGGCGTGGACATGGGCGTGAATAGAGGGCAGGTTTTGCCGGTCACGCCTGGATCGCCCCTTCCCCGTGTACGCTCGCAGCGTGCGTTCCGTGAGACGCCGTTGTATCTGGAGCAGCCACCAGAGGAAAGACCTGCGTCGGAAGCTGCGATGCGTGGGCATGGACGGTGGCCGTCGTCGGCTACGGGCACTTTGTCGTCGAAGCCGTCGCAGTCGAGCTCGGCGGTGCTGTCATCGAACCCATCGTACGCGACAGATGGTTCTGCGCGGACTTGAGCATTGCATCATCCATTCTTTGATTTTTGTGGGCTATCATATTTCTTTTTTCCCCATTCAATGCACTCGGACAATCACGCATGGACCTTGTAGGTACTACTCGCATCTACAGTCATATATTATATGTACTGCGAATCGCATTGAGACTGAATATCACTCCCGCGATATCGCTGAGCTCGTTTCCAATGGATTGTGGAATCACGTCGATCGACATGACCGTGACATGTAAAATCACTATCAAAGCGTCATGCCAGAATACACCTGAGCACCGTTGAACGTCTCGAGTTTGGGCAATCCACAGATGTCTATGAGATGCCTTGCCATCACATTGAAGTCCAGAGACGATGTACGACACATGAAAGTGCTAGCAAATACTATAGATGGTACGCATTAGTCCAAGTTACAAAACCTTTTACGCTGCGGTATATCGACTACACACTACATACCCCGCCCTATTCGTAGCAGAGAATGAATATCTTGCCCTCCCTCACCGAGATGATCACCGCACCCTGGGACTGATCAATGTTGATCGTCTCCACCGAATCCAACTCCAGATCGTCCGGGATGTCTAGAGTTCTCACGACGCCCTCCACGTCCCTCTCGGGCTGTTTCTCCCAGCGCGCACCCTCTGCGTCGTACAGCCCATCGCGCTCTCCCGCGACGGGTGGGAACGACACGAAGCGGAGGCGCTTCGGGTCGCTCTCGTCGCCCTCCTTGACGTCCATGTCCACGTACTCGACCCACACCGCGTGCCCAAAGTCGACGGCCATCAGCGGCCGCGGCCGCTCTGTCTGCGCGCCGCCGTCCTCCGCGTCATCATCGACCCCGTCGAGCACACACACGACCTCGAACGGCTGGCTGACGTACCAGATCTTCATCATCGAGTCTGCGCCCTCGTCTGCGCGGCTCGCAACGCTGATGGTCGTCGAGTCTGCTGTGGAGTGACCGGAGGAGCTAGAAGTGGATCCTGAGCCGGACCCTGAGCCTGAGGTCGACCCGGACTCGGCATCGTCGGTGGCTGTGGCCGCCTCGCCCTTGGGGTCGCCGCTCACGTCGAAGAGCGGCACCTTGAAGTAGTGCTGCGCGAGGACGTACCGTGTCCGGTGCGACTCCATGTCGTGGTCAGCTAGCAGAACCACGGTGCAGCTCAGTCGAGGGACGGTGGACATCGTCGGCCACCATTGTCGCACAAAATGCGCGCTCTCGGGGTACCATGGAGGGAAGGGGAATGGGTTGGGGTTTTGCGTGGGCGTGCGAGGTTCCGTCTCTATCAGTTCTGCAGGCCGAGGGGCCTGTTCATTGGCTTCTTCGTCAGAGGAGGACGAAGACGAAGACGACGTGATCAACGTCCGCGGCGGGAAGATGAACGGCGCCGTCATCGTCAAGGCTGGACTCACGCGCGCCGACAGTGCGGGTACGAAGGACGCCTCTGGCGACGATGGCTTGTTGTGTTGGCGTAGTAGTGACATGGGGTAGAAGTATTGGTGGGCGTAGTCACTTTCTTCCGAATGTATCACGATCTGCTCTTTGTACAGGATACACGACCAGTTAGAGGACATCGACTGCGTCGCCGTTAATGATCGTCCCCAATGACATAAGGGCTGTTTACTCACGCATTCGATGCCTGTGTCTATGAATACATATTCTTGTTTATCCCAATCCAGCAGAGCGTACAGTCCGATGGTGTTCGACGCCGAGACCCAAACAAAAGCAGATAGCAATCTAGATGACGGATCAAGGAGGAAAACGTTCATGACAACACCGATCGTCTTGAATCGGGCTAGCGTCGTGAAGGTGGGCGTTGGGGTCGTATCGGCGCTCGCATCGGCCTCCGGAAATTGCAGCTTCATCAGCACAAACTCCATGAGCCGGTCTTCGTAGCTGCCCAGGCATCAGCAGTCAGGACGGGAAGGCTTGACAAGGCTGGCAGACGCACGATCGGTGGAGAACCTTCGCCATGGTGAAGAAGACGGTGCGAATCTCGAACTCGACCCGGCACTTCCACAGCTCCCACCGTTCCCTGGGATCCCATTCCGCCAGGCACTTGTCCCGGTGTACGTCCCAGCAGACAACCTTCCCGCTTTTCGTCGCACACAGGCTGTAGCTCGATGTGATCGGGGAGAGCCAGTCCACCTCTTCGTTTGGTGGCGCGCTGATGACCTTATACCAGTTACTCGGCGGCATCGTGTCGTCCCCACGCCCTGTTCCGTTGGCGTCGTGGATGAACGGCCGATTTCGAGCTGGCCTCGGTGGACGAGTCAACCACGCTGTTTCAAGACGCGTGGCTTTCGAGACGACCCCGACGAGCTGCTCCGTCGTAAGATCGGAAAAGCGCTGGAAACCCGCGAGCGGCAGGGCACGACACCGACGCAGGAGTGCAACGGCGAGGTTTCGAAAGACTGGCCTGGTGCTCGCGAAGTCGTGCAGAGACCGACAACTCTACGATTCGCAGCGTCAATCGGACCATGCGCGAGCGTTACGCGTCCCGCACTCACCAGCTGCAGGGCGTGGATGTCCCGGAGATCCAAATGCTGCGCGACATTGAGTAGAAGATCGTAGGGGAGAGTATTAAGCGACATGTTCTCTTGTTGAGCGTCGGTAGTATCGTTTGACGTGCTGGGTGACATTCGAGAGTGACTGCCGAGAGTCAGAGACAAAATTGGCAAGAACCGTGGTGGTATCAGCGAGGCTCGAAACGGAGAGCGGGGTATACTAGAAAGGAACGTCAAGGGTGACGGCCACCGCTGCGACTGACAAGGTCCTGGGGAGGTGGTGGATAGGTCCAGGTATGGTCCGGTCGACGGCCACCACCTGCAGTTCCTCCACCGTAAGCTAACGCCGACGACCGGTCACGTGAGCCACTCGCCTTGACAAGGAGCTTGTTGGCATCCTCCTAAGTACAAGGCTACTTACAACAGCTACAACTCCAATAAACAAAGGGGTCTCTTGAGAACTATTGTCTTGATGAAAAGGCCGGTAGTGACAGGTACGAAGGAACAAGCAAATCAAAAATGATAGATGGACAAAGACAACAGTGGACCGTCGGTGGTAGCAACGCGCTTCGCGAGGGGTTCAATTCAACTGATTGCCCAATAACAACAATTATCACTCACTAATCTCGCGAGTCACAACAGACGCAGCGCAATGGCGTGGCTCCAGATTTCGGTCGATCGTGAGAGGCGCAAGCTTCTGGGAGATGGGGGTTTGGGGACAAGAGAGCTGCTTGGTCGTCTGGTGAAAGTCCGCCTTATATACCTACAACATGGCCGTCATGGCAGAAAGACAATTATGGTGCGTCATCTTACGTCATTTCATTGTGAGTCCACTGACAGAAAGGCTCAGAAAGAGAATCGCATCCTCGCGACGGCGCGACCTATCATGTTCAATTGCCTAATGGAGGCATGGGATGACTAAAAGCGGAAAGTACCATCCGACAACAAATCTAAAGGCGTCGCAAAAGCACTTGTTCAATGCATTCTCTAGAAACAGATGTTGCTTGCTGACTACTAGAAGTTATTGCGGCCTTTATAACCAAGAAACACTCAATAAGGGCTCGGCACAATGTAAGTACTTTAAGTTCTGATCCCTTCCGTCACAAACGAGGTCTGCATGTATGATGTACTCCTCAGCTTCGTCGAGCTCGCTGACGGAGCGACAGAGAAATATGATGTATGCAATGATTGCGTGGACTTGGCCAGATATGCTGTTATTATTGGCCATGTAAAGAGGTCAGTCGGACTGCAATGCGGATGGTAGAAACCGGCGAGGTCCAGGCCTCAAGCTCAAGGTCTCAATCATACGGCCACAATCCACCCACCTCCCTTGCTTATGTTTAAGGCTCTGCTAGTAGAGAATATGATTAACGCCTCAAGCCTCCGGCATTCAAGTTGCGCCCGCAATTGTGCTCAAGAATACAATAGCGCATTTGAAACAGACAGGCTCCCACTGGGATTTCATTGATTTGAATGATCTCTCCGACGATCTGAAAAACATATCGGTCAGCTTGAGAAATTGTGGGTAATGATAACGACAGCATGGATTGAAACAGACTCAAAGGCCACGCAGGTCCAGTTAATCATGATGAACGACTCTGGGAGAGAGGTTGACAACAGGGTTGGCGAGAGTCTAGTATGATATTTATATGATCCGCAGCTTATTTAACAAGCACTTCTGGATTCCATTGATGGTGCGTCTTCGCTGCAGCACTGTAACGGGCGCGCCCGCCACATACTTATGTCAGCACGTAGATACACTGACTATACCGTGGTTTTTTGCCTTTGTACGACCACCTTCCGTGCCCCACCCTCGCTCTTTCCGCGCGACCTAGACCACTACGACCGCCCGAACCAACGTCCTACTCATTACAAGCACGCATAACAGTCTGAACAAGTTTGAACTACTACGCCTGCCATATCGGGAGCGAGGTGTGCGGGAAAATACCGATATCCATAAACGGCTAGAGTAGATTCCCCACTGCCAGAGTCCTCCGTCTTTCCCGGTTCGCGTCGACGTCGACGGCGTCGTTGACCTTGTCCTCACCTACCTCTGTTTTCTCGCCGAACGGGACCTGGGGTCTGACTGGAATTTCACGCGGCAGGTGCGTCCACACCGCGCTGCCCAGCGCCCGCAACTCACCCACCGACAATCACAGGACGTTATACCTTACCGAGGTCTGAGCATTTCAATCAATCACCCTCGTTTGCTACGACGCTCTTTCTTGTGACCATCCACCATGGCCCCGCGACGGGGCGCGTCCTCGAACTCCCTCAGCCCGCCTGAGGTCGTCTTCCCGGGCTCTGGTTCCACGTCTCCCGGAACATCGCCGCGCTCTGTCTCGCCCTCGAACGGGCTCACTCAGTTCCTCTCCAGGCCCACGAAATGGTTCAACCGCTCTACCTCTGACAAGGCTTCTCGGTCTTCGATGGGCCCCAACGAACCGAGATCCAGCACGAGCTCCTCAGGCCGGAAGCACAAGATCTCGCATCCGACGGACCCTCGCCCGTTCATAGAGAACTTGGTTGCGTCGCCGGAGAGAAGGGGGCTTACGAGCAAGTAAGTGGTCTGTCACACAACTCCTCGCCTTGCTGGCGCACCGCATGCGAAGTGTGTCGCACAAGTCCGTACTGACGCGCTTTCACTTGTAGGTCCGTACTCGATTTGTCTCGAACTGCGACCGCCTTCGATGACCTACCGAAGCCACCACGAATGCCCTCTTCACCTACTCAGCCTTCTATGTCTCGTGGCTTGGGCGACCTGCGCAATATCTCGCGTAAGCCCTGGTCCAAGTCCGCAGATGACCTCAGCAAACTGTCTTCCCACATGCCCGCACCTGTATTGACGCCCCTTGACACGACCTTTCACGGCAGGATCGAACAGTATAGGAACAATCGTGGCGGCAGCGTCGGTAGTATGAGCACCGTCCCGTCGCCATCTGTGTCCTCTATTATGTCCGGGCAACAGAAGAACTATCCTTTCCCTGCCATCACCACGTCCCCTTCCGAGCCGCTTTCCGCGTCTCCTCCGAGTCGGCCTAGTATTCAGCTGTCCGCTGCTTCCCCGACCCTCACAGGTGGCACCGCTCTCACCCCGTCGCTCTCGAACTCTAGCACCCATGTTCATACGCGGTCCCATTCCTTCACGCCCCGCCTGCCGTCGAAGTTGGCATCGCCGAAAGGCGCTCTGCAGCCTCCTTTGAGTCCGAAGAGAAAAGGGTCGGGATCGTCGATCGCGGAGCGTACTCCGGAACGAGACAGGGAAAAGAACATTTCGGGCGGAAGCGGCGGCCATGGCCCGTCCTCGCGCTCTCCGTTCCCGTTTATTCTGGGTGGAGGACGGTCCCCGGCGAATCCCTCGAGCCCAACAGACACGCCGTCGTCGCCTACTTCGCTCGCTCCGCCCACAATCGTCGAACCTCCTCCTGACACGTTCACGTCCAAGATGGAGAAGCGCTCCTCGCAGCTCATCTACCATTCTGGATTCATCAATCGTCTCGTCGACTTCTCGCCCTCCGCGTTGAACGTGCGCGCCACCCACACGTACATGAGCGGCAGCTCCGCGCCGACGCTGTCCAAGGGTTGGAAGCCGTATAAGCTTGTGCTCAAGGGGTCGAAGCTCTACTTCTTCAAGCCACCCAGCGACCGTAGCGCTGCTATCAAGGAGCTGTTCCCGACCGAGCTGGTCACCGTGCTCGAGGATGAGGGGCTGGGGGATGGCGAGTTCGACGGCGGCGATGCGGAAGAAGAGGTGGCGAGAGGCGGGAGGGCGAGGGATAGGAAGAGGGCGTACTGGGGGCGAGGCACCCATCCATCCCTGGTGGTCGTTGATGGGAAGGTTGAGAGGGGTGCATTCGAGGCGCTGGTACATGAAGCTGTCTTTGCAACCACCTTCGTCAGGGATCCCAACTCTGCGCCAGACGGTGGTCCGGCAGAAGCGACGCCTGCAGACGAAGCGCAGCTCGCAAGAGATCAGGAAATATCTCAGGGTGGTGGGGCACCGGAGTCATCGTCTCGTTATGACCTTGCTTGGCGGGACTTCGCCTCAAATATTCTCTTCAGTTTGCCTTTCGCTGCTGGGCGCAGCAAGTTTGAGACGGAACTGATGCGGTGCTGCGCATATCTGCTCAGTGGAGTCGAGGACGTCATGAAGGAGGAGGAAGCAAGTAGGGTACGTTGGCTTGCCGGACAATACTTGGCCTACCACGGTGCTCCGGTTGATCGTAACGCTTGGGAAGAATGGCGCAAGGAAACAATCCCTGATTTCCCTTCGGATCCCTCTTCCGCTTCGAAACTCGCCGGCTTGCCCAAGTCGTCCTCCATGCAAGCGTTGTATACAGCCTCGCCTCAAGTTGGTTCGTCTTCTCCAGCAGATTCACCGGACCTTGGGGCGTTCTCGCCCAGACCAGACACAAACAGCAAGATGATGTCCATCGTCGATGCTCTCGGTGTACTTCCTCCCTCGAATCGCCCCAGCATTTCTGGCCCCTCTTCCCCGCCCCGCAACTCCTCGAGGGATGCATTAGTTGCGACACTGGAGCGTGATGGTTTCACGCGAGATGCTCTTGTTGGACTCGACTCACAGTTACTAGCGCGTAGCCTGTCTGTATTCAATCACAGCCTGCTCGCGCATGTTCCAGACAACTTCACTGCCGACCTGTGTCTCAGCTCGGAATCAGCTGAGACGGAGGCAGCAGCAGATCCGAATACTTCGTCCACCTCTTCACCCCTGACGCCTTTTCTAAGCACTGATGACCAACCCCACTGGCTTACGCGGATGATTCTCATTCAGACTCTAGTACCCGAACCCGCTGGAACGACATCACCGCCCATTGGCTATCCACTCATCGCCTCCGAAGAACGACACGTCCCAACCTCCCGCACTCATACGCGATCAGAGGTCATCTCTGCCTGGGCTAAGATCGGGGAACTCTGTCGGCGAACTGGGGATGAGTGTTCCTGGCGAGCGATCTTCGCAGCTCTTTGTTCGCGTCCTGTCGCTCGTTTGGAGAAAGTGTGGAAGAGAGTAGATCCCGAAGCCGTTGCGATCGTGCAATCGTGGGCGCAGCCTCAGAAGGATGGCACCGCATTAAACCCCGGTCCTGTCAGGGTGCCCTGGGCTGGAGATGTCAGGAATCAGATCCAATCAGCTCTGGAGAGGGCACGATATGGTGCCGCGGACGAATGGCAGCTAATGTCGTTGGGTGAGGCACGGCAACGGTTTGAGGCGCTGCGGACGGCCTTCGCGCTCTGTGCAAGGCCCAATCAACTCGACGAAACGGCGGAGTCGAGTGATGTTGAGATCCTAGTCAAAGTCTGGCGGTATCCATGGGAGGGGAAAAGTGGGCATGGCGTGGCGTCAAAATTCACTCGGTGAGTGGCTTGTTCGGTCTTATGTATGCACGAACAGCGCTAATCTGTCATTCAGGATTGAGCAGTTCATGTCTCTGTCAATGGCTGCGGAACCTCGACGCAAGGGACTCTTTGAGCCATACTACTGGACCCGATCTGCATCCCAACAGTCAACGCCGTCATTAGCGGGTGCGCTCTTCCCTGAGCCACTGCCCTCAGTGTCCTTGATCAACAGGGCTCTGTTGATGCGCGGTCGGTTGGAGAGTAGTGCAAGTTTGAATATGCAAGACATACAACACCTGCGTCAACTTCCGCTAAGGACGAGTAGAGACTCACCCACCAATAGGCGAGCAACGGCTGCGAATGAACTAGGCGGGACCATCCTCTCTGTATTCGACGGCGAATTGCTTCTTCTTGTCCCATCAGCAGACTCATCAGCACCTTCGCGTCCGACGTCTCGCACTCCATCGCGGCCGCCCAGCTCTGTGGCCGACAGTCCGGTTTCAGGGGGGACTGTCTCTCGCACTTCGTCCATCCGTGTTTCACCTGGTGTCTCTCATGGACTAGATCGGAAGCCCAGCATGATTAAACGCAACTCATTGCCGTCTATCTCGCAGCGTACTAGCCTGCTCATGCCCGAGGCATCACCTGACAAAGCTCTCCGTGTTGTAGTGCAAGCGGGCACCCTGGACAGACTGGTGGACGTCCTAGTCCATGGGCTTCAAGGAGTATCCGTATCTGTCTCCGATGACAATGGTGAGATGCCTCTGACAGCTGCTAAAACTCGGGAGGTCAAGCTCGATATGGATGACTTCTCGGATGTGTGGTGGAACGTCTATAGGAGTTTCATGACACCACAGATACTGTTTGAGGTGCGTCTTTCGGGTACTTGAACCCAGCCTATCACTGAATTGGCCTCATAGTTCTTGCGAAAACGGTACAACTCTGCACGCCTTCTGCAATCGTCCTCGATTGGCGAGGTAAACGATGCCGTGCGCATGCGATCAGAAGTGCTCGAGACAATGAACGAGTGGATCAATCGAGGCGGAGGTGCCCAAGATATCCTCGATGACGCACAGTTGCATAATGCCTTCTTCTCTTTCCTCGACAGTCGAGCGGAGCATGAGGTACCGCAGCTTGCAGAAGAATGTCGTCAACATGTTTCCGTGCTAGATCAGCTAGTCGAGACATTGCGTATGACCTTCTTCTCGCAGACTTTGAGGCCAACTCGTTCCGACACATTGTCCGATGGCGCCGCGAGCGCAGTAGGGGCCCACAACTTCGGGTCCGATATCCCGAATATCGACGAGCTCAATGCGGAACAACTTGTGGATAATTTGGATGCGATGACGTCTGCAGCACTGCGTAATGTCAATCAAGAGGTATTGTCAATTGTTGTTCGCTTTAGGCTTTGGCTCAATTGTTCCCACAGGATCTCTTCGTGACGGCCGATATCCTCGAAGTACAATCAGCGGATCGCACTGGTTGGTTCCTCCCGCGTGACCCTAGTTCATTAATCGACGAAGTGGAGATCCAAGCCATGAACTCGTACATCACTGAAGTTGAGCCGTCAACTCTGATCTCCGAACTTGGCCAGGACTCGCTTTACCGCCTTCTTCCCCCTTCTGTCAGAGGCTGCATTCGCGCCTCCAACATTTTGCGCAAATGGCTCGTATGCCAGCTGATCTCTCCTAGACTTGGCCTCCGCGCCCGCCAGGCCAGGATGGAGAAATTGCTCAGAGCTATCGAGATCTCACGCCTTCGTAGTACAACGGACGAGACAAACCCGGAGCGACCCATGGGCGAACGTCCGTGTATTCGCTCGGCCGTAGAAGCCATTCTTACTTCGGCTGCTGTCAGCGTGGAAAGCCGCACACATTATCGCGCATGGCAGAACATCGCGCTCGGTCGAGGGACGTACTGTGATAGTCTAGCCTCCTTCCTCAGCAGGCCAGCAGCTCCCATAACATCAAGAGGCGCCTTGGCTGTCGACATCGGTTGGGTCCTTGAGAAGATGCTGGAAGTCATTAGTACGCCGGACGTGCTGGAGTCGATGAGCGAAACGAGCTCAGGGATGGTGAACTTCGACAAACGACGGTAGGTGTTCTCGTTGTCTACCATGGTCTCATACTGACTCGCAACTGTAGCTCTCTGAAGACGTTGATATCTTCAAGCACAGGTGCCACATCTCGCAAGCGTCGACAACGTCGCCACGTTGACAGACGTGACTTCGAGCGTCTGAACAACATCGAACGGCAGATGTCGTCCGCTCATTTCGACATCCGTGGAATTCGGGAAGAGGCGCATCGCGAAGCTACACAGTCGGGCCCATTGGGAGCGAAGAAGATCCATCGACCATTCCAGGCATTGGTTGCACTTCAGCAAGAGAAGAATAAACGAGATCGCCATCTTCGCGATCGTCTCAGCAAGGAGAAACGGCACGAGCAACACCTGTACGAGCAGAAGGAAGAGTCTATCAGCAGGGCTATGCAGCCTCGACGACAGCCTGTGGTATCGCAGAAACAACATCGCAACAAGAAGAGCATGTCGTCCGCATTCTTCCAGTTCATGCGGCCCATCTCCAGTGCCTTCTCCTCCGACACTCTTTCGACGACTCTGACCAAGCGAACACCTGCTGAGCTTGACTTCACCCCGACGAATAAACCATCCCTGGTACTCAGTGTAGTCGACGCTCGGGTGGTGCAGTTCGTGAACAACGAACGATCCTTCACTTTTCAGCTTGACACTGAAGACGGCGGCCAATATCTGCTGCAAGCAGTGGGCAGACCCGAGATGAAGAAGTGGATGGATACCGTTCAGCACGTGTCGGCGATAGCTGCCAAGCGTCGACTGACGTACCTTGGGCAGAACGCTAAATTGCAGCTATCTGACCATCTCCTCAGCCAGCCTGTCGCACCGTCTAGAGACCCTCGGGCGTGTGAGTGGATCTGACTGAATATCGTATATCTAAACTGATCCACGTTCTGCAGTCTTTGGCGTGGACCTCGAAGTCATACTGAAACGGGAGTCCCCTGAGGGCGACATTCAACTTGGGGCAATACCGTCCATCCTAGAACGGCTGATATCCGAGGTTGAATCGCGTGGTCTCACAGAGGTTGGAATTTGTATGTCCGTTGTCTCTTGTGGGGAATTACAGAAAGCTAACAGGTTCGGTTACGAAGATCGTATCGCTGGCTCGCACGCCGAGGTGAATGCCTACAAAGACGCTCTCAACCGAGGTAATGAGTGGTTCAATTCCGGTACCACTGGCATTGCTAACTACATCGTGCGAAGGCGAATGGCCCATCACTTCATCGACTGATATTTATGCTGTCTGTGACCTGATCAAGTCATGGTTCCGTGTTCTTCCCGGCGGACTCTTCTCTTCTGCCGCGTACGAAGACATCCTAAGAACCGTCAGTGAGTAGTGTCTGTCTCTACATCCATCAGTCTTTCAGATTCTGAGGCCTCCATGTTAGCTCTTGATGGAGCAGACTTGGACACGAAGGTGTCGGGCATCCGCCGAGTAGTCCATGGGCTATCCGACATGCATTTCGACCTCCTCAAGCGCATCATCGAGCATCTCGACAAGTACGTAACGTCCAGACTATCTCGACTTTGGCATTTCTGACATGTCTCTTAGAGTGACAGACTTCGAGGAGAACAACCAGATGACAGCAGAGTCTCTTGCCACTGTCTTTGGTCCCAACATCCTCCGGTCGCCTACCGATGACATCGCGGGATTTCTCGCCAACATGGGCCCCTGTAACAGGGCAATGAGATTGCTCATCTCTCATGTCCGTTTTTCCGTTTACTCCTCTCGCATGGCAGACTTACTGACGCTCTATCTGTAGTCTCACAGCATCTTCGACGATACCCTCGAGCAGGACGCGGAAGTGGAGTACGAGCGGGAGCAGGAGGACTTTGAGTTCGACGAGCCCATTCCAGAGGAAGACGAGGATGAAGAACTTCTATGCGACCCCGACATGGACGCAGACCCGGAGGGTCCAGAGACCCCGGAAGACGAAAAGGATGTAACAGAAGTCGCCGTCACTGCAGGGCCGCCCGTACTCGACCTAGACCTAGGCAGCCCCCACTCACTCTCGTTCTCGATGGCCTCGTGATCATGATCATGACGACCTGTACATCTGTACTGTATTCTGACGTTCGTGCGTTGTACAGTGTGTACAACATCACTCAAACACGGACTCGCGCTGCTCCGGTCATTCCTCGTCATCCTCGTCATCCACCTTCGCTTGACTGCTCTAAATAACGGACGCTCGCTCTTCTGTTTGTTCCTGGTACTGTATGGTATATACCCGCACTGTAGGCCGCCGTACGGACCTCTGGGCTGCATCGTCGTCGTCTCAATTCCGGTAGCTATCGTACTAGTATCTATAATACCGCCATCACAACTTGGTCCAACTGGATCCACTGCTGTTACATACATTCAACGCACAACAAATGGTTCCCCATCACATCGAGCGTACAGTACAGTATACGATTCAGAGCAATGCAGACTCGGCGGTGAGTACCCAATGACATTGCGCGCCTCGGCAAAACGCTGCTGGTCCGTGCGCATCCTCCACTGCCTATAAAGCCTACCCCCGCGCTCCTACAGTCCTCATACTTACCTTGATGGAACAGTCCCCTTCACGTATCGGGAGCGTTGGCCGCAGGGGTCTCTCATAGCACGGCGACCATGTCCTCAGGGGATGCCTGCGGTTTGTATGGGCTTCGGCTCATGCATCGTCTCAATATTTCCCTGTTCTGCTTCGGCCCTCGGGCTGGGCAGGCCTTTTTTTTTTTATGTCACTACGCTTTCCTAACCCTAACCCTATGTGTTATGTATGGCTGAGTAGTTATATTACATAATTGAGTTATATACAGCCTTATCTTTGCCCCGAGTCAGCAAGTACATACGGGCGTGTACATATGACCTATCCTACTCAAGTATACCGACCTTCGTTTGTTGAGTTGTGTGGGCACACAGTTTTCTGTTCGCTCGGTACTTCCAAATGGGGCTGGCCCGGAGTGCACTGGCGCCTACCGAGGCGGCTTACATAAGGAACACGATCGCGCGCGAGGCGACGACCGACCGAGCAACGTCTCAGTGAATTCCTTTGTCCGTACATCTCGGCGTCGTATATACATCACTCAAAACAGTCAGCGCTGGGACGTGAGTGTCTGCTCTCTCCTCCAGACCCCGATGAAGTCGCTGAGCCCCAGGTTTGTGCACGCCCCCAGGCCGTCCCTCACGAGGAGGATGATTTCGCGCTTCAGCAGGGCGTTCCTCGCCATTGCTGTGTCTTTGGTACGTCGATTCGGCGCCATGTGAGTATGTTGAGATACTGATGCCACTTTCAATAGCTTTTCATTGGATCCATCGCATTGTTGCACCCTCCAACACGCGCATACATCGACCCGTGGACCGGGGAGCTGTTCGGAGAGGGAGGCGTCGAGAAGGAGCTGCATAGCTTGCCTGCCATTCATGGCGAGGCAGTACACGGCGGCGTGATTATGACGAAGCTGGGGAATGCGACTGCAAAGGCGGAACTAGGGAGGGCGACGTGGAAACTGCTGTGAGCACTCATACTCATTTTCGTACTTTCACCCGTCCAATCTCGCAACGCGCTCCAGACATACGATGACACTGAGGTTCCCAGAGGTCAGACGAGTAATCACGATACATGCGCGTATTGGTATAACTCTATCTTTGCAGGAACCAACACAAGATCAGCGGAACGCACTAGACAGTTACTTCCACCTCTTCTCTCGATTATACCCCTGCGGCGAGTGCGCCGCCGAGTTCCAGCAACTGCTCAAGAAATATCCTCCTCAGGTGCGTCTTCGCGCTATCCTACCCGCGTAACTCCGTCGAAGTGCCCACGAATCCGTACAGACATCCTCCCGGAGATCTGCAGCGACATGGCTCTGCTTCGTGCACAACCTTGTGAACGAGCGCCTCGGCAAGCCCGAGTTCGACTGTGCGAACCTCGACGCGACGTACGACTGTGGGTGCGGCGACGACCCGTCCGGGGCAGGGTCGCCTGGAGCGGGCCAGAGCGACCCCATGGACCTCGAGCGCGACCTCGGCAAGGATGAGCTCACCGGTGTGGGTATGATCAAAGGCGGCAGGTAGTGCACTCTGCTGCAAGATTAATGCTTGAGATTGGTTTGTGGTGTGCAGGGGACTCTTGTTTATCTGGGTAATGTGTCCTGGTCCCCATCATTGTTTATTGTATTCTGCATCTCGTACTCACCCTCCTTATCATTGTGCATGTCTCTTTGGAAGCTTGCGAAGTGAGTCGCACAGAAGAGCATGTCACTCAGATGCCCGGGCCCAAGACTTCCGAGGACGATACGTTGAACCGGTATGACTACCAATGAACTGGTACCCCGCACCCGCCGCGGCCAGCGAAGTTTGCTGTCACGCTCACTAGTGCTGCCGCTGGGCCTTCCCCCATGACAACTGCCACGCTCACTCAGACCTGATGACTGCGACTACCGTGACATATTTCCAGGATAGATTGCCAGGAGACCTACACTATACAGACCGCCAGATCGTAGTATGCTATACACTTCGATCACCAGAGAAAGCGCCGCAGATCGCCTGCTTAGCATGTACGGCGAGTACCAGACTCGATACGTCCTAAGCAAGACAACCAGCAGCGCACCAGGACCGTTAAACCGATTTGAAGACGCAACAGTCCTGTGGATGGCGGATTAGATCTGGATACAGACAGCAGGACGAATCACCTACTTCGAGATGTGCAGTGTCATATGTGATACATAGAACTGACGAGGTTGTCCCCTCTTCGCCGAGCGTTCCCAGCGACAGTGTCGCCACTACTTGTACGAAGCAAGGTCGGACGCACGCAGCTCAGTCGAGGTCGCCGAAGAGCTCAGTCGTCTCCGGACGCACGAAGCGCCTCGCGATGCCGTGGTCGTTGAACAACAACTTCTCAGGCACTGAGAATCCTGGTAAGCGATCGGAGAGACGTAACCGACTAGCACACACCTTTGTGGAAGGAAGACAAGACCTTCAACGCCCAGGGGCCAGACAGCCCGCCTGTCTCCGATGACTTCTTGTGTGCGCCGCCGTCCGTTTCGTGCATCACCCACTCCTCCACAATATCCACATCCACCACGCCCATCTGCACCTGGGCCGCCACACGCTCCATGGGGACCACCAGCTCCCACCACGCCCACCAGTATAGAATGAGGAACTCCTGCGCCATGAACATCGTGTCGATCCGTCCATATTCCATCAGCCGCTTGATACGCTTGAACGGATCCGCGAATAACGGACCCAGCAGGATCTCCTCGAGGAAGTAGACCCCTGCGAATCGGTACGCGAGGAAGAGCGGGGAGAACCACCCGTACGCGAATTCTTGGCGAAGGTCGTCTACGAGGAGGCGGATGATGGGAAGACGGCTGAGGAGCGATACGATGGGAGGAAGGGAGTACGACAGGATCCCGGGCACGGCCCAAATCCAGACAGCGATGAGGAGGATGAACAACATCATCTCGTATTCTGTCACCTCGTGAGGGCAGTCTGTCCCGCCATCGCAGCCGTCGTCGATGTCGTCGGTAGCGGCGACATCGACGATGGCCTTATCGGTCAAGTTGGAGGTGACAATGTCGCGCACCTCGTCGTCGACGTTGAGGGGAGGGATGGCCGTGACGGGCTCAGGCTCATCCTCACCCACGTTGTGAGAACCGTTGTTGGGATCAGCCTTGTCCTCGAAGGCAGTCACGACGGGAGAGTCCATGACCAACAGGTCGCCAGTACCGTTGGCCATGTCCATCCCGCCGAGGGTGTCGACGAGGACAAGGTTGAGGTCGATGTAAGCCGGGCTATGTCGGCCAAGTGTCATGAGAATGGTCCACTGGAGAGCGAGGGCACGCACCCGTAACCGATGTCGCTGAGCGACATGTCCGATAACCAGATGAATTCCGGGGAAACCTGAGCCGCCGAGTTGCGAACGGTGTTGACGATGTCGCCAACGACGGCTGCGGTGCTGTCGACGATGTCGCCGACGACAGCCGCGGTGCCCTCCACAGCGGGGCTGACACACAGATGAGTCCAACGCGATAAGACGAGGGGTGCCAACGACACTCACCTGGCGGGCAGGTACAACAGAAAGTCGTCCATGACGGCCGGCGTCAGGAGGAGTGTACCAGGGGTGAGCTCGACGTTGAACGTCGGAGGGAGGCTGGGCAGCACGCTGACGAGGGCCAGCGCGCCGCCTAAAAGTAAGATGAGAGGGAACATGTGTGATACGCAGTGGGCTGGTGGTGGTTAAGTTCAAGTTGGATGAGGGGGGAAAGTCGAACACGGGCGGGTTATAATGGCGGGAGGCTGACATGTTGAACTTGGTTCGACGATCGCCGTCACCCTCGATCGGCTTCCACTTTCGGACGTCAGCCCACTCGAACGGGGACGCCGTCAGCCTCTGGGCGCAGCGTCGGCAGTGTTGATGTTCCGCAACGTCCGCCAGCCAGGCCTGCGCACCGGCTGTCATGAGAGAGCACACGTATTGTCCAAGTCTGGAACAGCCGTGTCGCCGTCACAGACCCCGACATGTCCTCCAGATCGTGGTGTGTCTTCGGACGCCTGTCGCGTAGCCCTTGCGGGAGGAATCGGAAAACTCGTCGATCTAGGATTGAGGACGTCAGCCTTGCGATTTAACGTAGGGCGCGTACGGGTGAAGGTTGCACTGCGAACAGAACCTCCAAAGCACCTACAGCTTGGGTTGTTGTGCTCAGTATATCCTGTATGTTGCTACAGCAAGGGAAAGTCAGTCAACGTGCAGGAAACGAGGACACATCCAACCTACACACGAACGACTTGACCTTTGGCCTTCTCGCACCTGCGTCCATAGGCCACCGTTCGTGTGGTCACCTGCCTCTCACTGCAACTGCGTGTCTCTCGTGACGACACCCGCGAGGATGCCACCCTCCTCAGAGATACGCACTGTACATACCGTGATGCGGCTCAATAACATACGTCCTGCCCATCGCCCGTGGCATTCTGTACATAGCAACAATAGCTATCCATGTATTTCCGTCGGCCTGCGTACGACCATAATGCATAACACCCCACTGAGATGGGGTGCGTGGCCTTCGTCGTTGCTTGCGGCCACGGTCGAAGTTGTCATTGTGCCTGTGTCTTGCTGGGTACACTTATCAGTTAGGCACGGGGGTTGTCTTCAGGGCAGACAGTGACAGTGATAGGGCCGAGGACAAAGTGACACGACGGGGACACAGCGGTGGAGGACGACGGTCGCGCGCTCTCCGAAGGTGGCGCTGTCACCTGACCGCGTCGTCTTCTCCCGCCGACGCGCCTCATCGCTTGCTTTCGCGACTGCGGCCGCCCTCTGTCTCTTGTCGGCCCGCCACGCTCACCGACACTCATGCGCCTGCACCGTGCCAGCGACCGTGGAATTGTCACCCTCCGTGCATACCGCCCCAGCTTCGATAACGACGACTCGGAGTCTGGACGTTGAGCTCAACGTCCGTCGCGCCCAAAGAGGTTGTGACGCACCGCGCAATTCTCCATTGGCCGCCCTCGTCGTCTCACTTAGAGACCACCACGCCGACTGTAGGCATACAGCACTAGCACACCAACATAATACCTGCCTACGTATGCATCCGTCCTAAGGAGGCTTGGAAGACAGCAGTCCGGTACGTCCGTGTTTCATTGATTTTCCGCGGCGTCGATCTTGAAGTGCGTGGGCAGATCAGTCCCTAGATGTAGCCACCGTTCCTCACCGATCGGGACGACAAAGCCCTCGGATGACGCACCGAGGCCGGCCCCGTGTTTGAGCCACCGCTGGCCCCTGGCCGCTTTGACCACAGGTGGCCCACCACGGCGTACCATACTGTATCTGGCGATGCATGCGATCCACGAGGCCATTGTTCCTCAGGCAACGGCTGGCCACCGACGTTCCCGGAACGCATATAAGGGCGCACCACAGGCAGAGGCCATCCACTCACCCCCTCTGAAGCACTTTCTCACCCACTACGAACATGCACACCCGTCTCCAAGTCCACCTCCGCACTCGACCCAGACGCATACTCCCCGCGCTTCTGATCCAATCGTCAAGAATGCGCACCGCGCATCTGGCCACCTAGTATGTTCCGCCTCATCTTCGCTTGTTGGCACCGCTGACCCACGTCGCCTGCTCAGTGTACAGACAGTCGAGCTGCCTATATCGGAACGCGCCAGACCCGAGTGCGCCCCGCCCGGCTCTAATACGGCCTCCAAGTCGTCCGACAGCCATGGGGGCCGTACGAGCGAGCCACACTGTATCTCGCCACCGCCAAAACGACCTCATCAGGAGCGGACGCGGCGGGGCGGTTGGCGGGTTGTGTTCCGCCAGTACGAGTTGGTCGCCACGAGGAAGGTCATCCAGCAGGTCTGAGGCTTGCTAAGGGATGCAACCGATCGGTGAGTGCTCGGCGGGCCGTTCTCGTTTCGCGCTTACTTACATGGATGCAGTGCCCCTCTGGTAGACGTGGATTGCGCGGCACTAGTCAGTCACCGGCAGGCCAGGTGTTTCGCGGGCAACCTGGAACGCCCAGTCCCTCGCGGACTGTTTCCTTACAACCTTGACCGTGGCGCAAAAGGCCCCGTGGACGAAAACTGGAACAACGCGACGATGGCGAGCACCGCCGACGAGGAATACACAGCGCGGAGGATCACCGAGATCGAGCGGGCTTCGTCGACACGCGCCGACGGAAGACCTGCGAACAGACAGCGGACGGAGGCGAGTCCAGCCTGCACCTCCTCATCGACGGGTTTGGAGGGCGGGTGAGTGGTGGTGCGTCCCTCCGGTGGCCGATGCTCCCTCTTCAAGGTCAAGTGTCTGAGGGGCCTACGTGCAGGCCTTCGGTGAGTGTCACGGATCCAACGTTGTACCCTTGCTCATGACGAACGCGGGCTTTGCAGTTCATGACACTGCCGCAGCCCGAGTCCGAACGAAGGAGCCAACCGTCTCAAGTGACTTGCTGGAGGTGCAACTGCTGCAGATGCTTCAGGCCGCACAGCGATTTGACCATCACGGCTAGCTGTTATGCGTGCCACAGCTTGGGCGAGTCCGGAATACGTCAAAGTCGTGTACACCGGAAATTGGAACGATCAGGACGCGACGCAGCCAAGCTACACCACCCTCGCGAACTTCCTCGCTGCCTGTGGGAAAGACCGTCTACGCCGCCTGAAGACAGTTAATATCCGCGCGCTAGTGCCTCCTCAACTTGAAGACAGGCTGAGAGTTGTTACTCCATGCAGGCCTTCAAATCCGTTGGCCCTCGTGGCCTCCGAGTCTGCCATACCACACCTCCATATTTTGTACTGACTAGCTAGCATTGTCACTGTATTTCCGGGCTTCCCAAGTCGTCGTATGCATTGCTATCAGCTGTGTGCAAATTGAACGCTTTGTGAACGCATTGACAGAGTTGGAAGTCGCGCTATTAGCGCCCGCACGAGCAACCTTTCGACTTGACCTCGAGCTCATGTTCCGCGCACAAAATTTTGCTCGTTCCCTACGGCGAGGATGGCGAGCACCGCCATCTTGTCGAACCATGACCCAATTGCCCGGGGAGCTGCTCAAATCCTTGCACGGTGTGCAGCCGCTGTATGAAATGACACCGCGATGGTGGCAGCGCGGGACGTACTTGGTTGTCCTGCTCGACATACTCGCGACGTGCGTCCAGCTCCCTCCCTCTTTTCTCCAACGACTTGAACACCTACTCTGAGGCAGAGCGGGGTCCGTGGAGCTCATATGGGACCACTGGACGATCTGGGAACCGCACCCCAACAAGGAACAGCCAGGTACCGACAAGACGACGGCGACTGAGCGGACGGGGGAGTACGTCCTGCGTCCATGGTACCACAGAGTCGTCGCCGTTGCTCTGCAGATGGGCTTTGGGGCCTTCATCGCCGGCTTCCTCTTGGGGACCCGCCAACGCCACGTCCGCAAAATCTTCCTCCTCCCACATAACTGGGTCGGCGCGCCCAGACCCGCTGCATCGCTGAGAGCGGGCCTCACTCCCCTGACCCGGCGGCCACATCAAACGCGCCGGAGTCAAGATGGGTCGTCATCCAAGCCCTCATCAACATGAACTTCCGCGGCAAGGGTGTCGCGGTACCCATGGACCAGTGCGAGCTAGCCAAAGGCAGGGACCAGGCAGAGCTCTCCGTTAAGGTGACCGGCATCACGAGCCCGTTCTGGATCCGCTTGGACGACAACAGCAAGCTGTGCGGGGAACGGCTGCCGGCTGGGCGGGCGCGGGATGAGATTTTCAAGTGGTGGTACGGAGAGGCATTGGGGAGGAAGTTGCGTGGGGATGAGCGGTGGAAGGAGTTACCGTGAGGGCGGTTTGTCGGACTCGCTTGTTCTCTCGCACCCCGTCTGATACATAGCCTTGTCAACATCGGAGTGCTAGTCTACAAGGGCTAAGACAAGATGCACAGACGCAAACCTCTTGTCAGCCGCGCAGGCATAACGAACCACGGAAACTGCACAACCCTAACACCCTACAAGTACAAAGCAACGCCCATGTTCGTCGTCGACGCCGTCACCAACCCAAGCTCCCTCTCCTCCGCGGGGACCCACCTCGCCGACCCGCTCACATCCGCGCGGTTCGACGTGCTCCAGTGCACGTCCCTCCTCCGGCCACGGCCAGCGGGGTCGTCAACGTTGGGGCTGACGCGCACCTGCGGCGACAACCAGCGCGAGCCGTGCAGTGTGAAGCCGCCCTCGTACGTGGGGTGGAGCACGAGCTCGACGGGCGAGTTGGTCGTATGCGCGGCGAGCGTGAGGACGTGGTCCACTGGTGCGTCGGGGAAGACGACGCGCACGGGGCTGTTGGTGCTGTGCGCGTCGACGTTGAAGAGCCCGCCCGTGCTGGAGGAGGTCGTGGCAAAGAGGCTGACGTTCGCGTTGACGGGGCTGAGGGGAAGTCGGCGTGAGCAGTCGTGGCGCTGGTGCGATCGGTGCGGTGCTTACCCGTTCGTGGTGTGCAGTCGCACCTTGGTGGACTCGTCGGCGTTGTCGTTGAAGAGCCCGATGACGGCGGTGATCGGGCCGTTCGTCGTCTCGAGGTTCAGGGCGCGGGAGGTGTTGAAATTTCCGCTGATGACACCGTTCGTCGTGTGCAGGTTCAGGGAATGGAAGGTGCTGAAGTTTCCGCTGATGATCCCGTTGGTCGCGTGTACCGATGCTGTGTCTGCAACAACCGACTGCGGCACAGTTAAGTCCATACAGACACGGAAAGGGCGAGTATGGGCACACCTGGACATTGATAGCCGTGTTAGTCGCGAACAGGGACAGCTCGTTGAAGAGGATCGTGTTTTCAGGTCGCCTACGCGGTGGACAAAGCTCGGGAGGTGTGTAGTCAATTTCTTGACGGTGACCAAAGAGCATCGGATGAGGGCGGAAGCTGCACGTGGATCCTGAACTGGATCCTGTGTAGTGGTCATGGCGGCCGTGCCAGTGACGGGGAGCCTTCACGACGAGTCATCTCAGACTCTCGCTCAAAGAATGGACAGTGATACTCACGAAATCCTACGCCATTCTTGGCCTGCTCAGGGCTCAGTTGGCAGACCTTGGTCAACTCCTCGAAGTGGTGCTGGCTGTTATAGTACCTAGAACGTCACCTTCACGACGTCCGACCCAGCCTCGCCACTGTCGGATATGTGATAACGCCGTTCGCAAACTGGGACGCTCCCTGGGAAGTGAAGAACAGCTCCTCAGAACCGAGAGGTAGCTCGAACGATGTCTCGGCGACATGCTCGAAATGGTCAACGGGGAGCAGGCCCTCCGGGTCAAAGTCCCACTCCGCGAAGGTGCAATCGTCTGGAACGTCAATGTGCTCGTGCCCGTGGTCCATGCTGTAGTTGTCCCTCAAGAGACGAGACTGTACGAAGAGGTATGTCAGGAACCTGATGCAGGTCACATGAGACGGCAGGGGCTACTCACCAAAGGGGGCGCGACCCGGTGCGCGACATACATGAAGAGGCATGTGAAGAGAACGCATGAAAGAACCTCGTCAAGGCCCTAAACCTTGCCCGCCTGCGCGCTTGCCTCTCCTGGAGCGCAGATCCCGCAACTGTGTACGTCGCTGGTAGTCAGGGCACGGCACAAGCACGGGCGCAGTGGGCGCGGCAGACTTCAACTTCTCGACGTCGGGTGCAGCGGCTTGGATGTTTTGGTAGGACATGGTGGACTGGGTTATCTGGAGGGGCACTGTGTGATGCTATATAATGGCGTGGATCCAAAGCCCAGGCGCCTAGGTCGCGTCATTCGCCGACTGCGTACAACAGCGCGCCGAGCCTTGCAGACTGCGCCGCTGCTGTGCGTAGTACCACCGTAGCAAGTCTGAACCTGGGTGGGATGCACTCAAATTTGGCTAAGACCGCGTGAAATGACTCACCTGCGCAGCGCCTGACGTTCCTTGGACAGCGACTAGAGCAGCTCGTAACTGCGCGCGTCTGTCGAGGCCGGGCAAGATCAACCGCTGTGGAGCACCACTGCGGCGTCCACTATACGCAGTCGCATAACTTCATGAGCAGCAGGGATGAGGAATGTCAGCTAATCCACTCGTCGGCGACACGAACCGCACGACTGATTGCACGCCGTGATCACTTTGTTATACTGACACGAGTACATACATACAACCATGGGGTACGTCTCACATTCCTACCGTCTTCGTGGTTTGCTGAGAACCATCCTATCAGCCTCATTGTCTCCTGCATTGACGGCATCTTCGCATGCATAGGCAGCGCCATCATGGCCGTCGTCGAGATCATTTTCGGATGCTTCGAGTGGATCGTTAGCAGTGAGCGTCATCTGCATTTCGCCGTCTACGCATACTCGACTGAGGGAGAAAATATCAAGTTATTGTGGGCTGCTGTACTGGTGCAATCGCTGCATCGCGGGCATCCTATGTTGTCCGTGCTTGTGCTGAGACGACTGCTGGATGCGCATTCCTCGTGCGATCTAGTGTGCCTGGTGCGCAACGGTGTTGAGTAACCGCATGAGAGTGAGCGCTCGCGAACGATGGAGTAAAGTGGCAATAACTGCTTATAATATTTAATACGGTACATAAAGACTGCAGATGCACCTACAGTGAAAATAACTTTAGAATGAGTATGTAAGTATGTAAGTCGGCACCAGCTGCTCACCAAAATCCATACATGCTACTCAAATCAAACGCTACTCCGGCCGACCAACTTTGCTTTGTCCAGCCTGAGTCTTGCAGGTTTCCAGTCCCACCCCAGATAGAGAATTGCGTGGTTGAGAAATGCACAGATCTGTCGTAAAAGGTTCAGTGACGCTTCCATAATGATACGAGCGCTGACTCGGTGGGCGCACTGCCTCGTTTGAAGCACTCAAGCATCGATATCCGAGCTTGCTGCCTCCGGATACCAACTGTCCTCTTTACATATCAGATCCGAGCTCGCACAAGCTGCAAAAGACGAATCTTAGTTGCGCTACTCGAAGCCTGCTCACTCGCCGGTATCTGTGGAACGATCCAGCACGCTATCACAGTACTCGAGGATCGCTGGTTGCGCGCAGTAGACGAAGAACATGTCAATACAAAATTCTTTAGCAAGGTGCGTCGATGTCCTCTGCCGTGTTTATGTTCATGTACGATAGTAGCGTAATCGGTCTAGGCCGCCAAACCGGACGACCGACGTGGACGGCTGAGGAAGATCGCTGAGGAGACCTTAGATGCCATCGAGGAAGGGTCTTATACCCTCAAAAGGACGAAGCACGACTTGCGTACATCCGTAGCCCTCGCCAAGAAGAAGACTCAATACTATGCTCCTGATTCACTGCTCTCCGGCTGGTCTGCCACGCCATCTCCCAGACCAGGGTGGTCTGCTGATACAGGAATCTCGGTCCTCGAGGTCTCCACGTTGGAGGGAGCCCGCCTGTTGTCTGCTGTCCAACAAGCAGGCCAAGTGGGTGCTCCACCATCCAGGGTTGGCATCCTCAACTTTGCATCAGCGACGAAACCAGGAGGCGGCTTCAGGAACGGCGCGCAGGCGCAAGAAGAGTCCATCGCGCGCTCGTCCACGCTCTATCCCACACTCACCACCAGTCTATCGCAGACATTCTACTCCGTCCACGAGAGGGATCGCAAGGACGGCTTCTACACGCACGCGATGATCTATTCGCCCGGCGTCATCGTCTTCCGGGACGACGACGGAGGCTGGGTCGAGCCTCTCGACGTCGACGTGCTCACGAGCGCAGCCGTCAACGCGGGCGTCGTGCGGCAGAGACTGCACGACGTCTGGACGACGCCGCGGTAGAGGGTAAGATCGAGACGGTCATGCGCGAACGGATGGCGCGGATCTTGTATCTGTTCGAGAAGCAGGGCGTGAAGAGCTTGGTGCTGGGCAGCTTTGGGACGGGCGTGTTCAGGAATAACGTCGGCCTCGTGGCCAATGTCTGGGCGGATCTGCTGGTGGAGCCCGGGGCGAGGTTCAAGACGACGTTCGACCATGTCGTCTTTGCTATCCTCGGGAGGGCGACGTTCGAAGAGTTCGAACGGGTTTTCGAGCAGCGGAAGGCTACACACTCGTCTGCATAGGGTTATCTCTAAGGACTGCGTGCATTGTGAAGAATGGATGGGATCTGTTTGGCTTATGCTTGGTTTGTCCCTAGTGTCCGCGCGGTTAGTGGTTGGATTGCATGCGTAGTGGCTGACCGGGGCCGCCCTCTAGGTTCTTCACACGAACTTGTGCTTGCGTGCATGGTGATAACTAGCTCATTGACGTGCCCCTTGGCCATGCTTACTTTCAGTATCCCCTGGTGTCACGGTGTCGAGAGATACATATATCGAGCGGCGGCTCGTCCACTTGTGCGTACGCGTCCCTGCCCTGCCATCCCACGTCAATGTCTGGGCTTCTCTACACTTCCCGACGTACCGGCTCCGACGACTCAATGTCCGCGTCAACGATCCCAATTGATGGCCCCCTTCTGCCCCTGTACCACGAAGAGTTCTATTTCGATGACGGCAATCTAACTTTGCTCGTGAGCGGCCGTCTTATCGATCTGTTGCACGGTGTTGACAGGACTCCTCAGGTGGAGGATACATTATTCAGAGTGTTCCGTTCTTCGTTGACGAGACACTCCCCTATATGGAGGGAGCTCTTCGAGCTGCCTCATCCCGCCGGAGAGCCCATGGAGGGATCTGGGGATGAGCACCCCTTAGTTCTGTATGGCATCTCGAAAGTCGATTTCGAGCGCCTGCTATGGATCCTATATCCTGCGTAAATGCACCTCTTCACTCGTTCAGGGCACTATCAGTGATGCTGTTCCTATGTACAGGGACTTCGGCGTCTGCAGAGCTCACACGCAAGACGAGTGGACGTCCGTTCTCGACCTGTCTACTCGATGGGAATGCGCAGACATCCGCGCGCTCGCCATCCGCGAGCTACAAAAGCTGCCTGTCAGCCCCGTGGACACAATCATTCTCTCGCGGAGGTTCGACATATCAGGACGGTGGACGCTCGCGGCGTATGCCGCCCTCTGCCAGCGCCCAGATGCGCTTTCCCTCGAGGAGGCCTCCCGTCTTGGGCTTGAGACCATGGTGCGCGTCGCACAGCTGCGCGAGCAGATCCAACGAGGGGCTCCGGGGCCGGTGCGGCCCAAGCATCATTACCAAACTCCTACCAGCGCCGCTGGTAACCGCCGAGTAGGCCTCGACCCTGTGTCATCACACCCGCTTCGCAAGCCTCGCGAGCCCGGGCAGCCGCTGGACGCGCGGCCTGGCAAGCCGCCGTGTCAGACTCGAGGAGGAACGTACGGAGGCCTTCGACCAAAATCGCGTCAGACGTCTATCGGATGGTCGCTGACATATTCGGCGCGGATGGAGCTGTGCAGGCATTGGCAGCCTAAGCAAAGCCTAATGATATGTGCCCGTGCACCACCCCTAACTTATGGTGTAAACATATGCGCAGAGCGCCCCTGATTGTCCGGTTAACTTCTCTGTCATTCTTGGGCACGCCACTGGTAACTTATATCACATACGAATGTCGATGGTGCGATGCAGTTGCACTATGTCAAACTTTATGCATTATGTTCGACCGGGAGCCCAGATAGGAATCGGACAATCGGTGAGTAGTTGACCGGTTACTTCGTACCCTGCAGGCCGCTTATCTCGAGGGTTGCAAGCATCGCGATCATGACGGGCGAATGTTAATCGAAGGTTTGGTGCTCTTGCCCACATGATATATCCTGTCTATGATAAGTGGAGGATGCGGCTGCGGTGAGTCACCAACATAGGTACGTGTGTGCATTTGAATGACGCCACAAGCTCGTCTGCGTTTATTGGGGCTGCCAGATATGCTGAGACGGTTCCTTGGACCACCCTCGTACGTAGGATGTTCACGTCATTAAGCCTCACGGTATGTCTGATCTAACAGGGACAATGTTTTACAGTATCGCATGGAAATGGCGCGACTGGAAGTAACTTTCAAGTATCGTGGCTCTAAACCGGGATCTCGTTACGCGGCACGTCGCGGTATCGTTTTGTGAGTTTCTGCTTGTAGTAATACATTATCTGTGCACAGGAACGTCTGTGTTCTTTGAGGCTAAGTGATTGTTTTCAGACTAGCTATATGTTATACGCGTGCTCATTGATCCATCGGCCAATAGGAAGCGGGCTCGGACTTTCGTTGCAGCGAAGTTCGATATGTTCTCGGAGTCACGGAAGCTTCATGTCAATTCGCCGGCAGGACAACCCGGCCCGTGGGACATTCCTGGTGTGGCCGCCCTATACCCGCTTGATGGAAGTTCGCTGGCAACACGGGCTTCGAGTTCGGGCTGGCCTGTTTTATGATCCACGCCCTCCCGCCCGCTGGATACCATGTCAAACCGGCGGCGCTCATGGCGTTTGCACCTTGATCATGTGTCTCGGTCGTGCTGCCTCTGGGTGGCGCCGACGTGAACAGAAGTCGGAAACCACGATCCTATCGGACACGAACACTTGTGCCGCACCAACCTCTTGCGCCCGGCTGCTGGCCATCGTCTAACAAACTCACCTCCCTCGTCTATTAGACTCGGTATAGCCTCCTTTTAGCTCGTGATCATTCCCCATAAGGTCACGGTGGGTTACCTTTAGCTCACGCGCACTCACCTAGCCATGAGAGGACGATTGGCTTACTATGTTGCCTCATTATCTCTCGCACTTGAGGCTCAGCGAATACCTGTAAGCGGGAGCTGACACCGGCCGATAAATTCACACATGGTCTCATCTTGTTTTCGTACATATACGGAGAGGATAGTGACTCATCGCCTGTGTATCACCTCCCCTCTTCATTCCTCTCGCGAAGGCTTCCGGTCCTATCAATATGGGCGCTACCATGAGCTCGGCGTCTCCTCAACGGCACGTAGTTCTTTTTGTCTTTGAAGCATGGGGTGAGTGATTTTTTGTTGCTCGCCATAATAGCTGCTAGATGCTCATCGAGGATTGTACTCGTTGCAGGGCATATGCGACCTGTGTGCAATTTCGTCGCTCGACTCGTCAAGATGGAGCCTACCATCCTTATCACAATCCTCATTACACCCACGTTGTATGACAGGGTGCAGACGGAGCTAAAGAGGAATTTCGAGGAGCGAGAGTTGAGCCTTCTGGACCGCATACGGTGTGTTTCATTTGCAATCATCGAGATTCTGAGCGGCGTCCTGATGGCTGGGACAGAACGATAACGCTGTCACGGGACAGTGCCGAGGCACTGGACAGCAGCGTGCTTCTGAATAACTTCGCCGATGCCTATGAGAAACTTGTCAACCTGCAGCCCGTTATGTGCGTCAAAACGCAAACGGAGATCGAGACTACGTGTAGTCCGGACGTAGTGCTGGTAGATGTAAGTCTTATCGCACAACATAGGAGAGTTCCGGCTGCTGACGATACCATTGCAAAGTTCTTCGGCAGCGCTCCTATTGAAGCCATCCGGAGGACTAGCAAGAAACCAGTCAAAGTCTTCTTATGGTTCGCGTGTTCAGCGACGTCATTGTTCTGCATCGGTGGCCCCGAGAGACTGGGCGGAAGGGGAAATCTTCGTGCCAGGAGCGAAGAGGTTGCCAAACTCACCGGTGTCAGCGTTGAGGAGGCCGCGGGACAGGTCAGTGGACACTGACTAAGAGTAGAATGCGTACTCAACCGACGATTCATCATAGATATCATTGACCGGAAAAGGATCCCTCATCCGCTTGCCAGGGCTACCGCCGATGTACGACTACGAGATTCAGCCGCAGCGCGTGAGCTTCTCGTACACATGTATGTGGAATCCCGCCGCTCACCTCGAGGTTGCAGCCGCTTGGCCCCATTGCTTTGCTTGGCGGCGTAAATCTGAAAACCTACGAGTAAGACAGTCCTCCATGTGGTCTCACCAGTACAGTCATCTGACTGACACACCCTAGTACTATCGCCGGATGCGACGGACTGCTTATCGCTTCGCCGGAATGCTACGAGCCAGAAGCAGTCGCAGCTCTGAGAGACTGGATGGCGGAGTCGTCTCGTCCCGTCTACGCTTGTGGGCCCCTTATCCCTTCCGGCGCTCGGGCTGTCGCTTTCGAGAAATTACAAGGGTCGGAGGCCGCTAAGGTGGAGAGCTTCTTGGATGCCAAACTGGCGAGCCATGGGCAGCATTCCGTTCTCTATGTAAGCTGCATTGTACCTTTGCCCAAGACAATGTTGACCTTACATGATCCTAGGTGTCTTTTGGGACCATCTTCTTCCCGATGGAACCTCAGAAACTCGCTGCGTTCCTTGAAATCGCCATGGAGAAGGAGATCCCTTTCGTAAGTTACCTCTGCGGATAAAGTGACTCCATATAACTCATGATTCTCCATAGATCCTGAATCACTCGTCGCCTTACATCCCGTTGCCAGACTTCGTCACCGACAAGCTCAGCAACTATTCTGACTGCATGGTGACCAAATGGTGTCCCCAGCAACTCGTCCTCAGCCATCGTGTACGGCTCAATCTGATCATCTCACCGCTGCCATTGTAATGATGTACTGTTTCATTCTACAGGCGCTGGGTTCTTTGTCACGCATGCAGGACACAACAGCGTGATCGAAGCTACGACGGAGGGAGTACCGTTGTGCGTATCATTTATTCGTGGTGCATGTACAGGCCCACTTATGGTCGAACCTTTAGAATCTGTTGGCCGTTTACAATGGACCAAGCAACGAACGCCCCTCGCATCAGCGATAAGATTCAGAACGGCTACGAGCTGTTCCAGGTCCGGTCCGGTCCTGGCCTCCAGCCAGCCTATCGTCTTGGGAAGGCACCGGAAGCCACTCTGGAAGCGTTCATCGCTGAGGCGCAGCAAGTGCTGTCAAGGCATTCGGGGAAGACGGAAAGCGCAAGCTAGCCAACGCACAGCGGCTTAAGCAGCAGATCTCCAAGGCTTGGGGCGAGAACGGCTCGTCGCAGAAGGCGCTTGAGGATTTCGTGGCTTCGGTCGTAAAAGGCACCGAGAGCCCTCAGGGTTTCTTCAATTACTTGACTGCGTGGTGTGATCACCGTGCGCTCCGGTTGTACCTTGCTTGTAGAACGACTTACTGGTACCACGCGCGAGGACGATTCTTGGTTGTACGATTAGATGGGCTACTGACAATTGTCGATGTCGATGCAATGAATGTACTTGGTCTAAATTTGGAAGACGACCGAACCTTACTGCACCCTACGTAGGTAACCGGAGCGGTCCTCTAAGGTGGAGATGATGAACTAAAACTGTGTGCCGTGGACGTTCCACTGGCACGGGTCTCAAGTCGGGACCGTACATGGTTCTCCGCTGCATGACAGGGAAGCAGGAATGAACCCGTCCTGGAAACGGACCGAGACCATGGGACAACGCCTCTTGCAGATAGCAATGAGCCGCGACATCACGTACACGTACGCCGCTAGGGTCTCAATTACATTCAAGGACGGCGATGATCTGCAGGACAGTGTCAACTGCGAGAGTTCCTGTACCTAGGGAGCGGTCCATCCCAGACATACTCCCATGTTATCAAGGGTGCTTGTGAACGCCGCACGGCGAAAAGGCAGCGTTCCGCTCACCGGTGACTCAAAGCACTTCTGTGAGGTCGGACGGTAGGCGGCGTGGCGTTTTCGAACGTGTCTTATCCTGTCTGATCGGCTTATACAACCTAGGCATTAATAGTACAACGCGGCTATTGCATACAAACTTCTCTGCAGCTCAAAGCCCGACAAAAGAACACAAGACATACCGACAGGAATAAGTTATGTAAGATCCAACAACGCTGGTCCGTTCGAAGTCACCACATGCGCGGAGCTGTTCATGCGTGGGCTTCCGCGATGACCAGGGACCCATCCCCGCCGGTCCACATCCCACGCTGGCCAATCGTTGTTCACTGTCTGCACGGCCAAGGCTCATCTAGCCGCCATTCCTCGAAGCCACGGGCGACTGGAGATACCGCTGTGACGCCCGCGCAATTCACTCCCCACTCTCCGTCGGCCTTCCCCTTGTGCGTGACGTTCTTCCCCGTCATGCAGAGCCGCCTTCGGCCCCCAGCCTGGACCGACCCACCCTACCGCCCCGATATCCAACTCTTCCCAGCCTCTCCGTTGATATCCGCCTCTTGCGTCCCCGGCCGCTCGGGTCGCGCGCGGCGGACGAAAAGGCGACGTCTGGCAAGAGTTCGTCGAGCGCAGCTGGAAGTTGCCCTCGAATGTGTGCGGCAGGCGTAACGTCGCGCGGTTGTTTGTCGTCTTCGCTGCGACGCGGACGTCCGCGTCAACGGGCAGAACGACGACGTTGACCTCGACGGCGGCGTTAGTCGTACGCGTGACGACGTCGAACATCGCCTCGCCGGAAGTACCCTCGCCAAACGAAGGGTGCGCAGATAGCAGGGCCACTGTCGAGTTGATTTCACTGTACAAGCGTTTTCTGTCTCAGCCAGTGAGTGGTGAGCTAATAGGGTTGCACACTTACGCGTTTGAAGACTTGAGGTAGAGAGTGCCGTTGTTGGTGTCGTCTGCAAGTATTGTGATGTTAGCCTGGATGGGAGTACCAGAGGCAACGACCTCGAGGTGATTGGCGACGAAGTCGCCTTCTATGCTACCCTTGCTAGCAAGTAGGTGCGCAACGTTTGCATACGCTGACTGAGAAAAAAGGATCAGATCACAGAATACACACCTTGGTGACAACTCACGTGTGCATAGATCTTGCCGTCTGTCGACGCGAGTCCGAGGAAGCCAAACTCAACGTCGTCGTGCATATCTTCGATACTTTGAGTGAAGCGTGGGAGTACTGTCTCAAAAGCGGGATATATAGAGGCCCGAAGTCGGTAGAAGGTGGTAGCTGGACCTTCAACCTCCAATGCAGAATCTGTCTGTCGTTGTGATTCGAGGATTCAACAGGTGCCTTCGTTGTACGAGTTTGTCAGATACTGCCCTGCGATATACAGAGCACAAAGCGCGCATACCAGTAGCGCGATCCCTCGCTCGCCTTTCTTCCGTTCCATCCGGCAGACGCTGACTTCCTGTAAAATTCGGCATGTGCAGTCACCACTTGAATGTCCACCTTGACGGTATCGGTAAGAGTCCAGTCGGTGTTGTGTACGACGTCTACATGCCCCAAGGTGTATGCACCTCGAGCGAACAGATAGAAGGCTTCTGATGGCATAGGCATTTCGAAGGACATAGAAGGTAGCGACCCGCTGTTCTCGTTCCAGCGACTGCGTCCTTTACGACATTCAAGAACCTTCCCGTCCTTGGGCAGGAGTTTGGAAGGCCGTTTCGTGTATCCAGGCTAACGGGCGTAATCAGCATGTAGCACGCAACAAATACGGGGTAACGCAGGAGGGAAGTGAAGGCATTGCTACCTACGCGCCGGTGCTGCATAGATACCGCGACCATCGGTTCGGGTGTCGTACGAACACCGTAACTGCTTATTCGAGGAAACCCACGACTTGCTGCAAAAAGTTGCTATGGCCAATTCACCACCACGTTCCGCGTATAAGGATGAAATACGATGCCCTGCATAAATCCAAAAAGCGCGCATATGAGGATGGCCACCACAAATGCCTTCAGGAATCGTCTCCCAGCGGGCTCTCCTTTCTCAAGATGGCCCTCTGGGTCAAGTAGAGGGTTGCTAGGTCCAGCTTGCGGGTGACGCATAGCAGCCGGAGAGAGGGTACTGGGGCCTGTGTACGCAGGGGGAGGAACATCCTCCAGGAGTCTCCGTTGGTCATCCAGAGCATTCTGGACAGCCGGAAGAGGCTGTTGAGTCTTCAAAGGAGAATCGGGCTCGCCGTCGTCGATGATCATGGCAGAGACCTTGAAGGTACAAGGTAACCTCAGGATGACTCTCAGCGCCGCGAGATACGGCAGCGATAAGTTCGGCGCTCTTCATATGTGCGACCACCGCGGCATATGGTACACACTGCGCATTGCTGCGCAGTTCTACATGCTGCTTGCTCAGGACTTCAGTCAGCGCGCACGCCGAGCCGTGAGCATTGACCAGAGGAAGCAAAGTCGACGTTGGCCACGGCGGTCGTGGATGCCAAGCATAGTACGGTCGCGCGAGATGTAGCAGAGCGATCCGAATATTCAGAGAAATAAGGGCTGCCAGACAGTGCCAATTTGTGTACACCAACGGACATTGGGCCTCAATTTCAAGGTGAAGACGTTTCACAAGCGGTAGATGCTTGAGAGGGTATGGTCGTGGTAGCAGCTCAAGAGACGAACACAACAATCGCATCGCCAAACAAGCGTGACCGCGTTCGCGTTTGCGGGTCGCCGGGCACGTTGACTTCGACCAGCCTCTTCCAACACCCGCACCCTCCTTACTACTCGTCCACTTCCTGTATAGTCATGGTACGTGTCTGTTACACCGTGACGATCTCACCGTCTGATTCTGCACATCAAGTTACCTTTGTCCCTCCTGAATGCAGCGCAAAATAAACCCATGGTAAGCACACAGCCGTGGTGCACAAACGCGACACTGAACCGCCCGGCGACGCGCAGTTAGTCGAGCTGAAGAACGGGGAGACGTTCAACGGCCATCTCGTCAACTGCGACAACTTCATGAACATCACGCTGAGAGAGGTGTACCAGACGAGCGCAGAGGGCGACAAGTTCTGGAAGCTGAAGGAGTGCTACATCCGCGGCAGCACGGTGCGCGTCGTGCCGCTCCTCATTCGCTGCACTTCTGATAAGATGACGTCGCGTGCGGATGCGCAGATCAAGTACCTGCGAGTACCAGATACACTGTTGGATGCAGTGAAGGAGGAGCAGAACCGCGCAAGGGAGGCGGGCAGGAGCGCACGAGGAGCGCACGTCAGCGGTGCGAACAACCGAGGTGTGTCACAGGTCGCCACGTCTATTCCATGCTCTCACACTCTTGACTCTACTCCAGGTCGTGGTGGAATGCCACAAAGAGGACGAGGCGGAGTACGCGGAGGGCCAATGCGCGGGGGCAGGGGAAGGGGCAGAGGGATGTAACGCGCGATGTACCACTACATATTGTCCGGGTGAGCCGTTCATGTTTCACTATTCTCCCTCGCTTCCTGCGCTCCGTATCCAAATGCATCCATATAGCACTGTCATAGTACAACCCATAGCATATGGTACACATGACCCTAAAATACAGGAAACAACCTAGCGCCACAGGACGTCGATACGCATCGACGTCGTCAGTATTCAACAGGGAATAACAACAGAAAATAAGGCATAGAGAGAAGGACATAGATCAAGCATCATACACGAAGTCACGGACAACCTCGAACACGAGCTCGTCCCTCGTTGCGGTTCGCACCCATTGACCCTGTTCACATCCAACGACGCTCAGCATATCAGATGGGTTCGGGAGCTGTCTACGCACCGTGTACAGCTCACGGCCAACGCCGATTACGCGGATGCGGGACTTTTCGCGGAGCATCAGCTTCCGCGCGTTTTCGAGCGCGAAGGGAATCGTGACTTGCTCGGTGCCGTAGCGCGACGGCACCCAGCTCGTGTGCAGGCGCAGCTCGCGCAGGTTGCGGCCGTTCACGACGGCTGCCTCTAGCTGGCTCTGCAGACCGACTTCTGATCAACGGAGGCGAACGCGCTTAAGATGATGATGCACTCACTGCTTCCTGGCAGAAGGCGATCGAGCACGACAGAGTCTCTAGGGCCGGGAAGATCGTGCAGAGGCATTCGACATCCTCGAGAGTAAGCAGCGCCGACGATACGTTGAAATGCTTCAGCGTAGTTTCGTGTGTCTTCGCCATGTCGAGCAAGAACCGGCGGGGCAGCGGCGCATCGCCCTGGGTCGAGAACGCATTCAGGGTGAACGACTCGAGCGAGGGGAAGGGGAGCAGTTGGCGGATCCAGGACCAGAGCAGCTGCGGGCCCTGCACGTCGACGGAACTCGTGCGCACCGTGAGCTCGCGCAGGCGCGCGACAGGCTCGACGGGCCAGTGCGAGATGCCCGAACCGAAGTACTCCGTGTCGAGGCTCTCGAGCTTAGGGAGGATGCGGAGGATCTCGAGGATCGCGCTCGTCGGCGCGCCCTTCAGGCGGAGTGAGCGGAGATGCGCGAGGTGCGAGAAGACGGAGACGAGGATCGACGCGGGGACGCCGGCGGTGCGCTGCATGGAAAGCTGCGAGTGAGATCGGTGATGGAGTACGTGACTTGAGACGACACCGACCCCCAGCTCCAGGTGGGTCAGCGTCGAGCCCAGATGCTCCGACCACCCCTGCAGCACCCGCGGCTGCCCCTCCATCACCCACAGCGCGACCCTCGTCAGCCCGCGAAACTCTTGCAGCTTGTCCCACACGGCCTCGCTGAGCCCCATGTACGTGCGGATCGTCAGCTGCTTCAGCTTCAGGCCCTTGAGGATGTTCAGGAACGCGAGCAGCACCTCGTCGTTGTGCGACGCGTCGGGGCTCTGGTCGCTCCAGCTGAAGCTCTGGATGTTCGTGCATAGCTTCAGCGCCTGCTCGCAGTCGTGCAGCAGCTCCGGCTTGCTGAATCCAATCGCCCCTGCGCACTCGCTCAGCTCCCTCTCGACGCGCGCGCCCTGCTGCTCACCTGTCTCTCGGACATGGCGCACGTATCTGGCGTATTCCGGCTTCTTCAGCAGTGTGCTCGCCGGGTGGCAGACCGCCGATCGCTGTCACGGCGCATACGTATCAACGAGTAGCGGACGCTGCGACAATACGTACTCCAAGCCGTGTCTTCATCACACGCGAGTCCAGCGTCCGGTACAAGAGCGGTGTCGCCGCCGCATGGAAGGTGCTGTGGAGCTGTGTGCACACATGCAGATCGCGCCGATCGACGAGGTGCTCGAAGATCAGCGGCAGGATGTCGATGGGGATCTTCAGCGGGTCGAACGCCGCCTCCGCCCTGTCTGCCTTCATCTCGCCTGGCGGCGACCCAGCCTCACTGGCACTCGTGCGCACACGCTTCATCGTGGGTTCTATATCATGGACGGGAGTCAGTTCGGTGGGTCTGGCAGCAGTACGTAGACCATGTATAAGCGTGTGCGCTGACCGATACGCCGAGGCATGCGCGCCCCGAACTTCGCGGTTCACGCACGCTCGCAGCGTTCTGGATCTAGAACCCGCAATGTGGATGCAACGTTCAAATCCCGCACACCAACCGCGCAAAACGCAGTCGACACGCGAGCGATGACGTCTGCCGACTGATGAAAGAAGTTCGACGTGCACAACAAGGCTGCAGGAAGACGTGCGGGGGCTTGTGCCGTTATATTGTGACGACATGTCAGAACGAGGGTGCTCGTCGTGGGGAAAAGGTCCGCGTAGTGGACCTTCGATGTAATGCCGGGCCTATCGACTACTAGGTACGCATACTGCGGGCATGCAGCCTCACGTAGCGCAATCCGCTGTAGCTGTCATAACTAAGCACCCCCGATATCATGACTGGCGCTGAGAGGGCAGGCTCATCCGGATCGAACCGTTGAGCACGCCCCTCAGGCAATAGTAGCAGATGTCACGGTGACACGAGGGCAGCGATGAGTAGTATCGCCGTGATTATGCTGTCTAGCGTGGAAGATTGAACGGCCCCGGGTGTGGGGGTTTCGACCACGGGAGACCGTGACATAGCACCGTACAGCTACGTTAGGTCGGATGACACTGGGGCGGTCGAGCAGTAGCATATCGTCTCGGCCACAAAGACAAAATCGTCAGCGAAGCTGGCAGTCGATGTAGTGCCCAGCAAGTGCGACTAGTTGCGCATACTGAGGGCAGGCGGCTTCACGTAGCATCGCTATTGCGGAAGCGCTGCGACCGAGTACCCCCGAACTCTCAGCGAGGTAGACTCATCCTGCTCTGATAATTAGAGCAGTAGCAGGCACCATGTTGTCTAGAGCACGACAATATCTATTGTCGCTCCATAAAGGCAGTCTACAGTGGAAGGCCGCACGGTAACCTTCAGCGTAAATCATGAGGTAGAGTGATAGCACAGCAACTAAGCTGCAACCATCGTAGGCTGCCTGGGCAGCGATAAAGTTCGCCTCGGTTACCGAATTGCCCAGGACACTGTCCTACAATGCTGGAGACCATACCAGCACACTGGACAAAGTAACCCTGCGACAACTGGCGCGTGGATACATGGGGGAGCATGAGAGATCGACCGGGTATTTGCCTAGTGTGCAGGTGTTTCCATAGGATGCATCATGACCATACGAAATAATATTGAAGCTTCGCAGACGTTACGGCGTGTCGAGACAGCGCACAACGCCTGACAGCCCCAGACCAATAAAGAACGGATGAACCTGGTTCACTTGCCTAATAGTTATGCTCCAGTCGATGAGATATTCTGAGCGAACCGTCTGTGACAATTCTATGAATGGTCGGCGATACAGCAATGCGCACTGCTGGCAGTACTCACCGGAACAGGCGCCTGGAATGCTACGTCCGTACGCACGTTCGCTGTCCAATATGAACCGTCTACAAGTGCTGTAGAAATAATCCTATAACTCGTCAGCGACACAGCCGTGCGCGCTGCAGGCAACGCTCACTGAAACGGTGCTTGGAGTGCTCAGTCCGGCGACTGCGCAGACATCGTCGTGGGGGAGCAGAGACAAGCAGTGTGGGGGTCGAGGCCATCACTGAACCCGAGTGTAAGTAGGGCGAGTCTGCGAAGGCCTCGGTCCTCGCCGTTAGCGGCATCTCAGCCGCTGAACCAGGAGTCAGGACCCCACATCCAAATAAAGAAACCCCTGACATTGACATCCAGTCACGCTATCACGTGTGACGGCTCTAGGCCCATATCTCCGTGAACTTTGCAAAGTGAAGCTCTCCTTCTCAGTTCTAGACATTGAAGTATTCTCACCATGTTCTATCTCGTCGGATTGGGTCTGTGCGATGAAAAAGACATCACAGTGCGAGGGCTGGAGGTAGATCATATCTTTTTTCCTGTCGAATTAATATGGATTGGCTGAAATGACATGCCAGGTGGTTAAACGCTCTTCGAGAGTCTATCTCGAGGCCTATACGAGCATCCTAATGGTCCAAAAAGAACGACTGGTAAGTGCAACCGAATGTTCTTATCCATCTTCTGACACTCATACGTCTAAGGAAGCATTTTACGGCAAAGAGCTGATCCTCGCCGATCGCAACATGGTCGAGACTGAAAGCGACGAAATCCTACGAGATGCCGACAAGGAGGACGTGTCCCTGCTCGTCGTCGGCGATCCATTTGGGTAGGACCCACGCCTCGACCACGGATTCTTTTCTGACCGCAATCAGGGCGACGACGCACACGGACATCATCATCCGGGCGCGCTCGCTGAAAATACCGACGCGGGTCATCCACAACGCGTCCATCATGAACGCCGTCGGAGCCTGTGGTCTGCAATTGTACAACTTCGGACAGACGGTGTCCTTGGTGTTCTTCACCGAGACGTGGAAGCCGGACAGCTTCTACGACCGCATCAAAGAGAACATGGGCCTGGGCATGCACACCCTCGTCCTATTAGACATCAAAGTGAAAGAGCAAAACGAGGAGAATCTAGCAAGGTAACTCGACGCCGGAATGCAGCTGATGAACGGCTCATTGACCTGCACGCGTAGAGGAAGGAAAATCTACGAGCCCCCGAGGTACATGTCCATCCCCCAAGCGGTCTCGCAGATCGCAGAGATCGAAGCCCTCCGCGGGGAAGGGGTGCTCAAGCCAGAAGCGACCCTAGCAGTCGGGCTATCTAGAATTGGCGGCGAAGAGCACCAGCGCATCGTGTGCGGGACGCTGGAGGAGCTTCTCACACAGCCGCCGGAGGTTTTCGGGGAGCCGCTGCACAGCCTAATCATCGTCGGGAAGCGGCTGCATGACCTGGAGGTCGAGTATGCGGAGGAGTATGCGGTCAACAGGGAGACGTGGCGGAGCGTCGCGCAGTCTGTGTACGGTTGCGCACTTGATCGGTGACTTAGACCGTTCGAGGCTGGAAACGGACGATCGACATGGACTTGTTTAGCAGAGCTTTTCTCGGAGGTAGGTGATTTCTTCGCACGGAAACAGACAGGTTCGTTACTCGTCTTGAGCGCTCATTATGGACCAGACATCGCACAGTACACATTGAAGCTGTAAACCCCCGGCCGCTCCTGGAACCGGAACCCGTGCCGCTCAGGAGTGCATTGCGCAACGAGGACGCCGTCTCTTTCCATTCTTACCCTCATGCTCCCCTTCGGATCCACCTGATGTGACAGCTTCGAGACTCCCGAGGGTACCTCAACGATTTGGGCGTCATGCCCATCGTCCGACGACGAGGTTGTGACGACCGCTGGAGCCATGGCGAACACGACGACCCAGATCATGTCATCCGTCTAGTCGGAAATTTCGAGACCGAATGGTCAGATGACGATGATACAGTAGACGCAGGGTACAACGCACTAGCTCCCAATCCCGCGGCCGAGGCACAGGGTCGTCGGTAACAGCGCTCTTAAGATGCGGTCGCGCCCACATGTATATCGTATCCGCCTCTATGGCAGGGTATACGCCTTCCTTGAACGCACGAGCGTAGTACTTAGCGAGGTGTAGCCATGGCTCGTGCGGGAAGCCGTCGACCCACGCCTGAGAGTTGGGCTGGGCACCTTTGATGGGCCCTACGTAATGTGATTCGCCGTAGTCTGTGCACGGTGGTCAACGATACGCGGAAGGCGGTGGGAATAGAGAAGGGCGGACCGTTGTAGGATATGATCTGCACGATGTCTATCTGGTCCCGCATGGCGATTAGCTGTTCCCACCTGCGGACGAAGAGCCAGTCGTCGCCACGATATATCCACTGACATACTGGTCACAGCCAGGCCCTTAAAAATAGAGCACATGAGGAACCTCTACGCACGTTCTTATTCCAGGAGTCAGGCCCGTAGTGCTGACCATCGTCGTCAGCCATAGCGCTACTGCAGGGTTCGGAGAAGGGTGTACCGTGAAGAACCACGGCGTGACCGCAGCCATGAACGTCCGCCCGCCCAGGTGTTTGAGGTGGACGAGATCACCGTCTAGTCTAGGCATGCGAATTTCGTGGCGGGGCGACTGGGGAGTCAAACGTGTAGGCCAGCCTCCGTTCCACTGCATATATGCCGTCCGACATTCTGAATGTTGGGCGCACACCATCATCGGAATATGGCTTACGTTGAAGAACCCGTCCATCGAAGACACGGCAGGATACCGTGCAGGGTCGATGAAAAATGCGGGTACGAAGTGAATCTGATAAAGTCGACCATTCTATCTAACCCGCTTAAAAGCGAACGCACTTTACCGACTGCAGCCTCTACGACTCCCTTGACGAAGTTCCAGGCACTGTTCAAGTCTTTCTGTCCGAAACGACTCTTCCCCCCGGAGAAGGTCGATAAGAGGACCTTTCCAATAAACCGGAGCTGATGTGGATGTCCAGCGAATCGCGACACATGGTCTCGGATGAGGAGGGCATCGTCGACACTTGCCCCAGGGATAGAGCTGAGCAAAGCGAGCGTCGTTGGGCAGAGAGCTCAGATCGTGGAACATAGGCCGGGACGCACGTCATGTCCAAACTCAGGAACACCCTGAATGGCTGTGAAGTTCTCGCTCGACGCGCCGCTTCATAACAATCAGCGACACGCGATATTTGCCATTCTTCCTTGCCGATGTTGAGCGCGAAACCATCGCTGAAGAGCCATGAGTCGATCAGCGATCCACTCTATGGTTATATGCGCACCACTTACATCCCGTTCTCACTTGCGAGCGTGATATCCTCCACCCAGTCTTGTATCGTGTACGGCTACGTGGACATCATGGGTACCGTGCTGCGCACGATTTTCCGATGACCCACATACGTAGGTATTTCCGACCATGAAGCTAGAAATCACCCGGTCATCTCGAGTATCAGAGGCATGGGTACAACATCCGTGTACATACTGTGCGACAACCAGTTTCTCTCGTGACGCGGCCATTTCCAAGCAGACAAGCTGCGTGACTCTGCTATCCAGATCTCAGAACCGAGTATTTCTCTTGCCAACGAGACTCCGGAGGTTGCGCGTCGCTCAGATTTCACTCGGAACAGCAAGTCGGAGTCTTGACAATGGCCGCAAGTCGACGATGGATGTAGCCTCGCGTGCCCAGGTCTCTCAAGTGTCGTCAGTCGTATATCACAGAACAATAGAGATGGGATGAATTGATGGATGTTCGAGAACAAGGTGAGAGGGAAGACTTCCGAAGAGACAACGACCGTGACGTCACGAGGACGCATCTGCCAGATCCAGATCTGCGCACTTACTTCCGGCGCTAAAGTCCACGTATCGAATCAATTCATATCTTCGAGCATAGCGGGCGTGGGCTGAAAACAATCCTCGAGAACCGATTCATGTATACATAGCTCATTGTCGTGTATCCTAAAAAAACTTGGGAAACCGGAAATATGACACTAACTGGTTGGTACAAAATATGGAGGTGTGGTATGGCAGACTCGGAGGCCAGGAGGGCCAGAGGCTCTGAAGGTTTGAGTAGAGTTCCACGAGAGTTCTGTCGAATCACCAGGAATGAGTTGAGATAGTCAGCTCGAGATCATCATCAACATCTGCTGAATAGAGGTAGCGGCCATATGCGGCACTGTTACAGAGTACCCCTGCAGCATCATCGTCGCTAATACCGAGGTCTTGCGCATTAAGCTGGCAGGTTATCTCCGGAAGCAGGACCTCATGGATGAATGATCCATAGGTGAGCCGTTGCAAGTGTCCAGCCGAGAGCGACGGGTCAGTGTCATGAACTGTCAAGCCCGCGTTCATCATAAAGAAAGGTATAACATCAGACTCGTGTCACTCACCGAAGGCATGCGCCTAGGCCCTTCATACACTTGACCTTGAAGAGGGAGACGTCGGCCACCGGAGGGACGCACCACCACTAACCCGCCCTCCGACATCGTCGATGAGGAGGTGCAGGCTGGAGTCGCCTCCGTCTACTACTATCTCCGTACTCCACCTTCTGCCCGTCTCCACAGGGTTCGTTCGATCTCGGTGATCCTCCGCGCTGTGTATTCCTCGTCGGCGGTGCTCGCCATCGTCGCGTTGTTCCAGTTTTCGTCCACGGGGCCTTTTGCGCCACGGTCAAGGTTGTAAGGAAACAGTCCGCGAGGGACTGGGCGTTCCAGGTTGCCCGCGAAACACCTGGCCTGCCGGTGACTGACTAGTGCCGCGCAATCCACGTCTACCAGAGGGGCACTGCATCCATGTAAGTAAGCGCGAAACGAGAACGGCCCGCCGAGCACTCACCGATCGGTTGCATCCCTTAGCAAGCCTCAGACCTGCTGGATGACCTTCCTCGTGGCGACCAACTCGTACTGGCGGAACACAACCCGCCAACCGTCCCGCCGCGTCCGCTCCTGATGAGGTCGTTTTGGCGGTGGCCAGGTACAGTGTGGCTCGCTCGTACGGCCCCCCATGGCTGTCGGACGACTTGGAGGCCGTATTAGAGCCGGGCGGGGCGCAGTCGGGTCTGACGCGTTCCGATATAGGCAGCTCGACTGTCTGTACACTGAGCAGGCGACGTGGGTCAGCGGTGCCAACAAGCGAAGATGAGGCGGAACATACTAGGTGGCCAGATGCGCGGTGCGCATTCTTGACGATTGGATCAGGAAGCGCGGGGAGTATGCGTCTGGGTCGAGTGCGGAGGTGGACTTGGAGACGGGTGTGCATGTTCGTAGTGGGTGAGAAAGTGCTTCAGAGGGGGTGAGTGGATGGCCTCTGCCTGTGGTGCGCCCTTATATGCGTTCCGGGAACGTCGGTGGCCAGCCGTTGCCTGAGGAACAATGGCCTCGTGGATCGCATGCATCGCCAGATACAGTATGGTACGCCGTGGTGGGCCACCTGTGGTCAAAGCGGCCAGGGGCCAGCGGTGGCTCAAACACGGGGCCGGCCTCGGTGCGTCATCCGAGGGCTTTGTCGTCCCGATCGGTGAGGAACGGTGGCCACATCTAGGGACTGATCTGCCCACGCAGTTTCAGATCGACGCCGCGGAACATTAATCAAACACGGACGTACCAGGACTGCTGTCTTCCAAGCCTCGTTAGGACGGATGCATACGTAGGCAAGTATGATGTTGGTGTGCGGCTAGTGCTGTATGCCTACAGTCGGCGTGGTGGTCTCTAAGTGAGACGACGAGGGCGGCCAATGGAGAATTGCGCGGTGCGTCACAACCTCTTTGGGCGCGACGGACGTTGAGCTCAACGTCCAGACTCCGAGTCGTCGTTATCGAAGCTGGGGCGGTATGCACGGAGGGTGACAATTCCCACGGTCGCTGGCACGGTGCAGGCGCATGAGTGTCGGTGAGCGTGGCGGGCCGACAAGACTCAAGAGACAGAGGGCGGCCGGAGTCGCGAAAGCAAGCGATGAGGCGCGTCGGCGGGAGAAGACGACGCGGTCAGGTGACAGCGCCACCTTCGGAGAGCGCGCGACCGTCGTCCTCCACCGCTGTGTCCCCGTCGTGTCACTTTGTCCTCGGCCCTATCACTGTCACTGTCTGCTCTGAAGACAACCCCCGTGCCTAACTGATAAGTGTACCCAGCAAGACACAGGCACAATGACAACTTCGACCGTGGCCGCAAGCAACGACGAAGGCCACGCACCCCATCTCAGTGGGGTGTTATGCATTATGGTCGTACGCAGGCCGACGGAAATACATGGATAGCTATTGTTGCTATGTACAGAATGCTACGGGCGATGTGCAGGATGTTATTGAGCCGCATCACGGTATGTACAGTGCGTATCTCTGAGGAGGGTGGCATCCTCGCGGGTGTCGTCACGAGAGACACGCAGTTGCAGTGAGAGGCAGGTGACCACACGAACGGTGGCCTATGGACGCAGGTGCGAGAAGGCCAAAGGTCAAGTCGTTCGTGTGTAGGTTGGATGTGTCCTCGTTTCCTGCACGTTGACTGACTTTCCCTTGCTGTAGCAACATACAGGATATACTGAGCAAAACAACCCAAGCTGTAGGTGCTTTGGAGGTTCTGTTCGCAGTGCAACCTTCACCCGTACGCGCCCTACGTTAAATCGCAAGGCTGACGTCCTCAATCCTAGATCGACGAGTTTTCCGATTCCTCCCGCAAGGGCTACGCGACAGGCGTCCGAAGACACACCACGATCTGGAGGACATGTCGGGGTCTGTGACGGCGACACGGCTGTTCCAGACTTGGACAATACGTGTGCTCTCTCATGACAGCCGGTGCACAGGCCTGGCTGGCGGACGTTGCGGAACATCAACGTTTCAACACTTCCGACGCTGCGCCCAGAGGCTGACGGCGTCCCCGTTCGAGTGGGCTGACGTCCGAAAGTGGAAACCGATCGAGGGTGACGGCGATCGTCGAACCAAGTTCAACATGTCAGCCTCCCGCCATATATAACCCGCCCGTGTTCGACTTTCCCCCCTCATCCAACTTGAACTTAACCACCACCAGCCCACTGCGTATCACACATGTTCCCTCTCATCTTACTTTTAGGCGGCGCGCTGGCCCTCGTCAGCGTGCTGCCCAGCCTCCCTCCGACGTTCAACGTCGAACTCACCCCTGGTACACTCCTCCTGACGCCGGCCGTCATGGACGACTTCCTGTTGTACCTGCCCGCCAGGTGAGTGTCGTTGGCACCCCTCGTCTCATCGCGTTGGACTCACCTCTGTGCCAGCCCCGCTGTGGAGGGCACCGCGGCTGTCGTCGGCGACATCGTCGACAGCACCGCAGCCGTCGTTGGCGACATCGTCAACACCGTTCGCAACTCGGCGGCTCAGGTTTCCCCGGAATTCATCTGGTTATCGGACATGTCGCTCAGCGACATCGGTTACGGGTGCGTGCCCTCGCTCTCCAGTGGATCATTCTCATGACACCTGGCCGACGTAGCCCGGCTTACATCGACTTCAACCTCGTCTTCGTCGACACCCTCGGCGGGATGGACATGGCCAACGGTACTGGCGACCTGTTGGTCATGGACTCTCCCGTCGTGACTGCCTTCGAGGACAAGGCTGATCCCAACAACGGTTCTCACAACGTGGGTGAGGATGAGCCTGAGCCCGTCACGGCCATCCCTCCCCTCGACGTCGACGACGAGGTGCGCGACATTGTCACCTCCAACTTGACCGATAAGGCCATCGTCGATGTCGCCGCTACCGACGACATCGACGACGGCTGCGATGGCGGGACAGACTGCCCTCACGAGGTGACAGAATACGAGATGATGTTGTTCATCCTCCTCATCGCTGTCTGGATTTGGGCCGTGCCCGGGATCCTGTCGTACTCCCTTCCTCCCATCGTATCGCTCCTCAGCCGTCTTCCCATCATCCGCATCCTCGTAGACGACCTTCGCCAAGAATTCGCGTACGGGTGGTTCTCCCCGCTCTTCCTCGCGTACCGATTCGCAGGGGTCTACTTCCTCGAGGAGATCCTGCTGGGTCCGTTATTCGCGGATCCGTTCAAGCGTATCAAGCGGCTGATGGAATATGGACGGATCGACACGATGTTCATGGCGCAGGAGTTCCTCATTCTATACTGGTGGGCGTGGTGGGAGCTGGTGGTCCCTATGGAGCGCGCAGCGGCCCAGGTGCAGATGGGCGTGGTGGATGTGGATGTTGTGGAGGAGTGGGTGATGCACGAAACGGACGGGGGCGCACACAGGCGGTCCTCGGAGACGGGCGGACTATCCGGTCCCTGGGCGTTGAAGGTCCTGTCTTCTTTCCACAAAGGTGTGTGCTAGTCGGTTACGTCTCTCCGATCGCTTACCAGGATTCTCAGTGCCTGAGAAGTTGTTGTTCAACGACCACGGCATCGCGAGGCGCTTCGTGCGTCCGGAGACGACTGAGCTCTTCGGCGACCTCGACTGAGCTGCGTGCGTCCGACCTTGCTTCGTACAAGTAGTGGCGACACGGTCGCTGGGTCGGAACGCTCGGCGACGAGAGTACAACCTCGTCAATGCTATGTATCACATAGGACACTGCATATCTCGAAGTAGGTGATTCGCCCTGCTGTTTGCATCCGGCTCTAATCCGCCGTTTACAGGACTGTTGCGTCTTCAAATCGGTTTAACGGTCCTGGCGCGCCGCTGATTTGCCTGCTTAGGATGTATCGAGTCTGGTACTCGTCGTACAACCCAAGCACGCGATCTGCGGCGCATTCCCTGTATTGCATACGATAATATATCGATCTGTACTCTACAGCGTATCTTGCTTGACAATGTACTCTGGAGGCGGATCGTTACTGGTGTGTACTCAATACTCAACACTGGCAGCAGCCCCGTCGTTCGACGAGGTTCAACATCAGTGCGAAGCACACCGGTAAGTATATATGGAGGTGTGGTACAGCTAATATAAAGCCACGGCACACAGCCTGGGTGGTTGTGTGGCCCCGTTCTACGTTTGAACGCTGTCGAACGAGATGTACGACTCCTGACGCCGCGACGGACGAACAAGCAGCGCATTCTTTGCTAGCCGCTGAGCAACCGTTGACTCCTCCGCCCGAATCGCACTGCTGTCTCCTCAGTGGCCGAGAAAGCCGCATCTCAATCCTGGGGTATGTTCCGCACGACGTACGAATGACGATCCTCCCCTGTGCGCCTGCCTTGTTAATCTGCTAACGAGCACCACCAGCACCGTATATATCCTCGAACGTGTGTGATGAAGCCGGCTGGACCGTCCTCGGTTGGTGTTGAGGCTAGGTATCTGTACGGCGTCCCGCGCGTCGTCTGTGCGGCCAGCCGGGGGCGTCCACGCGAGGCTAGACCCTCTAGATATGGTCTAAGAACCGCTACAACATCCCTGTAAGTATCAATGAAGGTCGTCAGTGGCCCGCGCGTAGATGAACGGTACCACGAGTGCTCACCGATCCGCTAGGTCCCTTTGCCACACCGGTGCATGCATGGTTCGTGGCTGAGACTGAGAGGACGCCGCCACGGGCTCTGCGCACTGCTTAGTTACACTACGTATGCTGTTGGGCCGGGGCGTGCTGGTACATGTTGAGACCGTCCGACTTGATGTTGAGGGCTGTTCCCAACGAAGTGGCCTGTCTCGGTGTCCCGTCGGTAGGCGTGGCGCAGGCCCCGTAAGTTAGCAGATGCAGGAGCAGCGGAGGAGGCAGGTCGCCCGCGGAGGAGCTCATCCGGAGACGCCTACAGGAGGCCCGGCGAACGGGGGTCGGGCGTTGTCCTTCTCGACGAGTAGCCATGTACCGAGGGACCGTCGTGTGCCACGCAATGCGCTTCTGCCCGGCCGCTCGCATTGATCGCCGCGGCAGTGAGGGAGTGCGGGGAAGACTCGGGCCCCGATGCGGAGAGGATGTGTGTGTGCGGCACGCCGGTGACAGAGGAGCTGCCCGGCGTGTTGCGGGGCCTGCATGCGTCGTGCGCAGCTTTTGAACAGCGGCGCGGTCGTGCTCCACGAGCTCCGTGTCGGGGCGTCCTGCGGGTCTTACTCTGCTCACGCCCTCTGGCTCGGCGTGGCCCGACGGACTGGATGGCCTATACACTGCGTGGACGACGCGTTAGAGAGACACGCGACTCGCGAGTAAGAAAGCGCCACAACGTACTAGGTGGGTAAACCCGGGGTGCGCATTCTTGACGATTGGAATCATTGGACTAGGAAGCCCGAAGGATATTCGTCGAATACGTCTGAGACGCCGCTGGTGAGGATGGATGGTGGGCATACTACTGTGGATGAGGGCTCGTATCGACTCAGGCGGAAGTTGGAAGTGCTGGAGACTCGGAGGGAGCGGGAAGTTGTTGAACCTTGGCCGCGCTCTGCCGGCCTTTTATGCCAATGGGGACCGTCGGTGGCCAGCACTAACCAAATTGGAGTTAGTCTCGAGGATGGCATAGGTCGCCGCATCTGGTAGATCGAAGTGGCCCATCTGTGGTCAAAGTCCGAGTCAGGTCAAAGTGATCGAGAAACGGAAGTGGGGCACTTAGTAACAGCTAGTCCTTCAGGCCTTCAGGCCTCAGGCCTCGATGCGTTAGCCGAGCTGTTTGTCGTCCAAATCGGTAAAAGATGTGGTCGCAAGGGGCAACTTCTATGCTCTTCTAAGTTCTATGGCCTCCAGGGCGGTGGCAGTCCGAGTCACTGTCCGAAGCTGGCAGTCAGACGCTTTCAAGATTGAAGTCAGCCCGGGACTCGATGGGCTGAGGAGGCTTGCATCGATATTGCTAAGTCTCTTCCCCAAGAGAAGCAGCATAGTAGTCATGTCGCCGGGAGGCGATTGATGCACTGCGGCGTCGAGGCACACTTGACTAGCCTGAGCCGGCGGAAGTCTGAGTGAACAAAGATTGCATGACTTCACACTTGTACTGATGCAATGCTCGTCCTTCCGTAGTAGTTAGTCACGGTATTAGTAAGGCAACTCGTCGGTACCGTATACGCACATTGAGCTCCCCAGACGAGAGGTCAAACAGAAAACAGCGAGTACTAAGTTGTGATACAGCTGAGAGCGGGTTGGAGGGCAACGTATCCGATGGCGCGCGCGAGCCCGCCTTACAGATAGTGTTGTTGGCAAATCAGCGCCAGCTTGCCACCTGGCACGCGCCAGGGGTGGCGATTGGTTGGCGATTGGCAAGTGGCAGAGGGGAGGGTGGCGCAACCTGGCGAATCGCCAGGCGCTTATGCATTTTATGGCGACTGGACCGGTGTGGTTGAGTCAAAACCAAGCCGTCGAGGTCATTCAGTGTTGGTAAGAGAAATTTGAAAAGTGTCTGTGAAGATGACTCGCAGTACGGGGGTGTCATCGGCCTGCCCATTCCTGGTCCGACTCTCTGAGGGGCAGAATCAGCTACACTATTACCGCATTTGGCAATCGGAAGTGCGGTATTTAACCTGGTGCTCGCCGACGAGTCGCCGTTCACTGACGCGGACATTGACGATGAGCCTCACGGGGGTTAATATTAATGTTAACTTAAGCCGGGAGTATCGCTACACTTGCGGCCTTCACTGCAACGGTTCCGGACCAGGATGACCGACATAGGTGGCCAGCGAAGAATTGCTGTTCGCGAGTAGTCTCCGTAGCAGACCTAAAAGGCCGGTTCGCCAGTGCGGACGCGGTGTGTCGCCGTGTTCGCTACATCTAGCCCACCTTGACAGTCTCAGCATGAGATGCAGTGTGTGCAATTGTATGCCATTGAGTCAACATTTCAGCACCGAGTCACCAACATGCACGGCGACGTGCGCAACCATCCGTCAGACTGCAATTACACGAAGTT